ATGTCTGTCGATTGCCGAAAAGAGTCGGCAAATTTCTTTGAGAAATTAATGCTTATGATAAGCGAAGTGGAATTTGCGGTTAAATTCGCAGTTGCGAATGATAAGAATCACGAATTTTGAATTGCTGATAAGGTAAAACTGACAGATAGATAGATGGAATGATTTCCTCAAAATTGCCACTTGCCGCCTAGTGGTGCCAGTCAATTCGCAACAGTACCTAGATAGATACGTGCGTGAGAGAGAGAGTGAGTGAAATGGTTTGGGGGCATCGCTCGATTCCCGAATTCGGTCCCCTTTCGAAAACGATCAAATAATTCCGTATACCGTAGCCCCCGTGTTGTTCCAAAGAATGTTGCATTCCATCATTTTTGCTATTCTTTGGTCTGCAAGACACGCATTTTATAGTTTAATAGGCCGATAAAATGGCGTTTTATTTGGTGATGAAGTCTCTTGGTTCGATCGGGTCTGCGGGATCAGACAAGTTGTTTTCGAAAAGAATTCCACTGAAAATTTTATAGTTTGCAAACACTACTGTATAAAAGGCGGAATGTTGTTGATAAGACATCGAACAAGTTATCGATGCGAATGTTTGTTTGTGTTTTTGTCGCAATTAGTATCGATTCGAAATTGATTGCTCGCCGAGTTGTCGATCGCGTTGATCGGCTTGTTATTTACTTGATTAAGTTGCTCATCAATCACATGTTCTCATCTTGCAAAACTTGCGTCGGTTCGAAGAAGTAGTAGAGGCGGTCTCATGCGGAAACCCGCTGTCGCTGTTAAACTCACCACTTGCTGATATATATCACGTGAAGCAAACGCGGAGCATTTTTTTTCGCTCGACCCATTCTCCTCTTCTCATTCATTTCATTAGTTTATCGTACGATTTAGCGTTCGTTTCATTTCGATTCGTTTTGGGTTTCAATTAAACTCCTGATCGCCAACGATTCATTTTGCAGATCTCGGAGGTCGGTCGGTTGCAAAGCTTCGGATCCGACAGTTGTGCAAATCCAAATATCGAGAATACTGGGTGGCAAGTCGGCTATTTAATTCAACAAAATTAGTTCATCTTTCGATTCGAATTATTTGTGCATTTATCAATCGAATTTCATTGACGTTATCAAGACGTTTCGACGAAATTTTTGAATTCCCCGCCCACACCAATGTTCATTGTAATTTGATAGGGGCTTCTTGTTCATTATCTAGTTTCGTATATCCTTGAATTTCGACAAACGATTTTAATCCGTTTTAGCGCCACCCTCGATTTGGTTGTCGTTACTCTAATAACGAGGTGCGCGTACATGCATGTGTGTTTTGAACCGGTGCGGCTTAATCCAGAGCTCCTAATTGCCCGTTTTCACCACACCTCACATTCAACGCACTGGAAATTATGTTTTCGATGAACAGCTATAAGTCAAAATTAAAAAGCAGTGAGAAAATTTTGTAGAAAAAATATCTCAATTTTTTTTGCCAATGCCTTTAAGGGCATTCGTGTTTCTGAATCAAAGTGTGACCTAATAGAAATTTATTCATGTACCAATTTATTAGAATCTCTACTCTTTCGCACTGCCATTGTTTCGTTTCGGTATTCTTCTCTCACGCCATCAAACGACAGCTGATTTGGTCATGTGAGTTTGGCGGTGTCAGAGTGAGTGAGTGCGCAAAAAAAAAACGGAAAGAAAAACACCTGAAACCACGCAACCAGACTTTCGCTATTTTTTCTTTTTATGCTTCTTCTTCTTCTCTTTTAGTTTTTCTTTTTTATGTTGGTCTCGTGCTTGTGCCGTCCATCTGGCAACAAAATGAAAACTGACGTGCGGTAAATTGAGTCAACTCGAACCCCACAAGCTTTAGACCCCTTCAAGGGTTCGCGTCTCTCTCTGTTTCTCTTGCTCTCGATGCACTTATCACGTATTCATTCCGTCACCCCTAGTCATTTTTTTTTTCGTCGATTGGAAGCTTGCCGCTTTTTTTTCTTCGTTTTTACTTGTCTTGCCATTGTTCGCTTTTTTCTCTATTTCAGTCCAGAATTCTTTACTAGTGATTCGAACTCGTTCAATAATGCCTAATCCTTGTGTTATAATCCTTTTAAGTGGTCGGTTTAAATATTGAAATCTGGTGTTCGAGGCTAAAGTTCATCGAATTTGATTTTGTTGACGAATTGATACCGAAACATTTTGCCAAACCCGAAATGTTGCAGACATTTATTGCCGTTCCGAATTTTTATTGGCATTCCTTTACAGTCGGTTCTCTTGAGACCATAATTTGCTGGTCGCAGAATGTCCCACCTCCTACCGTACAACGAATCATGCACTTTGCACTTGTCGACCGATAAGTGTCAATATCAAAAGCTCATTAAATGCAGAGTAAGCTTATCAAGATGCAATAGAGGTGTTTCATTGATGTCTCGAGAAATTTCCAGAAATCAGTTATCAATCACTCGAATTCTTCATCTCTTATGACGCAATGTTGCTCCGCTAATTGCACACTTGTTTCGAACCAAGATGTCCGTCGTCGCTGATTCGTCCATTTTTTGTTTTCGAATATCCCGCCCATCTCTATTGGTTTATCGAAACGCACACCTCGCCTCCATCCATGCCAAACGGTGACTCTCGTTTTCGGCCTAATTGATGGGCTCCCGCGGGTATCTTCCCGCCCCCCTTCCCGTCACCATGTGTGTGTCGCTCGTCGTCTGCTGCATCTTGATCTCTCATGTTATCTAGCGCATTCCTTTTGATTTCTCTCCGTGTGCGTTTTGTTCGTTTCAATGAGACGAAGAGACCGTTTAATTGATTTTCCAAATTGACCGTGTGATTTAATTTCTTTATGACTTTTTTGTGATTCGTATATTTTTTTTTAGCGCTCGACCCTCATCTAACAGGTTTAATACCCGTTAACTCCGGCGCTTTTCATATTTTTAAATACTATTATTGCATTCTCTCACCCTCGTTTATTTTTTTCGCAATCTTCATTAATTTTATTCTCTGGTGAGCCAAAGGTTATTTCTATGTGTTTTTGTCAATATTTTTGTATTATTGATAATGAGGCTATGAAGTTCTTTTTTTTTGCAAAATATTTTAAATTTAGCGGTTTATTTGTTTGCGGTGTTTGCACACTTGCGCCTTACTTTACGCAAAATCACATGTTGCGGCGAATTATCGAAATCTCCCATGATTATTTCGTATATTTTTCGCAAAAATTATTTGATTTTCTTTTCATTATCCGCTTATTTTTTTCTGATCATATAAACCGATTTTTACTATTAGCTTAATTGTTTTTTTTTCGTGCCATCGGCCGTGTCACACTGTATACATCGTCATTTATTCGCCTCAAATTCTCAATGTTATCCGATATCGCCCTTTGGCAGGATTTTGCGTTGCGTAATTTTTTTTCTCATTTTCATTATAGCATTTGCCCCGGGCAGCGAGCCAAAGCCACGCCTGGCGATTTTGTTTGCATAGGCTTGCCGCCAAAAACGAGCCGAATAAAGCACTTTTGAATTTGGCGCCCGATTGAACTCCGCCCACCACTCATCGCGTTCTCATGCCCTCTAGCGGTCCTCAATACGGTCTTTGTTGCGAAAATGAATGTGAAGCGAATAGCAAATGAACTATTCGAATTCGAAATTTTTTTCGCCTCAATTTGCAACCCGCGTTTTTGTCAACACAGCATTATATCCGGGTCCGCAGTAGTCCCATGTGTTGTTCCCCTTTTATGTGCTTAATTTTGTTACGACCAAATGCGAGATTCGTCGTCTCATTGGTGTCTCGTGTTGAGAACCGATTTCGCTTGAATCACTAATGCATTGACGCATTCGTCATTCGTTCTGTGCCCGAAACGCAGCTCCCAATATGTGTTCTGAATTGCGCAACCTGTGCGATCATCACTGCGAATCGACAAAAATTTTAATGGACTTCATCCGGAAAACTATTTGTTTATCATTACGCAAAGGAGAAAAATGAAATAAATAAATCAAGGCTCGGGTTTCATAGTCATATCAAAAACCCTCTTTTTTGTATACTTTTCCTTTCGTTTTTTTTTTGTTATTGTTAAAACGCGATTTCCAAACATTTTTGCCGTGCATTTGTTGATTTCATTTTGGCGATTTGTTGAGAAAATTGTCCAGCTCCCTCCACCTAGTTCTTGCTACTTCCTCGTGGCTCGAACATCAATTTGTTCGTGTGCCTGTTGCATCCGAGGGATGTTCGTTGTGCTGTCCCGTCCTCCCGCGGGTCGTTGCTGCACACGCGCGCTATTTTCAATGGAAAATGTTGCATTTTTATCGGAAATGTGTCGTCCGTCTGCTCTTCGGCTGAGGTCGGCTGGTCGGTCGTCGCTCACTCGTTGCGCCGATTGCGGCGGCGGCACCACTGAAACCGGCAGAAATCGTCGCGTTATAAAAAAATATTATATCAATTCTCTCCTCTCACGTTATATGTTCACAGATTCATTTCAATACTTCGTCTGATTTTTTATCGTTCGTCTATGCTCTCATTCTCGGCACAATTAACAATATCGTTTCGTTTCAGATTTTTTATTGCACAGCCTAATTGTACCGACGTCGGGACGACGATGCTTCTTCATTGAAGAAGCATTCCCAACTGTGTTTGTCTGATCTACAGTACGCCGAATTCGACAACTTACTGTATCTCATCTGATTTGGGTAAGTGTGATAGACAGTTACAAACAATTGAGGCCTCGTCCTACACAAACCTCAACGAGCCTAGTTGTGTACCTTCTGTTGGTAATCACGTGACTTGAAAATGTTAAACACGGTGTTCAAAACTTCCGAGCAACCCAACTACTCCTATTCGTTTTGATAACGGGCGCTTTGTTTTATATTTTTACCATTTTGGCGCCACAGAAGCGTGGAGCCATCGCGTTTGAGTCTCATGACCGGAAAATGACGGGGATTTTATGAGTGCTCAACTGATACTGGTTGTCATGTGATTACCATTTCTCACTCAGTTCGTTCTCATTCATTTTCGATTTTTCTTTTCAGGATGACAACTATTATGCGTTCCTTGTTTCCATCAAAACGACGTAAAACGGAAGATATCACTACTTCGGTGTTCGCCGAGACGAGCCGTAATGGCAACGGGCTTCTGCCGTCGTCGAGCTCATCCATCTCGTTGTCGGGACTGCTGCGAAACGCCGTCGTTGTACCATTGATGTCGTCATCGTCATCGGCACCCATTCGGGTGACAAATAATAATATGACGGCGAATGGACACCGTCGGCAACATTCGACAGGATCATTCAACAATTTTGTTTCGCCGCCACCGGCTTCGGAGCGGAATCGACAACGGAGTGTTAGCGGCGGACACGAAGCTAACAACAACAATAATAATGACTTGATTCCGATGATGCCGTATTTGGTTCCAATGTCGAAGTTATGGTAAGTCGACGTGTTTTGTTCATTTTCAGCCTAATTCGTTTCTTTTCAGCAAAAAATCATTCTCTACTATCACGCCTTCGAACTTGAGAATGGTGATTATTGAAGCGGATCAACGCGTTCTGTATGACACGATGACCGTGATTCCGGTGAGGCATGGACTTGTGCCAAACGCCAAAACTCTTTCGCCGTGCAAGGAGTTTCAATTTCTGCGTAGACGGAAAGACACGAAGCATTTGGCACAGCTTCTGTTTGGCGCGGTTCCCGTCGCCACCGGGTCCGAATCGTTCAAGATTCACGTTCTTGAGTTAGTCAATTGTGATCAATGAGAAATCATTTTCAAAATCGATTGCAGGGAAGAAGATCAAATTCTCGTTAGCAAGGTGTTCTTCATTCCGCGCTCATCAAAGAATGCCCAACAGCCAGAAACATCGGATGCCGAAACGCAGAACACTGTGAAATCGGTTGATGGCTGGATGCGAACGCACATTACTCGGTCGACGACGTCGACGCCGGAGACGTTTTCACGTGTACGGCACATATCGATCAACTTTGGCGATGAAGATGACGCGGCGTCATCATCGCCTACCTCGTCCAATACGCTACCGAGGGCATTCTCGCCGCCGCATCGCTTATCACGAAATCGAAGGCGCCAAATGGCACACAAGACGAGCCTTTGCGAGAATTGTAAGTTTCATTTTTTTTTAAGCGACAGCGTCTTTATTGTGAACCATCATCTGCTGGAAGACGTCAAATTTCCGCATTCCTCTATCGGCGGCGTACGCGCGCCGTGGCGTTTTTCATCGAACTTGTCGCATTATTACACGGTTTCTGACGGTGTCGTTGAAACATCATCAATTCGCAACGTTTGGATTGCCTGTGTATCATTTTGCGGGGTGTCATAATTGGAATTGACACACAAATATATGCATTTGGAAAGCCAACCAACAATTGATAGCGCGATTGATAGTGAGAAAGACAATGAAAATGTTGCATCTTGTTCGGAGTAAAATGAGGCAAGATTAAAAGATCAATTTTGACAAACGAGGAAGTCGCGATGATTGCAACACCTCGCCGTCGTCGTCGCACAGTGTCCGCCGTTTGCCTTCGTTCGCGTATTTGTCTTATTTCGTTATTTTTTCTTCTTGATTATGTCTTGTTAAAAGTGCATTGACAAATGGAAGCGACAGGATGATCAGAAATCACGTCGGTGGCTGCGTTTTCAGACTGATTAGCCGGCGAGAAAATCGGGTCGGGCAAATTGAAGGATACGCCGTCATATGGAATTTGGCAATCGTTTTAATTGGATTAGGGGTCGCTGAGTGAACTTGAAACTCGTGTCGTGTCACGTGGTGGTTTCATATAATGTTGTATGTAGGCGGCGGCGGCGGCGGACGATGAACAAACACACACATTCATTTTTTGTATGTGTGAGTGTTGTTTTCGTTGTCTGCGTTCGTTTTCATGTCTCCAGTGATTCATCGCATTGGAATGCGTTGGAATTGGGCGAGATGGACGAGGAAGAAAAACGCATACAAAGATGAGATTTTTGATATCCTTCAGCGATGAATCCGAAAACTTTCCAAATCTTTGCAGAACCAAAAAAGAAGTGGCCGAAGATTGTAAAAACCGATTTTTCAGCATCGTTTGCGATTCCATCAAGTCTCAAATCGAGATCTCGGCTGAGTTCGATAGGTTCGCAAATCAATGATGACGATCACCATCATTCCCAAGAGGGACGACAAATTGCCCTGGGACTGCTGTTCCCAGGAGCACAGCGACATTTCCTTTTCAAAGTACGAGATTGACCGTAGAAATGGATTAATTTGTAAAATTTGTTTTCAGCATATGCCTTTGATTGAAGCTGAGATGTCACGGTTTGAGAATCGAATTATGACGGCTGCTGGCCATCCGCCGACGTTCTTACACAACATTTCCAAAGCCTGGGATGAGATTGCTGGAATAATTTGCAATCTTCACAACGCGCCGCGTCTTAAGAATCCCGTGTGGCTCACGTTGAACGAGAATCCACGCGACGAGAAGTGCCTTGCGCGACAGTTTTGCAATCAACTCTCCTATCTTATTCACAAGTTCGACACCAAGGAGCAGGGCTATTTCTTGTCGAATCTGATCACAGCTGTGCTCATGCATCATATGTCGTGGGTGGCGAGCGTCGCAACACCACCGCTTCGTCCTGATATTCGACGGCGTTATGCGAACTCGATGAAAAACTTCTACTTTGGTATGAATCTCAATGAAGACGCGCATTCGGTCGGCTACAACGCGCAAATGGCGCAATATCTCGAACTCAATGGAAACGTCGGACTCCATCGGTCGGCGAAAGTGCTGGTGTGCGGAGAAGACGCAGATATTGTCACTTCGTTGTGCCAAATTTTGACATACTTCATTCGGTGTTCAGCCGTTAAACACATTGGTAAGACGCGAATTTTATCATTTATGTACTTTTTTTTTCAGATGATGACCGTTTATGGCAATTGCCAATCGAACAAAAATTCTCGCCGATCAACGCTGGAGTATCGGGTAGAATGGCATTCAGTCCCGACAAAAGTATGTGGTTTGATAATTATTATACTGTATAATCTGGCATGGATTGACACCTTTGCCATGGGAGTGAAAACGTCAATTCATCAATACGAAAAAATGGAGTGGTGGCGTGAGGTCATAAATTTTCGGGTGTCGATTCGAGTTTCGCGAGCGTCCGTTTTTTTTTCGACGACTCCCTCAGAAAAATGGGGTTTTGGAAACGCGCCAACAAGCTAATGTAATAAATAATTCTATTCAACTGCCCACCACCGCCACCGCCGCCATCATCATCGTCATTACGGCAATTAGGTGATGGGCGCCGAAAAACATCTGCCATCGCTTCAGCATTGAAGCAATGAGCTTAACGAAATTGAGGGATCCTAGATTAATTTTCGTGTTTTTTCAGTTGATGATGATCAATTTGTCGACGAATTTCTTCCACCACGCCGCACGCGCAAATCGCGAATTAATAATTATTCGTTGAATGCGACGTCGACATCATCATCATCGAGCTCCGCTGAATCGATACCGACTGTCGTTGCCCAGTCCACTCAGATATGTGTCGTCGAAACAGAATCGTCGTCATCGATTACGATTATTAATCGACTTGAATACCCATGTTGCGGCAATTCTTGTCGAAGTGACGATGAAGAGGATCTGAATCCGGAAGACATTTGGGCCCCACGATCAACTTCTGACGGATTAGGAAAAAGCTTATTCGCCGGACCACTCAACAGCTATTGCCCTCATTTTGTTGTTTCTGGATTATCAAAAGATTATATAGGAATGCCAGAACTAATTTCAAAGTGAGATTTTGCATTTTTTTTAGTAATTTTTCAATATTCTTGTTTTAGAATTTTTGACGAAGTTCGATGTACGTATTCTCCTTGTCATCGCGCCGTCGCAACTGCTTCTATTTCCTCGTCGCAATCATCTTCGTCTGTAAGCGATGTGCAGCTGCCGGAAAACGTGCTGATTTTGGCCGACATCGAGGAGCACCACATCAAGATTATTTCGGGCGAAGGATTTGACGAGGTCACGTCGCCTTCGGAAGCCGTCGTTTCGATGCTTGAGCAGTTCTCTGATCTTCACTCAGCGATACCGGTCAAACCGGAGTTTTTGGTGTCGATAATAGAGGATTCGCTCGCTCACATTGTTAACAAGAGCTTAACACTTGTCGAGATGGTCACTAGAGATGACACTGTAAGTTTATTTCGAATAGGACTGAAATGATTTTCGGGATTCCAGTGTACTGAACTGACACCAGATCGTGTTCGAACTATTCTAGGATGCGATCATTCCGATCTTCGGCTCATCGTCAATGTCGCTGCTGTTTATTGGCCGCCCGTTTTGTCGTCGGTATTTGGATGAATTTGACGTAATCTTCACGTTTTTTTTTTTGTTTATTTCCCATTTTTTGTACAATTTTGTTTTCAAGCATCCAATTGCTTCACTGGAGTTCCTACCATTTTTCTTTCATTCAACATTCTCAATCCGGTGTCATTAAATCGAATATATCTCAACAAAGCAAATCGAAGATTATTTCCGTTTTCCTATTTAAGTTTGATCGATTTTTCCCCGTTTCCAATGGTTTAATTAATCTTCTTTTGATTATTATGATTATTTATTTTATTTTAAGTGGCCCTACAATCATGACAAAACTTTAAAGAACCGTTCTGACGAAATTTATTGTTTGCAAAAAAAGCGTAGTGACCGGTAACCGAACACATGGCTCCTCTTTTTTTCCCGAAGATTTCCCGAGATTTCTATGTTTTCTTTCTCTTTCTCTATTTCTACTGGTCCAAGACCAAATTTCCCTGTACAGATATTGATTGGAAGCAGATTTTTGGTGTTAACTAATGTTGTTGATTGTCTCCACTTTTTTCACTGTGAATGATAATGTTTCGTGGCACTACTAATCCAGAACTCGTTCCGAATTTTGTTGTTTTCTTTTCACTAATTCTTCATTTTTTGTATTGTAGTCGCCAGCCGGTTGGTTTCCAGAAAGTTTGGTTCCATTCAATCAATCTAACACCCAAATTGTTTCTCTCTCTTTTGGTTATAATTAAGAATTTTATTATTATATTATTTTCAAATTTTATGCTTATTATATCCTCATTAAAATGGTCTTCAGAGTTTGTTTTCGTTCCATTTCAAAATTTCTTTCATCCGATTGTCGATTAATTGCTCATTCAATCTCCCCCAATCCTTCAATCAAGAAGACAATTCCCACCCTCCCCTCCGATTTATCTCCTTCTGAAACTGCTCATCTCATCAATTTTGCGTTCGGTGTTGAAAAAAGATTTTATGCGGAAATTTATTCCTATATATATATATATATATATACAAATATATATTATAATTATTATGATTGTTTTGGATTTGCAAAGAAGCCTATTGTCTATGGATTCCCAACCAAGTGTACTTGCGAATCGGTTTTCTGCGTCCACAAATTGTATCGGTGTTATTTCCGCAGAGGCGATTTAACTTCTGACGTGTATGCATATACAAATGAATACATTTGTATTTCTTGTTTTTGAATATAACGGAGATTTGAATAAATTTGTATTTATATTTCATGTTTTTTGTCATTAATCTAAAAGGAAAATTACAAATTTACCGGTGAAGAAAGAAGAAGAGAGCTTCATGGATTAACCTGAATTGGAAAAAAATATCAATCATTTTTTAAGCAATTTCGGCAACACATACAGTACTGTCCATAATGATGTTCGCCTAGTGTTTTTTGAGCATAACTTGGCTCAAACGCAGCCGATTTGGCTGAAATTTTTACTGTAAACGCTAAACACAGTTGCGCAACCTTGGAAACATTAAAACTGCCTCATGTTGAAAAATTAATTTTTTAAAAATTTTTTTTGTTTTTTTCGATTTTACCAATTTTTCATTTTTTTCAAACTTTGTCCATAAATTTTTTTTATTTGAAATTTGGACCTGAAACATGTTTTTAGTAATTTTTCAACCTTCTGGAAAGAAAAATTTCACGGCGGACGTTCAAAAAGCCATCGTTAATGGTCATAAGACTGGGTCGTCCAGAAGCCTTCTGGCTCAGCAGTTCCTGTGCTCCCGAAGAGGAATCCAAAAAGTTTTGCAACGATTAAGACAAAATGTACGATTTTTTAATCATTCTGGACTATTTCTAATCTATTGGGCTGCATTTTTGTTAAGAAATCACATGGCAGACCTTACAAAACAACTAGGCTCCAAGATCGGAACATCTGTCGTGCTTCAAGAGAAGATCCTAGACGGACTTCAGCAGATATCCAGATGCTTGTGGCAACGCCAAATTCTTCCATTCCATCCAGAAGAACAATTAGACGTCGTTTGTTGGAGAATGGACTTCATGGAAGACTCCCGGTGAAGAAACCATTGATCAGTGAGAAGAACCAAAAGACGAGAGTGGCATGGTGCAAGGATCATCTGAACTGGGGACGATGTGAATGGGTCAAACACATTTATAGCGATGAATCGAGGTTCGACTTGTTCGGAAGTGATGAAATCAAGTGGATTCGACGACCTATCGGAGCCAGATTCATGCCAAAGTACCACCTCCGAACGGTGAAGCATCTTGCAGGGTCTGGAGCTGCTTCTCCGACACCGCCATGGGACCGCTCCGACGTGTAAATGGAATCATGGATCGGTACCAGTACAAGGATATCCTGGAAACCACAATGAGACCTTGGGCATTAGCAAACGTCGGACGTGCATTCGTTTTCCAGCAAGACAACGACCCTGAGTGCATGTCTGGACATGTAAAGAATTGGTTCCAACGTCGCCGAGTTGATGTTCTTGCGTGGCCATCACAGATTTCTGACCATAATTCGATCGAACATCTCTGGGAAGAACTAGCATGGTTAGAGGGCTCCGAGCATCAATCGCCGACGAGAAGTTCGCTCAACTCGAAGCCGCATGGAGTGCCATTCCGATGCAGTGATCCGTACCCTCTTGGACTCGATGCCTCGCAGATGCCAAGAGGTTATTGATGCCAATGGATTCGCAACAAAGTATTGATAAATTTTAAACCGGTTTTCTACACATTTGTAATGTTTTCGTGTTCCTGAGACTTTCAAATCACATTGTGTCATTTTTTCCATTTTCTGCATTTTTATGAAATTTGTGATTTTTCGAAAAAAAACTTTTCTGCAGTATGCGATATCATTCAAACGCATTTTCAACGCGTTTTAAAGATATGGTAAAAATTTCAGCCCGATCGGCTGCGTTTGAGCCAAGTTATGCTCAAAAAACACTAGGCGAACATCATTATGGCCAGTACTGTAGCTTCCAGTTCTGTGGTGCAACTAATTTTGAGAGCACATTTCATGTTAGTATGCATAGTCAAGCCACTAAAACATCAAAAGTTTTTTCCAAAAATAGTAAATATGTACAAAAAAACCCAAAAACTCAATTTTTTAAGCTTAAATTACTCGCTTGGAAATTTGTAGATTCACTGGCCCTTATTAGCAGTGCTCGTTCTGTGATATCGCATTTTAAAACAAATCCAAAACACTCTGATTGAGATAAAGCAACATCATCAAACTCATATAATGTATTTTTAAATGGCAAGATTTCAAAATTAATCAACTAGAAACTGTTCGAGATTAATCAGTTGACCACTAACAGAAACGAAATTCACTTTTGAAGCTTCTTCGAACGCCAACAGCACATTATTCAAGCGAGATAAACTTGAAACTTCCATAAAACATGCGTTTGACCTGAAATGAAAAGAGAACAAAATAAAAGTGGATTAAAAAAGTACCGATGGCATATTATCGAAAAAACTGGAACAGCTGGAAGATGATGGGAGAATTTAACGGGTGAGAACACATTGTAGTCAACGTTTTCTACAGTATTCTCTCTTGACAGTAGTTCTCTATTAGATTGTAATCTGAAAGCGTGTAAGTGAAATTTTGAACGAGACCATTTGGTTTCGCACTTCAGAATATACAGAATGAATATATTAGAAATAGAAATATACATGTATATCATATGTAAAATTACAGTAGGCCTTAAACGTGTATACAGAAATTAACTGGTTCATTTTGTGCCAAAGATTGAATTAATATCTGGTCTAACTTTTTTAAATGCCCATTTCTCTTTATACCAAATGAAAATTGAAATTTCGGAGCTTTTGATAGAGTCGTTCGAAAAATGATGAATATTCAATAAAAGCATTTCACTAGGCTTTTATGACGACCGACGGGTATAATTCATGAGTGATAGTAATGAACGAAAAAGCCCAAATCCATTTTATATCTCTTAAAGACAACATCTTTGAATTCGTCATATGTCTGTGATTGTGTAGCGAAAAATCAAATATTTTGAACATTTCAGAAAATAATATTTGTCAACTAACATGAAAATTGGATTTGAAATTTAAATTATAAAAAGTATCAAATTAATTATTTAAATATAAAACCTATAAGCTTTTCGTTGTCTGAGTTTTTCCAAAAACTCGGTTTGCAATAAATGGTACTCTCTCCAATTCCTTGCGTTTCGGGCATTGCTGGGTGGCCAATATGGTGGCCGACATGCCTTTGAACGTGCGGTACCACGCGTCGGCTTCTGAATTTCAATCGATGAATTGAAAATGAAATAGCACCACTTTGATATGTCGAATGACGTCACTCGTTGGAAATTTCAGCATCTCCTCACCAAGAAATCGGCAAAGATTTCGATTTGCGTGAAGGTCTGGAAAATCAAAACGAAATTTGAGAATCCATTTCGACAAACTTTGCATTTTCAAAATCGTTTCGTTGGAATTTAATTTTTCAAAAGTCGGAAAGCAATTAGGCAATTTTTTTGCAAGTGTGCTTAAAAATGAAATCAAAAAGTTTCAAATGTTATGCAAATATTACAAATTTTCGTTGAATCTCGAAAATTTAATTTCGCCCGAGTTATTTTTGAAATTATTTCTTGGAATTTGATGACGCCTCAAATTTTCTTGGACGATTGTGCTTTTTCTGTAATCAAATTTCATTTAAAAAAAAACTATTCGCAAAAATGCTCAAAAACCTCGGCCTAAGGATAACAAGTCCCGTTCTTTTGACATGCTTGTAAATTTCATATCGGTACATTGGAATTCGTGCAGATTCAAGAATCGAATAACATTCGAATGGGCTCAATTCTTGCCCTTGATTATTCTGAATAATTGCTGAACCGTTCTAAAAATAGGTATAGAAAAATCAAAGAATATTGCAAACTTCGGCAAGAAATACAGCTTCTTCAGGATAAAGCTCGAAACCGGAACTTCCCGGAATTCCCATAGATTCCAAATGTTTACCCTAAGAATTCCACTATTTATACATTGTCCGATTAAGAAATTAAAATTACCGCGATTTTCAAAACCTTTAATGTTTCTTTTTCCGGCTCATATTTCGCAATTATCACTTTTTTCCTAAAAAACTTGAAAAAGAAAATAAAATTCCAGATTTTCCTTAAAAAAACCTATTCCATTTTGAATATCGAGGTTGAAAAAAACTAGCTACATATAACTAATTTGAAAAAAACACCGAGTTGTCTTACAAAATAGTGCTTCCATAGATTCTTACTTTCTTTTAAATCCGCCAACGTTCGAATGATTCGTCCTTTTCGCAATCTCATTCATCTCAAAAACCCAAACTTATTACAAAACTTCTCAAATCAGTTAAATACATTTTCCGCGATTTTGTACGGTTCATCTTTCCAATTATTTTCAAACCATAATCATTTGTTAAAATTATTTGATTACGATTATATGAGACAAACGCGAATAGTATGTGGATGGGAAGTGAAAACGAAAAATCTAGCGCCAGGGAAAAAACAGAAACAAAAGAAAAGAAAAAAAAACAATTGGAAACCCTATAAACACAAATATTTGATCATCTTTAAAATCGCTCATCACAAAATGATATATTCAACACAATTCTATTATACCGGATTCTTAAATAAGCCGAAAAATTATACACAACAGATTTTGATTTAAAAATTGTGATCACAGATTCTAAACCTATGGCTCACAACTCGGAAATTTACCATCGGAAAAAAAGAGCTAAATATTGAATAACACATATAAATAAAATCTATACACCTTAAAACAAATCAAGAGGCAAAAAGACTTTTCTACAAGCTCGTGTCACTTGCGACAATGGATGATCTTGCATTGGAAGGATGCTCGCGATCTTCGGTGGAAGCTTTTGACATTCGCTGTCATACTGAATATCAAGACTGTCTCGAACAAGAGCTCGTCCAAACAAATCCAGAGAAGCGAATTGAATATCCCTGAAAAGAATCAAGATTACATGTTCTTTTTTTTCAAACTCTACCGGAATATTGGAAAATGCGGCCCAACAGTTATATTTCCGTTGGCACCAACTCGTCGCGATTCATTGACCAACGTTTGAATTGCCTGAAATTCCACTAATATTTATTTCATCGAATTCCGGTCAAACCTTAAACAGTTGATTATTCTTAACAGCTTCTGTCACAGCTATCCATGCATTTCGCGATGGCACAATTTTGCCTTGAATTGGAAAATTCGAATTATTTGGATTCAGAAAATAAAGTGGCGCAACAGTCTGATGTTCAGTAGGAATGTCGAACACGCATCGGATGTGATGTCTCGGAGCAATCCAGCTAAACAATTGACTCGGTAGACCCAATCTACGCATGTAATACACCAGATTCCAGAAAACTACCGGATTCGTGTCTTTGAGACTTTCCTTCTACAATCTCACAAATTTTAGTATTACACTCATATTGAAACGAACCTTCATTGCGTCTTTGTCAGTAGTCAAAATTGTTTCAAGTTCTCTTCGTAGCACCAATGGACTAACGAATTCAACTTGAATTGTTTCATATTCTGAGGCTTTCGTCTTTTCGGGAGTCTAAATTAAGACAAGGCTCTATTTATTATCTTAACCGCTAACTCACCGAATTCCGACTAACCGGCAATCCGCCGGGCGCATACCAACTTCCGATCGGTGTTTCCATCCACCTCGTTTTGATGGTAAGCCTTGGCGCAAATACTCCAAATGTTGAGGTCGCTTCTGCCACAGCATCAGCTGACACTCCATCTGTGTAGCAATGCGGGCACACCGTATTCAGATTCTGATCATCAACTTTCCAACCGGACATGATCTCCTCGTCGTAGATCATTGTTCGGCAACTCGGACAAATTGTCGAAGATGACAAAATCACCTCCATTCGACCCTCCGGTTCTTTCACGCTCGATTCAGATGTTCCAGGAGTTTCTTCACGTTCTTTCCTCTCTCGACTCCTCTTCAATTGTAGATAAACTTCGCGCATCCAAAATTCTTCGCTCAAAAGGCAACCGGTGCTTCCACTGTCCAAAATGTAAGCTGGATCTTTTGAATTTATTTTGAATGGATTTTCCTGCAACAGACTATCGATATTTAAAAAGTTGATAATTTAAAACACCTTCTCATCGGAATGAATCATTCCGCTACCCATTGCTCCGTAAGATTTATTGAGTTTCGAAACTTCGCTGACAAGTGAAGAAACTCCAAGTCTGAAACGTGTTGGAACCACTGGAAATTCTTACGGTATTAATTGGATTACAATTACTCCCCACCATCTTTTACAACATCGTCATAACCTCGTTTCACCTGATTCACCAATGAATGAAGACTTGGGCTCGAATTAGCATCCAAACTATCATTAAATCCATGCTTTGGACTTTCTACAAGAAATCTCATAGATAAAAATATAAGCAATCGCTTACCAAACGTAGTACTTCGAATCATTTTAAACATCGGACTATTAGCGATTCCTTTAAACCAACTATTCGATCTTCCATCCGAGTTCTTTTCCGATTTCGGTGTCGTTTCCGATGAAAATGGCATTGAGGCGTGTTCGGCCAAGAATTTTGCTCTCGACGGCGACATTGTCACTTTCGAAATTTCCCTTTCCGATTTTTCATTATTAATTGACCTGGCTCCCAAGGGATCTTCGTCATCATCAAGACTTCGATACGTCACTTCATAATCAGCTGTTATCTCCACTTCTTTTTCTTCCTTCTCGGTGACTTTATCGCTATGATACCCATTATCGCTTACAGATTGAGTTTCATGGATTGAAAGGCGTCGTCGCTCAATATTTGCAAATTTCATAAATGCTTCATTTGCATTCACGCAAATTCTTTAAAAAAAAAATTCAGAAAATAGAAAAATTTTTGAAGGTTTTCTTACTGTAGTATCTTCCAACATCTGATGGCTCGCTGCCTCGCCGGGGTCGGCCATGTTGCATCCATTACAGCGCGATGGTAAATTCCATACGTCACTGCATTCTGTTCAAGACCCACTTGTTGCATCATCTAAAATATGAAAATAAGTCATTTAGAGATTCAAAATTTAGCAAAAAAATTACCTGAAGAACTTTGACCGCCATCGCCGGTTCGTCGTACTTTCCGCATAATTCGATGAGAATTCGATAGCAGACTTGATCCAATGGAAATATTTCTGTTCTCGCCATTCTGTGCAAAACATCGAAGGCAAGCCTCAAGATTTTCTTCTTGTTCGGCGCAGCGAGTAGAAGACTGTCCAATTGCATGAACCACAAGGAATACGAATAGAAAAGAAGTGTCTTGGCCCACTAAATAGAAAGAAACACATTTATTGGAAAAAATTCTTAAAAAGTCTTACATGAAGTGGATTTGTCTTGACCGCATTCGTTGCCGCCAATAATGATGATCGAGTTTCAGGTTTCGTTCGAACTGCTGTACACCGTGACGCTTCTAGAAATAGAAAATTCTATTGCTTCGTTATGTTTTATCACCAAAAATAATAATAATGATACTAGCGACATTTTTTTTAATGAAATAAACTCTTACCGAAATGAATCGGAACTTTTTCGCTTTCTCTTCCATTCTTCTCCAATCGATCCAATTGAAAATAATTGGTATTCAACCGAACAGGAAATTCCTATAATTCCAATATTGTATAATTTACTATTACCATTGCATTTCTTACCGTGTATTCAAACTGAGCTTCTTCGCCAGTTTCAGGATTAATGAATGGTTCGGGAGCAGGAATGAATACCTGAAAATAAAAAAGGTCATCCAATTGAGTAAGAAGTGACCACATTAATGTGCGTTTTAATAAATATGTGGGTTTTGAGTATTAGTGACGTTAATTGAAGGACATATGAACATATATGTAGAAGTGCACAATATCAGCCGTGGAAAAGAAAAAAAAGCATGTGGGAATGCAAAAATCAACAAACCATTGATGTCCGCGAATCTGTCACCGAGCTCACATTCTAAATATGTATAAAACACTTCAAATCACTCTTCAAATAAGTAAATAAATATATGTATATAATAAACAGTAAGCCACAACTACAGTATCATGCGCAGCCTACTCATTTTTGAATAAAAATAAACTAACTGTTGTATGATTGTGAGAAACATCAGGCTCCAGAAGTTGAAGATCGCTGGTATCACGTCCTTCTGAAAAATTCCAAAAATATTCTCGCTATATATTTAAACTAACCGTCTTCCAATGCTGAAATTTTCGCAATACAATCATCGAAAAACGCATTATATGTGTTTTTGTCGGACACAAAACTTCGCTCTTCGATGAATCTCATAAACGATTGGGTTTCAGAAAATCTCTTGTAGAATTCCGCCGAAGATTTGTCGCGTGATCTCAAGAATCCTTCGAGATCGAACAAATTTCCGGTGTCAGTCGCTCGAGCGGTAGCTGGAGCACACGTAATAGGCCGTAAGTATGATTGATATCCCTAAAAATATGAACATATCGAAAAACATTTTTTAATACCTTCATAAGGGATGCCATGAATTTGAGAAAAGCGTTGTGAATCTCAATTTCATATTCTCGTCGTTTTCGCTGTTTCATCAAGTCTTGGTCAACAGGCACATATTCGATTTTTTTATTTTTTGCATTATTATCGGCTTCAGCTTTTTGAATTCTGCAAAATTCAATATATTCTATAAAGTCTTAAAATTTAAGTGCAAAATTTCAATTGTTTTCCTTCTCAAAAAAAAAAAATACAAATGTTTAAAATAACCTTACTTGGTATAAACATTATCGAGACATTGTTCGAGTTGTTTTGCCAATTTCTTTGGCAACATTCCCATTTTGAAAGTGGATCTGACCGACGAATAACTAATAGTTGATGTGTCGAGATCAAAGCATGTCACATCAAGTGGTGGATCCTCATAGAGCTCGAAATATCGCGAATCGACTCCGGCAATGAACGGAAGCGGAGCATGAAGGACACCGGCAAGTCCCAACGGGCATTGTGGAATATAAGGGCATTGCCAATGAAATGGAAACATCAGAGCACACACACTTTCAGCAACCGCGGCAAGCATCCACGGCCTGAAAATAAAGATATTGTCAAATAAAAATGGGAAAAAAAGAATGAAACCTGAGTGAATGTATTAGAATTTTCTGTTCCATCAATGCCAAAACCATCAAATTCATGAGATTCGTACTACCGAGACATTTTAGAGTATCATTTAATTGAGCACCTGCAACAAAGAGATAATTAAAAAATTCGAAAAAATTTCATTACTCATTCATATTCCTTTTTATATTTAAATCTTACCATTTAAGGGTAACTGGCTATCATCATGTGAATCAAAACTAATATTTTCAGCTCCCAACTGCATAAATACCCTAGGTCGACGAGGAGTGGGAAATGACACTTCGTACATCTGAATTATTTCTTTCTTTATACCAAATATATAGAAAATCATACCAAATGCGAGATATACCGTTCAATTGGAACAGATTGTGCTTTCGATGATGACAATCGATGAAGAAAAAATAAAAATCTCTGCAACCATGTGCCTCATTCGGACAAGAATAATTATAGTCAAACCTTAAACGAATTGAAAAAAGGATATCTTGATATCAGGCATATCGACACGTTTTTATAAAACAACATCTGAAAATCATTCCTGAGGTATTAAGTACTTTAAAAAAATTACATCATCAGCGGGATCATTATTACTAGTCGAATCTTCAACAGTTCCGCCTTCGAGATCTTTTTGGTCGTCGTTTTTCAAATCCAAAATCTCCAATTGCTCTTCTGTCAATTTCTTATTGTATTGCTCATAAAATGTGACCGCTGATCCGTAGAACTTGGTTCCATTCTGTAAAAATATCAATAATCGATAGTTATAAAATTTACATCGAATTATTCTGAACAAAAAAACCCTAACCTCATCGGTGAGCACAAACGTTGAAAATGAGCGATCGGGTGGTTGACATTTTTTTGGCCAACATTCGATAACAGCACCCATTGGTAGGCAAAACATAGCAACGTTCTGAGCCAATTTGAAATCTTCCATAGTCGGTGAATAATCTTTTCTTGGAAAATAATCCAAAACAGCTGGTTTATATGCCAATCTTTTCGCTACTCCTTGTGATTTTTTATAGCAAATATACACTTCGGAACCCACTATTCCCTAAAAAAAAACAAATAATTGAAAATTCAAAAATAAATTTCATACCTTATTTAATTTTTTCGGGATTTTATAATATGTGTGAGGCGGAATTTCGCCTTTGTTCGCCAATATAATCTTGATATCCGTGACGACAAATTGGCTTTGTGACGAATTTGGTGCCGCTCTTCGATACGTTAAGAAAATGTTTTGGGATGTATTGTTGACGTTGGCAACTTTTCCGAATGGTGTCCTATGCACCACATTTGTATCCACCATTGGTTTGTCGCCTTTCCCTTCATCAAGAATTCCAATATCGACAAGTGGCTGTTTATGATAACCGCGACGAAAGCACAAGAAGCATGAAGGAATCCGCAACGATCCATGGTTTAGATCGGCTGGATATCCGAGGGTAGTCGATTCAATGACTTCGTATCCTTCAGGAGGCTAAAAATGATAAATATTAAAACATTTAATAAAATACTAGATATTTTCTTTTAGATATTCTAAATTGTGTTCACAAATTTTAGCAAATGTTGAATGGAATATTTACACAAAGAACCTAAGTATCAATCATAATTTTCTTTTTTTTTTAAATAAACGCTATATTTACATGTTGTTATTATTATTCAGAAACAAATATTTACCGTTTCTCCATGTTGGGGAAATATCACAGTAATATCTGTAATCGGAGCCAATGGTTGCGTATTTCGCAGACCACATTCTTGAGAGGAAGGCGTTAAATATTCTAATTTTTTCGATTCATCAAGACCTTAAATCGCAATTATTTCAATTTTACAAGATTTATTCGATTACCTGCTATTACAAAATGCTCAAAAAGCCGCCGCTCGTCGGATGGCACCGACGAATTGCTCATCGCATGAATTTGCTAGCCTGATATGAAACGAACGATGCTCTAAAAGGAACAAAATAGTTTGTCACCAAACAAAATTGAATAAAAATGAGAAATAATTGAATAAAAAACTGCTTTTGGTGAGAAATGTGAAGAGGATGATGAGGGACTGAGACGAAAGTGGATGCGGCATGAGATGAAAAGGGCACTATAGAGCGCAAATGGAATGGTGTTTGCTTAAAATTGCACAGAAAAACTAATGCGTACCATGTGAATTCCGTTTTTCAAATTTATTTCGCATATAGAGATGAAAAAAAAATAAATACGTTATTTTTAATTCAAAATTTTGATTTAACATATAATGACACAAAAAAATAGCCTGTTCCTGTTTTTAAAAAAAGCGGCTCGTTTGAGGCAAGACTCAACTTAAAAAATATTCACGCGCCTTTAATAACTGTATCAAAACTCGTATTTTCGAAATTTTAAAACACGAGTTTTTTGTCGATGATCCTCAAATTGTCTTGAAAACCACTGATTTCGGGCTTTTTGTGTCAAATTTTCTATTTTTTTTTTAATTTCGATAGATTTAAAAGGAGAAATTTTTCATAAAAATTATGAATAAACAGTTATATCGCCAACTAAAAATAAAATGAATAATTGATTAAAGCACCATATTGCAAAGAATAAGGTTGTTATCACTGCAACAGATATGGTAGTCGTTTTTATTTTCGGAAACACTCGACATTTTGTACGAAAAAAACTGTGCCGAAACGACCATATAAATGTGCACAAATCTTCAAAAGCGTTTGCCGATTTCCGTCAAACTACGCAGTTTCTAATAGGAATCTACTGAAAATCTGCACAAAATTTTCGATATTGGTGAAAAAAAAATTTCCTGCGCCAATAGCTGTCATGATGGCGAATTAGCATCAAAATAACCAGTTTTATTGAAGGAAAATTTTAATTGGAGGATAATGCATTATAAAATTGAAAATTTTCGAGAGAATTTCCCAGCAATCTTTTTTTCGAAATAAACTATTAGATAAACACTTAAGAAAAGCTCTCTTTGATATGTAATGTGCATTTTTAAACGAAAATAAGTGGAAAAAGGATAAACGACGTACTTGAAAATGTATGCCAGAATTCTCAACAAAAGCGACTCTCGCACTGCAACAAGCAAGCCCAAAAAAATGAGAAAATTGATGGTGCGAGTGGTGTGCCAAATGACAAATTTGCTACTTGCACAACTCAGCTTCCGTCTTCTCAAAGTAAAAAAGTCCGGAAATATCCATAGAAAGAAAACCGAAAAAAAAAACACGGACATAAACATATGAATTTCGAAATGAGACATTCAATTCGCGACTGGTGTAGCTTCGATGCCGAACTCATTATCGAAACGACGCGCCAATTTTGGAGGTTGAGCCAGTCGGACTCGGCTCGGCTCGAAAGTCGAATAATTGGCGGCTGTGCGCCAAAACCGAGAAGGCGCGCTCACATTTGTTATTCAGTGAAATGAGAAACGCATTTTTTGGGCAGGATGAGAAATTGAAATCGCGCCACAATTTCACGAAATATTTGTTTTTCGGCGAGAGTGAATCGACAAAATTTGATTTGCGTTGAGAATTTATTTCTGTGGAATTTTGGTAAAAATTTCGAAATCAATCAACAATTTTGAATGAATACATATTTTCAGTGGATTAAAAAAAACCTCAAACTAATAAGAAAACATCGAAACATGTGCTAGAATTTGCGAAATGTTGGTTTTCCGATCACGTGATTTTGAATGAGACATGCGGCGCATGAAATTGCTCATTGAGAGCATCACCGAATACAAACGAATCCACACTGAGCTGTTGTCAAGGAGATTTCAGGTTGGGACCTTAGACGAGGATGAATGAAGCGGAAGGAAATGGTCCGTTGGCAGCGTTGTTCGATGACGAGACACGACGCAACAATCTTATTACACTTTTTGCAATATTCGACATATTTGGACGACAAATATAGGATTTTCTGAGAATTATGAATATAAGGGAAGGGATTAGATTTCAAAACTAATGAATCAGAAATCATTTTTAATTTGCAACGTGACCTATAGGTATTATAATTGAAAATATACAAAATTATAATGTTTTTCTATTTTTATCTATTCAGCAGATTTGCTATTTCTCTCAAAATTTTCTGAAAAACAAATCGAAATTGATTTTTCGCAATGGGCGAGACGAAAGAAAAAGTCAGACTTTTTGTGGACAGAATAATCTCAAAACTTATATTCAAATGGAATCGTTCATGTTCGATGGAACTTTTCACAACTGCAGAGCTCGCTGAGCTATGCTATAGAGGACGCGAGTTATTATGGACGGAGCCGTTGTGTCTTCAACTAAAGGCGCCGATATGTGTATTCGGTGACATTCACGGACAATTTGATGATCTTCTCAGCATGTTTGATCTCAATGGATGGCCGTTGACCAAAGAGGAATATGGTCAGCTGAAGGTACAAATTTGCAACGAAATATTGGAATAGTCGCATTAATATTTAGGAAAAAGCCAATAAGACGAATGCTGCTCGAAGCAAATTGTCTATTGTGAAATCGCCGTTTGAAGAAGTCCCGAAAAGCGATTTTTGCATGAAAAAATTCAAAGATGCTCCGGCTCGTTACCTATTTTTGGGCGATTATGTGGATCGAGGGCCATACTCGATTGAAGTCGTCACACTTCTAATTGCATTGAAAGTCCGCATCATTTTAGTAGATTTGATTCAAAATTGAATATTATTTGAAGCTTAATTACCCGAATCGTATATTTATGTTACGCGGAAATCACGAATCTCGGCCGGTCAATAAACATTATGGATTTTATCGAGAAGTCAAATATAGGTTTGAGTGATGTTACATACTATCCGAAAAATAATTTCTTTAAAATTTAACAAAAATGAAATGGACCGTCCATTAGCTTATTCAGAAAATTTGTCAAGATATATTTTTGTTGTTTTTTTTTCTAGCAAATACTGTTTAATATTATTTTTCAGATATTGCAAAGAGCTGTATGAGTGTTATCAAGACATGTTCAACATGCTACCAGTGACAGCCGTCGTAAATGATACAATAATGTGCATGCACGGTGGAATCAGTAGTCATTTGACAGCATTTGAGCAATTCGACGTTTTTCAACGGCCGCTGGAAATTCCAGATGTTGGAATAATCGCGGATCTTACATGGGCTGATCCGGATCCCGTAACCAATAGTCTTCATTATTGAACTTGCGATTATTGTTTAGAGTGTTGAAGAATATCAAGCATCGCCTCGCGGAGCATCTTTTGTGTTTGGGAGTGTGGCTCTTCGAGCATTTTTGAAAAAGCTAGGTCTTCAATTAATTGTCAGAGCGCATCAGGTGTGTTTTTCTCGATCGAATCTCGACGAAATTTTTCCAACATTGCAGGTTGTCGAAGATGGATATGAATTTTTTGACGAACGCCGTTTAGTCACCATATTCTCTGCTCCAAATTATTGTGGGCAACAGGATAATACGGCGTCAATATTGATAATCGATGAGAGTTTGGTATGTTTGATTTTTTAGTTTCAAACGTTGGACATTCATTTCCAGGAACTGAGTTTTCATTTGTACCGACCTGAGGCAAGAGAGCTCGAACGCTTAAAACCACCAGAACAGCAAGGCAAAAAAGAGGAATAATTGTTGGCATAGAAAATGAATCATTTAATGGTCTTAATTGATTAGACTGCGCGAGACACAGACTAATAAGACACGCCCATCTCTCGGGTGAGATGGATGTGGCGAGAAAGTGTGCTCCATTGCTAATCCAATTCGGCCACCGCCAAGCTTGCTCATTCAAATCCTCGGGTTTTTCCAATTTACCCTTTATTTACTCATTCTTTTATCTTTTTTTTTTGTTATTTTATTAATATTTTCTGTGGGAGAGATTACAGACCGTTAAAAATCTTGAATTTTATTCGTTTATTCATTCAATTATTCAAAAATTATGTTTTTTTTTCACGGACATGTTATCGCCTCATTGTTTTATAATGTTTTCACATTTTTGGTTTTTTTTTCTTGAATAGGTACGAAAAAGAATGCCGACAGATTAGTAATGCCTCAGCCAACAGACATGTTTTATTGCTAAATTCAAAGGTCGTCGCGAATTGGATATATTTCAGTGTTTATACAACTATTTGAGGCATTACCTGCCGTCTAAATTGAAAAAAAAGTGTTAAAATTCTATTCACATTGTAGAAAAGGCTTTTTTTTCAAAAATCGTGAACTAACTGAAAGTGCGAATTTTTATTTTCTAATTTTTAATTTTTTCTCATTTTGTAAACGATTGTAATTTCGAGTTAACATAAATAGAAATCTTAAAATTTTAGCGATAATTTAAAAACTTCATTTATTGTATTGTTTTATTATCGATCGATAATCTGAGACGCTGTAAGCGTGCCATGTGTTCCGCTTATTTGCGCACTCTATTGTGACACTTTGGCGGCAAGAAGAACACTGCAGAAGTCATCCATGAAAAGAATTATGCAATGTACAAATAACGTTTGCTGATTTTGCGAGAACGGACCATTGTTTTAGCTATTGCACTTATAGCCATTGAAATTCTCATCAGTGACTCTTTGATATTTATTAATTATAAGGTCCAGCCGTCAAATTAATCACAATTTTCGCATCATTTTTTGTTGGTTACGCTTTTGATTATCAGTCTAATCGAAATTCAACTTCAAGCTTAATCACATCATTTTCTTTTCGCATCGGCATGACAGTAATATTGGTTTGTTCACTTGCACATGGGTATAGAAAAAACCATAGAAATAAGTTGGCTTCACCATCAATTGGAAATTAATGGACCTATTCATTCGATAAAAAAATTAAAATGTTTTCCAAAAGGATGGAAAAAGCGGCGCATTTCATACAATTTTTGCCCATATGTTGTGTTTCCCGAAAATGGGGCATTCCACTCATCGCTGCTCGTCACTACCAACTGTTTTAATTGTCAGCTCGTCAGGCTCCCATGAGACCCTAAACAAACCATATGCAAAACACTCAATGCCGACACCCGCCACCACATTATTGTTTCGACCTTCTTTTGTCGGCGTTCGGCTTGAGTCGTGTCTTGCAATCCATCCAGCCAAATTTATTGCTCATCGAATATTAACACGATTCGCGGTTGCGTCAGGTTTATTTGGTGCATAATTGCCGTTTGCCGTATCCTATTGTATATAAGAAAGAATACGAGGGTGAACTAATCGAATTGCCGATATTAATATTCATTAATTTCAATAGGTATCCTTTTAGCAGATGGCTTCAACTTGCCCAAGTCGTCATATAATTGTTGTAAATATAATATAAATATTTGGATTTGTTTCATCAAACATAGACAGGCCTCCTAATTTATCAATCAATTAGGCAGGCTCTTGTCCGAAACCGGTTCGTTCTCAGCGGGATGTCGCATTACGCTGTTCCTTTTTTATTTGTTTCGAAATGCTCGATACTATCTAATGACTGCTTTTAGAAAGTTTCTAAGCACAAATAAAGCAATAATATTCCAAAAAAATACAATTTAAAGTCATAGTCGTGAATTCGTTCGGTAAGAAACTTGGTAATGCCTAAAAATGCGTTTTGATTCTGTAGTTTCTAAGTTTTGTAAGTAAGTTTTCTTTGTAACGAAAGGTGTGTTACAAAAACTGTGAGATCTAGGGGAAAGTATTATTTTATGTATTTAACATATATGACCTTTAAAACATGTTTTTACGATCCTCGATATTGTGTTTCCCAGATTGTGGTTGTTTCATATTTTTTCTTCTTGGCCTGCTAATTTGAATAATGAAACGGAACTGCCGACAGGTTGTCGATTTCATCAGCTCCTGTGTGGATTCCCGTCGGCGACCTTGGCGCACTCCCGCCCCTTTTGGTGCCAGCCTATTACTGCACTTCATCTTGTCCACCTGCTCTTCGCCATAATTTGTTTTCGTCGCGCAATTATCAACTTGCCATATGATCCTGTAACAATAGTACCGAACCATTGTATTTGTGTTGATGGAATCATGCTCTCCATGAGTCATGCTCCAGGCCAATTCAAGTCTTGGGCTTTTCCGTGTATATTGCATTGGCGTCGGTCATAAATCTGGCGTTTGAAAAGCGGCACCGTCATCGAAATAATAACTGTGCCGCATTTTATACGATGTTTATTTGAAAAAATGCGATCCCGACTTGTCTTCGCTGCGTTTACGTTTTGCGCTTGTATCATTCATATTCGACTTTTCGTTTATATGCAACTCATCTATTTTTTTTCTATTTTACAGATAGCTTCCTCGAATTTTGTTATCGATTTTCGTTCTCGTCGTCATCGCGCACGCGTTGGGCGATTTAACTGTGAGAGCCGAAAATGATGCGAGCGGAACGAAGGGCTCTGTTGGACTCGAACCTATTGTCGTTTTCCAAGTTGATGAAGACAGACGCTGTTATGGACTTGCTTGTTGCCAAAAAGATTTTCAACGATACTGTTGTCGACAATGTCTACGTGAGTTTAAAATCATTTTTGTTTTTTTAACGTTGTTAAACATTTTTGCATGTGAAATGATCATTAATAATATTGACCTTCCTAAAAAATTTTTTTCAGCAGGATTGCTGAGTTTGCTGATATATTCCGATAACGTTAAGCTTTTTTAAAAATTATTCCAGGGTTGTTAAATTTTGGGCCCGGCCGGCTTTTTTCGCTGTCAAATTTTCGGCCCCCGACTCCGTTGTTTACGGCTGCACGGCCGAAGCGGGAATTCGAAAAAAAGCCGAAAGCCGGCTTCAATTTACCAACCCTGAATTATTCATATTGAATGATGCGAAATTTTCATTAATATATTCATTCAATAACAAATATGAAAAATTGCAGATTGTAAATTTTTCAAATGCATGTATGCAAAAAATACATTTAATGAATAAGAAATTGAGATTTTTAGTCTGGAAGAACCGAACGTGAAAGAAGGAAAGAAGTTATTCGAGCTGTTCAGCGCCGTGGCGATGCTGCGTAATAATAGAAAACTCACTTTCATTTCATTTTTTTTTAATTTTTCAGTTACGAGGCTCTTTATAATGCGCTTAACGAATCTGGGCAACATGAGCTTGCGGAGTTGATGAAGCCTCTGGTGAATGAGGCATTGTTGTCTTCTACAACGACGATTGACGACGTCGAGATGCCTACTTTGCGACGGAACACAATCAGTCCAAGAGGAAGCCACCGCATATCAAATTATTCTATTTCTATGGATTCTTACGACGAATCGTTCGTAGATCTTTAATTTTTACTGTTTTATTGTTTTGTTTTCAAGGGAATCGCATATTCATGAAATTACTACTCGTTCGCCAAGACTGCGTCATCGCGATTTATCAGCGGTATTTACTGGGGGACGAGTCAGCCGTCCAAGTCGAAGTACGAGCATGGTCGATACATACGATGTGTAAGTGTTGTATTCTCTTCGTAGGGTTTCATCAGATTTTCAGTGAGATGATACCGATACAACCTCCAAGTCCGCATCGCCATCGTCGAGCCACAAGCCCAACTTATTCACCATCCCGTCGACGCATTCAAACCGCGAGAGAGACTGTTCCTTTGACTCCACAATCCTACCAGATGTCGTTCCAAGAGGCTTTGAATCGTGCTCGCTCCAGATCTCGGCCGCGCGCTCTTCAGGATACCGATCGTCTCAACTATCAGGCCTGTAATTACTTCACTAGAGGAGAGCCAAGTAAGTTAAACCTAGATTACCAGTTTGTGATTCAATTGTTGCAACAGAACTTCCTGCAGAATCGCCAACTCGCAATTACTGTTCGGTTTACAATTTGCGATCATCACTTGGACGAAAAGTCCAGGATATGCATTATGTATTCCAGGAGGAGAGCATGAATTATGTCGATGCACCTTTCATTGAGCGAATTTTCGACAGAGAAACTGTAAGAATTACAAGTTTCGACAAAGAACAAATGATCGTTGATTTTTCAGATGTACCCCAATTTTACCAACCCTCGCGGACTTTGTCTCATAATTAATAATGAGCATTTTGAGCAAATGCCGTCGAGAAATGGAACCAAAACCGATAAGGAAAACATATCGAATTTGTTCAGATGTATGGGATATACCATTGTCACTCGCGACAATTTGTCCGCCAGGGTATTTTTTCGATTTCAAACATTTCTATTCGATATTCTATTCAAGGAATTATTGCAAGAAGTCCATAATTTTGCCAAGGATCCAATGCATCGTCGTTGTTCATCAGCCATTATTGTAATTTTATCACATGGAGAAGAAAATCAGATAATAGGTATAACTCAATTATATTCCGAGCGAATAATATTTATTTATTTTTTTGAAGGAGTCGATGATCAAACCGTCAGCACTCATGATCTTCTCGACCTTTTGAGCGCTTCTAAAGCGCCGAATTTGGCGAACAAACCGAAGTTAATATTTGTTCAGGCTTGTCGTGGAGGTAACTATCCAAATTATCGTATTATTATCTAGTGTTGTATGCAGAACGACGTGACACAGGATTCCCTGTGATTGATTCGACGGACGGAATTCCGGCGCTTCTTCGTCGCAATGCCTATGATAAAGGCGACGGGCCTTTGTTCAACTTTCTGGGCTGCGTTCGACCGCAGGCCCAACCGACATATCGAAAGAAACCAGAGCAGGCCGATATTCTGGTGGCTTACGCGACGACGGCGCAGTATGTGTCGTGGCGCAACAGTGTCCGCGGCTCGTGGTTCATTCAAGCGATTTGTGAAGTTTTTGCGCAGCATGCACGCAATATGGATATCATTGAAATGCTAACCGAAGTCAATAAGAAAGTCGCTTGTGGATTTCAAACTTCGCAAGGCTCCACCACTCTGAAACAAATGCCAGAGGTAATTTTTATATTCACATTTGAATATTCGTCACAAAGAAGGGTTTTCCCCGTCGCAAAGATGAGTTGTAGTTTTCTGAATCAAAATACATTTTCAGCTCACATCTCGTCTTGTGAAAAAATTCTACTTTTGGCCATGCCGTGCTTCGTCTGTCTGATGTTGTACCCACTGCTTCCATATACATATCATATACATATTCTTTTTGTCTTCGATTCCCAACCCCATCCATTCGATATCTTTCATCTTTTGTTAACTATGTGTATAGTTGTTTGAAATTTAACTGTTTTCGTCCGAATACTTTAATTTGTTATACCATTGCCCATCCAAACCCCATCAATTCGAAACATGTTTAGTCGGAAAAGAAAATCGTCATAGTTGAATTATATATGACATGATATTTATTAATATTATTAATAGTTTTGTGTGTATATAATAATAATGATGATTTGCTGCCCAACACTAATCGAATGCTCTTTTTCCGCACATCCCCGCCTTCCCAAATATTTCCCCTCCAACATTCGTCGATCTATGTATTCATCACAGACGAGAAACGTTCATTTCTTTTAGTATTCTCTTCTGTTTCATATTGCACCTCCTATATTTTGATTATTTTGATTGTAATTCGCCGTGCATACCGCTAGTCGGTTCAAAGCGTTTTTCAGTTGAAAAATGAACTCCGTTCTGGTCTTTCTACAACATTTCGAGCTTTACCAAATTCGAATTTAAATCCTGTATTCATTTTTTGCCGTTTTTTCTTCGAACTCTTCCATTCCATTTCTTTTCGATTCTGTGATGAGCAGACTATACATTTTGTTTTGCGTTTTGTCGTCTAGTTGTGACTATTTCCGATGACTTGTTCTGTCTATACGTTAGCAGGCAGTTGTTAATCACTTGTGCGATTACATTCCACACAATTTTTAAATGTGCCATTACTATTCCTATAGGATCTGCATGTTCGTTTCTGCTATGTGGATAATTGCTATCAATGAAAATCGTTGATTATATAGCTCAATTTTTAGCATTTATTTTTTTTTGAAAAAACGGATAGGGTTTTTGAACAATTTCATACATTTTGAATATTCGTCTACTTACGTTATAGGGCAATTAGGAAAAGAAGAGGTCAATTTCAATGCACCAAATTTTTATTTTTTCCTTTTTGCTGCCTTGAAATTTGCTATATATTTATTGTTTGTCATTTTTTCTGCAAGAGTCTATCCTTATCGTAATTAATCACTAGACAGCTGAGAAAACATTCTTTGTGTAATCCGCATTCCTTTTTATGAGATTGCGAAAAAGAAAAACCACAAGAATTTGTATCTTGACAACTACATGATGGATGATAGGAATATTTTAATTCGGCAATTCTAAACTTTTTGTTCGGACCACACAAAAACCTTTGTTTGGAAATTCCTTAGATGAATATATTCTCCTCTTTTTTTTTCGACTAGAATTAGTACACAATTGATTATGAGCTTCAGAAATTTTTTGTTGTCGAATCTTTGACGAATAGCCGCCGGTGAGATGAGTTGTTTCAACAATTTTACGTCAATCGCGAAATCAACTCGAATTGTCTGATTTTGCTTTTTTTTGAATGCACGAATGTTCAAAGTTGTTCAAGAAATGATGATTTTTGAGGATTTTCGGTGGCCAACATGAAACATTCTGAAATTTGGACAAACAATTCACCGATCCAACATTCTCGTACTCATAACAATCAAAACGAGGAAAAAAAGAACAGTTGGCACGAAGCATCAACCCGGAGAGCCTCAAGAAATCCTGTCTGCGTCTCTTCCTCTCCGCCCGCTATTTCACCCCATTTTGCAATTGTTTTACACTCTCGCTCCCTGTGTGTCACCCTCCGGCTTCTGAAGGACTTCTCCTCCCGCGTTTCTCAACGAGCTCCTCCTCCGTCTCATTCAGCTACTGCCGCCACCATCACCACTGCCGCCGCTCGAGCTTCTGCTGCCCGTGCTTATTCTTCCACTGCTCAACTTCTGCTAGCTGTTCGCCCCGCACACTTCTTGATTCGGACGTGTCGTGATATTGTTCGCATCGGCACCTAAATGAGTAGTATCCGTGCGCCGACAATCGCGAATCGTCGTCGTCATCTGGTCGAGTAGGGCGGAATGAGAGCGCTCGGACTCGTCGTCGTCGCCGCGATCCTTTTGACAGGTTCGTCCGTTACACTTCCTTGCTGGTCGGGTCCCCCCTTCCTTTTTTGCGTGTTTCAAGTGCACCAAAAGCCTATTGAGAACGCATCCCAAAACATAATGGACATATTTTCGAAAAACTCGCCCCGCTGCCTAAATTCGTTGATGAAGCGTGGGAAGTTGAGATTCCAAAATCGCTCTTAATCATTCCATTCAATTATTTTGGAACCTTTGCAATCAAAACAAAAATATGTAAAAACAGAATCATGAACTCAAAAGAGCATAGTTTTGATCAGATATGAATGATGAATGTTACATAAAACCGACGAAGCAAAAATAAAAAAAAGAGCTCGTTTGAACCAAAGTGGCTCGTATCAACCAAAGTGTTCGTTTTTTTTTCACTTTTTCGCAAACTCCTTCCAATTGTGCAAATTACACCCTTTTAGAGTTTGAGATCATTAATCACAAGTGTATTTAGTTGGTTGAATGTTATAGAACTGATCAGAAACTTAATTCCCTCTCGAATTCTTGATATTCCAATATTTCTATTAATTACATTTTGTGTTTTTTTTTTGAAGAATATTGTATTGTCTTCTTTTTTTTCAAACAATACCCGATTCTCGGAAGCGGGACATTTTGAAAGTTTAAAACTTAAAGTGAAATCGCCGAAATTCGATTTTGATTCTCGCATTCGATTCCTCGATTCTACAAACGTTTGCTAATTGCATTCGGCATTCTTCTTTCTGTTTCCTTCCAGTTTTTCTCGAAGAAAAAAAAAGAGGCGGAAATTCTCATATTATGAATTTCGAAACGGTGCCCTTCTTTGATTGTTCATTCTTGCTTGTTTTCTGCTCGTCCTTCGTATAATTCCATTTCTTCGCTTTTTGTTTTGGTTTTCTTTCTCCTCCTCCTCTTCTTCATCTTCGTCTTCTTCATATAAATCAAGCGCGAGCGCGAGCTCAGCTTTTTCGCATAACTTCCGGTCATTTAGGTCTGTGTATGTGTGACGAACCAAAAAAAAACAAAACGTTTATTAAAATGGCCGTTTGCAAGTGATCGTTTGCTAGTCGAAATGTCGGGACGTTGTCGACTACTCGCGAAAAATGACCGTTGCTTTCAGTGCGCGTCGGGGATTTAAGAAGCCCGACAAAAAAAATGGGCGAAACAAGCGACGATGAACCGATGGATTAGGTGTGCTCAACTATCGTCGAAATAGCACCGATTCAGATGATTCGGCGAAGAGTTGCAAAATATTTACGTCTTCCCATTGTAGTCATTTCATAATTGAAGAGACACGGGGATTACTAGTTGACTTTTCTCTTGGTCGCACGTCTCAATCCTTTTATTGCTTTTGAAACCTTGGGTTGAAAATTCTGCAAAATGTCAGTCTCAATTATGAACCATATGAGGCTACCTTGCAAATGGTCCCATTATTTTTATTACTCAATTAAGATTAAATAATAGTGCGTTTAATTCGATTTCTATTCGAAAATCTGTATCATCTGGGTCAACTATTTCTATCTTTCTATTAATTTAATTTTGGATAGGGTTAATCAAATTGCGTCGAGACACTATTCCTCCCTCCTACTCCTCCTCCTCATCTTCTTCTTCAAATTTTGATCATTGTTTTCACAACCAAGCCTCCGGCCCGTAGATGTAAAAATGTGCATTTGCGGATGAAAGTCCGAAGCCCACGTGGATACTCAATTAGCAGCACCGCCCGTAATCCGACACCCCGTCGTAAAGGTGCCGCGAAAAATAGTATGCGTTGTTGTGGGTTGTTGAAAGCGTCGTCGGCCAGCCCAGCAGACGGCCACCTTGTCTAATGGAATCTTTGAAAGTCGTTTTCGAGTTCAATGCGCGCGTTTTCCGGTCAGATGGACTTTTTTCGGGTTGCTCGTTGTCGGACTCGAAATTATGCGGTTTGAGTTTGTCCAGTCGAAAATTCGATGCGCCCCCCCAGAGTCGACAAGTGTTCCCTAGCTTCGCGAATGTGACACTTTTTTGGGGGCAAACCACACACTCACATACACACAAAACAAACAAGAGAGATAACAAATCGAGAGTTCGTGTTGGTCCGCGTCTTTTGGGGGTTTCTCACTATTTATAATCTATCCTCAAATTTACGAAACATGTTTGGAAACAAAACGAAAACAATTCTAAAGTCTCATGGAAAAAAAAATATTTCATGCTGTTAAATTGTTCTTTAAATTTTGCTTCACAATTAATTTTAGTCGGCATTCTGCTTACGCGCAGACGACTTCGCTATGGTCTCGAAAAGCAATTCGGTTCATTTTTAACTTCAATGTATACCTAATAATATATATGTAATAATATAATATAATATAATGTAATATATACCTGAAAATTAAAAAAAAAAAGTTTTTGCGTGTGGACACCGACCCGAACTTTGTAATAAAATAGAATTGCATTTCTCGAAGGTTCGAACTAGATCGAAATAAAGTGGCACTTAGTTTGATACCAATGATTTACTTTATAAAGTTCTATAAATGGTTTATATTCAAAAATTGTATTGAATTATCGGTTGCTTTTTTTCCAGAAAAATGTGTGCAATGCGAAGACATCGACGCCGAAGATCGTCTAATGGTCGACTTGTTCCGCGGCTACAACTCGCTGGTGCAGGTCTGCGAAATCGCTATCAGATTCCCATTATAAAACACAACACAATTCAGCCTGTCCGAAATCGAACCGAGTTGCCAATGATTGTGAAAATCGGAATGCAACTCGTCCTTCTGATCAACGTCGACGAAAAAGAGCAAGTAATGCACACAAACGTCTGGCTCACGATTGTACGATTTTTCAACATTTTTCGATAGACCATTTTTACTAGATCATTTAGACGTGGCATGATTTTCAACTTCAATGGGATCCGAGAGATTATGGCAATATAACACAAATTCGAGTTGCTCCTGAGAAAGTTTGGCTTCCTGATATTGTGCTCTTCAACAAGTAACACACTAAAACAATTCGACGCAAGTGTCTCATGCATAATTATTTAGTGCTGATGGCAATTATGAGGTCTCGTTCATGTGCAATGTGCTTGTTTTACACACAGGAACCGTGTTATGGGTGCCTCCGGCGATTTACAAAAGCAGTTGCATTATTGGTAGTCGACGAATCGCGAGGGGTGGTGGTATCATACAAAAAATCGATTTTTAGATGTCGAATTTTTCCCGTTTGACGATCAACTTTGCAGTCTGACATTCGGCTCGTGGACGGTGAATAATTGAGCATTTTTGCGAATGAGGAATCAAATTCGAGAAATTTCAGTACAACAAAGACGAGATCAAATTGGACTTTTTGAAATCGAATCGCGTCGACTTTTCCGAATATTCGACGAGTTCCATTTGGGATATGATGGACGGACCGGCCGTGCTGAAAACTGATCGGAGTCGCATCGAATTCCAAATTCGAATTCGTCGCAAGACTCTTTTCTACACCGTCGTGCTCATTCTGCCAACTGTCCTCCTAGCATTTCTCAATGTCACTGTATTCTATCTTCCAACCGCTTCCGGTAACATCTTGAAGAAATTGAAAATTCGGAATTATTCAATGTTTCAGGTGAAAAAATGGGTCTCACAATGAACGTTTTGCTTTCGATTGTTGTGTTCTTGCTGCTGGTTTCGAAAATTCTGCCGCCAACGTCTTCCTCGATTCCATTGGTATTCATCGCATTTTAATTGTTGCGAGTTTTCTTTTTCAAATTTTCAGGTCGCCAAATATCTATTGCTCACATTCGTCCTCAATATAATCACAATCATGGTAACCACAATTATTTGTAACATTTATTTCCGAAGTCCGATCACTCATCGATTGCCGCCGTGGGTTCGCACCGTGTTTCTCGACGTGAGTTGTGGAATGTTTGATGGATCGAGACGTGAAATTTGATACTCGCAATTATGTTGTAATCACAGTCACATGAGAATGAGATTATGATGATTGGTAGATGCTTCTTGAGAGAAGGCATTTAAGTAATTCAAAAATGAAACGTTTCCGTATTAATTTTTTTGTTATGTAGTTTGGTTTGTCAAATACGGAATTCTTCTGGTTTCAGGTTGTGGGAATTCAAAAAAAAAACAAAACCGAGAAGTTTCATTGAGCAGCTTGCTATAATTAAAAAAATATATATACCTATTTTCCGTTTGGAACTCATAGCGGACCTCTTCTTCCCCAGTTTTTTGAAGCAAATTTTCCGTAGTCGCATAATGCCGAAAAATCATATATTTTATTAATTTGCCATTTTGAATTTTTATTTTTTAGACATTGCAATATATCTAATTTCAGGTACTCCCTCTTCTAATGTGTATGCAAAGACCGCATCGCAAAAACGTCGTCGAGAAAGTGCATCGTAAACTACTCGAGAAAGGGCCAAGTGTCGAAGAGCACACGATGAGAACCGGCGAACATCATCCGCTGTGCAAGCACACTCACAATCAGTACGCATCAGTTCGAATTCGTTTGAAAAGAGTCTGTTCGAAATTTCAGCGATTCGTGTCGAAAAGTGCGAATTCAAGACGATTTCGACGAGGAATTATCGCCCGAAGCTCAGCGAGCCGTCGATGCTATCGAATTCATCACGGAAAATCGGAGGGATGAAGAAATCTCAAAACAGGTACCAGCATATTTCAATATCGCAAAAAATACGAGCGCCTTGCATAATTGTGGACAATCACAATTCGTAATTCATATTTGAATTTAATCAGTGAGAATTCGGATACCGTATTCTGGATAACCTGCGAATAAATCGGCGCTCGTTTTTTTTAATTGTCTTTGTTAATTGAAAAATTGCGAAAAATCAATTTCCAGTTTCGAGATGACTGGAAATTCATTGCTAGTGTTGTCGATCGTTTTCTCCTTTATGGATTCTTCGGAGCCACTTTAGGTGGTACTATAGGTAGTGTTGTAACTTAGCACGAAGTAATGATCATCAAATTTCTAGGTATTGTATTTTCTGCTCCATCGGTTTTCGAGCCGTTTGATGAATTTGCTCAACTCGAAAAGCTCAAACTATTCTATGAAATGGGTCTTTCGAATGATACGCTTCCCGTGGTGGGACCTTGACTTGATTCTTTTTGATTTTTCATTACTTTATTGTATGTACATATGGATCATCGAAAACCGGTTAAATAGGAATCTTCATTGTTATATTACAATTATTTGGAAACGCAATAATATTTTTTGAAACTCAACGAGATTATAATGCAAATTGGCATTTAAAAGAACACATTGAGAAATTTGACGACATAGTCGCTACAGAATCACGGGATATTGTGGAAGAAGACCGACTCGACCCGACTGACGATTATTTTTTTTCAGTGGAAAAGCGAACACTAGCGTCCGTCAAAAAATGCGACGTATCTAACATTTTCCACAAGAAGCCTTGCAGAAGATCTTCATGAATTTGCTTTCGCTATTGCATTCGCCGATTTTCGCCCAATAGCTGCAGAACAGATTCTTGTCCTCGCACTTCTCTTTCGGCGCCGCTGTCGTTGTTGACGTCGTTGAACTCGTCACCTCTTTCTTGCCTTCTTTGCCACGTGGCGATTTCGTCGTCGTCGTCGTCGGAAGTTCCGAATCGCAAAGACCGCACGCTTTACGACAATAATGAGCCATGTATTTAACCGAATGTTGGCAATGCCCCAATTGCTCCCACATACCGCAATGAGCGTTCAAATCCTCGCATTCTGTAAAAACATTCTTTTATATACTGAGTATTTCACAAGCCTACTTTTGTTACGAGACCTCTCAATTGGTTTTGTGGTATGTTTTGGAGTTGTTGTGGTTGTGGTCGACTTCTGGAACAATTTCATTAATAAGTTCACAATTTTGAAAAAAAAATTAGTTTGCCTTTGTAGATTTTTCTACTTCTTCTTCCTCTTCCGTAGTCGTTGTCTCGGGTTTTTCAGTTGTCGTCGTTGTTGTGGTTGTAGTAGTGGTGGTTGTCGTCGTGGTAGTCTTCGAATACTCTCCGCATTGGTACAGCTTGTTCACCTTCTTCGCGTCCATGTCGGACAGTTTATATCGTTGTCCAACATCCGCATCAGTCTCCTTCGGCACGATCGTTGGTTTGCCGTTGCGCGAGAATGCCAACTTATGGTAATGCATCACCGATTCGTAGTCGTACGGCATTCCAAGAGAATCGATAATCTTGCGCGGATACTTTTCAAAGTTTCTCATCATTCCTGGCTTGATGTTGTCTTCTATTATATTCACGAAATCGTCGCGATCAGTCCTTGAATGCTCATGGAAGAAGCCCAAAGCATGCATAAGTTCATGCGCAATAATTCCCTAAATATTCGAGCTTCAGTATTTCTTCGTTTTGAATCAGACCTTCGAGAAGCATTTGTCGACTTCAAGGGAGACAGTTTGATTTCCTCCAGCTCTTCCGACATACGATGAGCACCCGAATGCCACGTTTCGTTTCACATAAATGTAATCGAAATCGTCTTCGGTTCTTGGCACAAATCGTACACAAGTTTTTTGTTTATATTCATCAAAAGCTTGAGCAATTGCAGCTCTCTGACTGAAAATTGATACATTATCGGGAGTGGTTGAACATTTTCGAATTACTCATTCGTCATTCCTTCTTCCAACATATACGGAACTTGCGCGTCAGGCCACAACTTGTCGGGATAAGTCACAAGGTTCAACGCACTGTGGTACTGAATAAATTGGTTCCAATTTTCAATTAAAAAAAAATAAAACTTAAAAATTTTATATTCGTTTAGCTACATCATCATCTGTAAAAATACTCACCGGTCTTCTGAAAATCGCTTCATCATCTTCGACCATTGGATCATCCCGCAATCTTTTCAAAATATCAACCTTCTCGATTTCCGGCACTCCCATAATATCGCCTTCGAACAGCATCGAATTCTGCATCGACTCGATCTCAGCATCCGATGGCTTCTTCACCGGCGTCGTTTCGCCATTATGAAAATCTTCGGGTTGCAGAAAGTGTTCGGCAAAATCTTGAATTCAAATATTTTATTTTTGAAAAGAATTGACTTGAGAAAAAAAAACACACCATCAAACTTGGATTTGACATTCTGTGCTTGTTCGCTCGGAATCGGCAACACTCCGATAGCATTCACGGCGGATATGAAGACGATTATCGCGACACATAATCTCATCATCGAACAATTCCACGGGGCACCCGAGTTCCCGTTTTCTGTGTGTATGAATTGCCTATAAAAAGGTGATAGTAGGAAATTTCAAAATTAAATCTCTTCCAAAGCGTATGACTCAGAAAAACGATAAGTAATTGAAAAATGAGAGAGGCTTTGAATAGTGTCGGAAATGACAATGTAAAGTGAGCGGACTAAATGAATGACGAGTGGTCGGAATGTGGCACAGGTCAGATTGAGGTGGCGACCGACCGGTTCAAAAACGGATGCCTTCCGACCGCGCGTTCCGTTTTTCTTGTGCTCTTCCTTTTTATTCTCCGTTTTTTTCGTTCTCGCTTCTCGCACTCTCATGCTCTTTCCCCTTAAAGACGGTGTTTTGTTTGTGGACTCACTGTGCTGCTGCTGCTTCTGCTGCTGCTCCCACTTGATGATATAACAAACAAAATAACATGAAAATCGCACTCTGTTTTTTTTCGTCTTTTTGCAAGCCAACAACCCGGATGTTTGTATGGTCATAAATTTTTCTTTTGAGATTTTCTATTCATTTGCCTTTATTAAATCTTTAGCTTTCTTGCCCATTGCTGATCTTGCAACTCATGAAACATGTTGCTAAATCCTACTATTCGAGCCCATGAAAAAAAAATTGTAAGAAAGAGATTTTAAGAAATTTTCAGAAAACTCGGGAAAATTTTGATTTTCCAAATCAAAGGCACCAATTTCAATTTCGGAATCTCTCTTTACATATAGTTTTTGGCGGAAATCGCATTGTGCATACGGGCCCTGTTTGAAAAATTTATTTTTTTTCATTTTATTACTTCATTGTCTTTATTTTTATTTATTTAACCTCAATAAAATAAATTTTCAAAGTTTCTTTTTTTTAATTCCGAAATTGGGAATTCATTTGGTCGGCATCGCGCAATTGCCGTTTTTTAGGCATTTGGTAAATGCTTTAACCTAACTTGTGGGCTATGAAATGCGCCATTTGAAACTGTGCGTGATTTAACTTTTTTTTCCTGCTTATGCATAGATCCGTGTATCTACAATTTTAGTTTTACGCCAATTGTCATTGCTTTTTTAAACATTTAATCAATTTACCGCAGTCGCGCGATACCGTCAATAATAATTTAATATCATGATTTGAGTTTCCATCACCAATTTAGAGCGAAATAAAATTTTTAAACGGAAATAGCGTTATAGAAATGTTAGGTTAAGTTATCATTAGTTAAATGCCATGAATATGATATAAAAGGAAAATGAAGAGAAAAAAAAGAGAAAATGAATATGTTTCTTATTTTTCCTTTATTATTTTTCAGAAATTCACCATGATTTGAAACTTTCATTTTTTTAAGAAAAAAGAAGAAAAAAAACAAACTTTTGTTCAATTCTTGTAGGTTTTTTGTTTCTATTTGGATTTGACGAGGAAAGTTAAAAAAAAAAGAAAAGAAAAAAACGAAAAATCGGAGAATCGAAATCAATTGCGATCGCGAGAAAAAAGGGACGAGCCGTGAGAGGTCGAGGTGTTCGCGTCGAGTGGGATTGAAAGGACGAGAATATTTCGAAAAGGTGCAAACCACTGGAACAATGGAAGAAGCTTCAGAGGCCGCCGCCGCGGCGCTGAAGTCGGCTATGCGATGTGTGTGTGGCTGTGTTGGAGCACAAAAAGAGAAATGTCAATATTGAATCGACTGCTGGACACTGGATGGACACTTGCAAACCTTTTGGCATCTCCGCCGGATCATGTCCGACAATGATCGAGTGATGACTCAAAAACAAAACCAGACTATTTCCATTGTCTCCGAAATCATAATATTTCCATGAGTCACATTTTCATTGAAAATTTTGATTTTTGAACGGAATGAATATATTTTTGCGTGATCTTTTAATAACTATTGTTGTTTTTGGCCATTTTTTTTGCAATTTTTTGGTTTTCAACGGGCATTAATGATATCAATATATTGATGTATATATAGTTGGCGTCCGGCGACTGCTGTACGCGAGTAGATTTACGGGAATGCGTCTTTCGAAATGGTCTCGCGAGGACTAACAGGTTATTTCAAATTTTATGAGCCGGTTCGATAATTTTTAAATCGAACGACATTAGAAATTCCAAGAAATGCCAAACTCATCAAGAAAAATGAAGCAGTTCACGTGAAAACAGCAAAAGAAGCATTCATGCGTGGCGAGACCTTTTCACGGCGCATGCGCGTAAATCTACCCTCGTACAGCAGTCGTCGGACGCCGACTATATATATATATATATATATATATATATATATATATATATTGCATTATAATGTACGCGCTTCAGTCAACGATTAATTTGAATCTACACTAATTTCGTGAATTTGTGCCAATGGAAATAACTATTTTGAAAAAAAAAACAAAAATACATACTAACGAAAACTTCAACGAGTCTGACGGCATAGATAGCCGCGTTTTTTTTAAGAAGACTATATAACTATATTAGTATAATTTCACGACTCAACTTCTTTTGTCTAAGGCTCAATTTTCATTGTTTTGTGTGTGTGTGTGTGTCGCCGCAGTTCGCTTTTGCTTTCAAACATTCACTGCGCAGCTCCTTATTTGCCCTCGACTCATGCGCTTCATCAGTTCACTCTTTCGCTCATTGTGAATCGTGCGACAACGACAGACAATGGCATGAAAGGCAAGATTGTGTTTCGGCAGTTTCACAGATTTTTACTATCTTCTCATGCGAAATATACAATTTGAAAAGGGTAATGGTGATTTGAGAATGATTGAATAATGTACAGAATTAGTTAGTGGGTTAGGGTCAGATATTAGCAATTAATAGTTTTCTTCATGGTTCTGACACGCTGGGATCTCACTTTCTGGCGCGCAGGCTCCGTGATTAGATGAGAATTTTAATCCATTTTCGCAGGTAAACACGGATTCATTTCCATTGACACAGTTGTTGTAGATGTCAGAGCAGGGAGCAATTTCGGTAGCACCTTCGGCACAGGCTGGGGTATCTAAAATCGAAACTAAAATTTTAAAATGTAAATTTTTATGTCATACCATTAGCTGGTTCACTGATTGTCTCCACAGGAACGACTGGAGCAGTCTCCTCTGGATAGCCACTCTCCTGCTCAGTTGTCGTTGTCTCTTCTGGATAAGTTAATTCCTGTTCAGTGGTCTCCCCTGGATAAACTGGGACTTGCTCGGTAGTGGTCTCATCTTGCTGAACTGTGGTTGTTTCCTCTGGATAATATGGAACATCTTCAGTAGTGCTTGAAACATCCTGAAAGTGTTTTTTTCAAACAATAACTGAAATAATATCATTTCTTACAGCGGAAGTGCTTGAAGTCGGCTCCTCATAACCATAGCCATTATCGTATGGAAGATCTCCTGACGACTCATCAGTTGATGGCAGTTGACCAGAAGCTCCTTGGCACTCTGGAACAGCCAATGGGTAGTCGCAAAGTTGGCGGGCTTCATCGAAGGCCAAACTAGCTGGACACATCATTGGAATAGAACGTCCGTTACTGCAAGCGGTGTAGTGGTCACTGCATTCTCCGTACGAGAAGAATCCATCCTCCTGGCATTCACGAATTTCAGCAGCTCTAGGGCTGGTAGATGGTTGATCTGTGGCAGTAGTTGGCTCAACATAAACTTCGGTTGTAGTCTCTGGCTCAGGAGTTGTAGTAGTCGTCGTGGTTTCTGGAGCGTCAGTACTGATGCATCCAGGAACATTATTTGGATACTCGCAAGCTTCAATTCTCGAATCATAAATCAAATTCGCTGGACAATCCATGATTCGTGCGATTCCTGAAATCATTTTTTTAAATTTAAATTTAAAAAAATCTTACCGCCAGAGCACGTCAAAAACTGGGTAGAACAACCAGCAATTTGATACAGACCATCTTCTTTGTTGGAGCAATCTGTATCAACAGAAAAATCCTGATCGTTTCCATTGTCAAGACCGGGTTCTTCACCAGATCCAGATCCAGATTCATAATTTCCTGATCCAGTCTCATAATCCGGAACATCAGGTGTAAGATTTTCGTATATTCCAGGAACTGAAAACTCAGCGAGAGCCGACACTGCGAGAATAAAGAGGATTAGAGTCCGTGGAACCATTGCGCTAAAAACGAAATATATCAATGTGAAACGATACAGATTCAAAAAAGTGATTAAAATGAATCAAATGATGACCCTATACGATTTATAATTGTTTCTAGTACGTTCTCAAATTTAGCGCCATACAAAGTAGGCCAAAATATAGAGCAAACCAAGCATTTGAATTATTCAGAATTAAACCTGAAATCCCAAATTAATTTTTCTAAATGTTGAGGTATTATAAAAATCGTGGTGAGAGTATTTGAAATTTTGATTATGTTCCTTTAAATTACAGTAACTTTAATTTTTTTTAACCCCAAGGTTTAAACGGCGAAGAAAAGCAAGTTTCAATGAAACCCTGATTTAAAGAAATGTCTCCGTCTCCCAAAATTGTACACTCTCCCAAACTATTTTTCACCTCCGCTTCTACAGGGTGTCATTTAAGTTCCCGCACAACTTTGAAGACGTATATTTCTGAAACTAAAAGTCCAAATCAAACGAGACTCGAAATATTTTTTTTCTATAGTATAACAAATAATTATCTTTTAACTCTTTTCGATTCGGTCTTCTTTCGCAGCTATGACTTCACGGAGACGCTTCGGGTAGGATGTGACTGTGGTACGCAGGTATTCGATGGAAAGATTGTCCCATTCCACCAGTAATGTCTTCTTCAGAGCCTCTATACTTGAGTGGGGTTTTGCGTTGACCTTCTCCTGCAAGAGCCCATCACGGAAAAGTCAAGCGGGTTCAGGTCTGGGGAGAAATCAGGCCATTCGGATGACTTGATGAAGTCGGGAAAATGGGTCTGGCACCACTCCTGAGTAGTTTTGGCAGTGTGGGCGGGTGCTCCGTCCTGTTGAAAGACCCATTTCTGCCCACCGAAATGCGTTTGGGTACAGGGCATCACATGATTCTCCAAAATGTCCCGAACGTAGACTTCTCTGTTCATTTTCACCCCCTGATCCACGAAAACCAGGGGGCACTTCCCGGTTGAGCAGATGGCACCGAAAACCATCACACTGGCAGGATGTGAGGCTCGATGAATTGTTCTTCCTTTCTCAGAAGCTTGCTGGGATGTCTGGGCAAGTACTCAATGGCTTTGTGAGTTGAATGCCGCCTCCACAGTGAACAGCTTCTCGTTGGAGAAGACAGTGACGAGGTGTTGTCCAGACCGCGTGCGAGCAAGAAGTCGTTTTGCTTTTTCGAAGCGTCTCTGCTTGTTGACGGCCGATAGAATTGCCGCTTTTTGGACACGATATGGGGTCAGTCCAAGCTTCGTTTTGACGATTTTTTCCATAGCGAAGATGCTCATTCCCATGTCTGACGCCATCTTTCTCATGCTCCTGTGGGGTTTTCGCCTGATCCTCGATTTAACGGCGTTGATCTTCTGAGGAGTGATTACTGAGACGAGTCTTCCTTGTCTGGGACGGTCACTGGTCGTATTTAGCTCCTTGAATCGTTTGATAGTGTCATAAACCGTTCTACGAGGCACACCGACCCGTTGAATGATGTCTCTCGGGCTCACATTTTGCTTATGAAATTCGATAATGGAAGCGCGATGGATGTTAGCCTTCGCCATTTCTGGGAAACACATCCGAATGAGGTGAAACTTGGAAAGTAAGTAAAATATACCTTATTTAACAAAAATAAATTGTATTGGTGCACGAAAAGTGCGACAGCCAAGCTCTTCATGGCGTCAAACTTTTGTGCGGGAACTTAAATGACACCCTGTATGTCACGATTTACTAAGCTTCTTCTTTATTTTTCAGTTTTTCATTAATCATTAGTTTTTCACAATTTCATTTTTAAAATTAATTGTGATTCAACTTTTTTTTACTTGTTCATTGCACATTTCTTTATATAAACCAGTTCGATCAAATAGTCCGGTATATATCACAAATATTTGCGTTCTTTCTCGCGCGGTCTTTTCTCTGTCCCCTCTGACGATTTTCCGTGGCCGAGAAACCGCTCTCCTCCACGACGGCCGTCACTACGCGCTTTTGCTGCGTGTACTTAATCGACACACCGATTTTTACCCCAATTTTCTCGATTTTATGCATTTATTAGGAATTAACAAAACAATTTTGTTTTATTTTTTTCTAATTTATTTTTTGCAGGGTCTGATGAGCCAGATAGTACGATATTTATTGTATGCTTTATTGATTGTTAAGTTTTCTCCAAGTTTTCAACGGGATATAGAAATAAAAAATGAAAAGTGCCGAGTTTGCAACTTCCTAGTTTCCACCTTCGATGAGGTATTGTAAAATATTTAATTTCATTGCTGATTTTCTTATTTTCAGGGTCTCAAAAAGACTGCCCGGCAACATTTTGCTGGAGGTGACACAGCATGGGAAGAAAAAAATCTTGGAAAATATGCGACAAGTGAAACAAGACTTATCGAAGTTCTAGAGGGCGTCTGCAAACGTGCCAGTCTTCCAAATATGGACAAGTTCACAGGAATCAGCGATATTGAATTCAAATGTGCCACAAGACTGGAAGAAAATGAGGAGCTCATTGAGGATTATTATTACAAAAGACAGGACGTTAGTTTGTCCGCCTGGTTGTGCATAGATAATCTCAAATGTAAGAAAAGAGTGATTTTTTATAATATTGAAAAAAATATTTCAGTGTGTTGCCCTGAAGGTCATTTCGGGCCGCAGTGTGATAAATGTCCAGGTTTGGCTGAAAATGGCACCGCGTGCGCTGGACGAGGAAAATGCCATGTAATTTTAACAAATTTCTTTTTCAATTTCTAAAAATCGAATTCTAGGGAAATGGAAGCCGAGAAGGAAGCGGCAAGTGTAGATGCGATGACGGATACAGTGGAAATCTGTGCAGACACTGCGATGCTGGGTACTTCCAAGTTGAAAACGAGCAAGGAAAAGATATTACTTGCAAAAGTGAGTTTTGTTTCTCTAATTATTTGAAAAATCTGTTTTTTTTTTCTAGAATGCTACGAAGGGTGCTTCGGAGTCTGTAATTCAGAAGGACCAAAAGGATGTACAAAGTGCAAAAATGGATGGAAATTAGATGAAATCGAGGGATGCATAGGTGAGATTTCGTTTGAAATGCAATTTATGCAACGAATATATTGTTTGTACGACAAAATTTCACTTTTTTTGCACAAATGTTCCAGTATTGAATTTCGGTTCAACATATAAACGAGTATTTTGTTTCGAATTCGTTCGCTGGTGCAAAAATGAGAACAAGCTGCAAAGTTTAATAGCATAATATTTGGTTTTTAGTTTAAATCCAAGGATCAACGTTACACTTTTATATCGCCACAGCAAAATCTTTTCTGGGCAAAATTAGAAAATATTATTTTATTTTGAATTATTTATTCAGATATTGACGAGTGTCAAAATTCCGACGCATGTAAAAAAGAAAACGAAGTGTGCGTGAATTCAGTTGGATCATTCCGCTGCGACTGTGCTGCAGATCACAAACGCGACGATAAAAACAATTGTGTGCTCGATATTGAAGGTGAGAATTTTTGAGAAAAAGAAAACTTCTGAAATGCCAAAATCGAATGATCAGTCACATTCCCATATTATTAACCGTTTCATTGTTCACTTGCATCATCTTCAGCACCTCCATATCGAACAATAGTGCCTCCCGATCAGCTTCTACGCTTCATTTCAATGTCATCTCTCGTTTTCATCATCACTTTCGTCGTCTGGTACCGATCTCCGTTGCTCTACGTTCTTACGGCCATCGCTGTCGTCGCACTAATCTTAGTTGATCTTTATATTACTCCACAATCGGTTCCCGATGAAGCGAAACGGTTCCTCGGATACTAACTTTATTATATGTTTTTTCCCCCAGGGGCTAGGTTTTTTAATTGTGGTACTCTGCAGATATTGGGAACAACTGATTAATTCTATTATCGACGTCGCGCGACTGCGGAAAATTGGCTAAATGCCAAAAAAAAAACAAGGAAAGTGGTTTGACGCAAAGCTAGAATTGTAAATTAACGTTCATAAGAATATGTTAAAGGCGCACACCGCGCACTGAGAACTCTTCTTATTGTGTTGCTATTTAGCCAATTTTTTCGTGCAGTCGCGCGACGTCGGCAATAGTTTTCTACATAGTACCATTATGTTTTTCTGTTCTGCTCATCTCTTCAACTGGATTACCTGCTATGTATATATTCTTTACGAGTACCGCCAAATCCTGAGTTTTCGATCTGCATGAAACGTTATTCAATTAACTTAATGAAAACACATAAATTTTGTTTTATGTATAATAAAAGTGCATTTCCAAAAATAGTTGATATTAGATTGCACGAAAAATTCGCTAGGTATAAATTGTATTCCCCCGTCTGAAGATGACTTAAAATGATTTTAAGCCAATAATTAACACCATTTTCCGTGTTTTCGAACACTGCAATAATTTCCGATGTGATACATTCGGGAAATTGAATTACCGGCTCAGTCTTTATCTTTCTGTATAAAAAAAAAGTTGAATTGTAATGGTGTTAATTTCCAGGAATCGCCGCTCGGAAGAAGGCATTGGATGAAAAACAAGAAGATTTTGAAGATGATGACGATAGCAAAGAAGAAATCGACGAAAGCGGCGATGATTCAAAAAACGAATTATGAGTTTAGGCCAGAATTTATATGGGTTTCCACAAATTGCAATTCATTTTTTACTTGTCATTCATTCATTTAATAACGCCTCATTCTGTGATCATCAATAAAACAATAAAAACATTGATTATTTATTGTCAGTTCGGCGTTCAGTTTCTTCACTACTTCTTTATTAAATGTTCTATGATTTGTAGAATTTCTTGATTTCGGCGTCAACGGTGTATTCATATGAAAATTATTTTATTTAATTGACATTTAATCGCTAATTACATGAGAAAACTTGCAAAGCATCAATAGAATGAGAGCAAAAACGACTAGAAACGGCGGCAATTCAAACTGGACCCGTAGGGCCCCCGGCCCTGTTTTTTGACAATCCTGTTTCATCCATCGTAATCGTTGGACATTTTACGAATCCGCGACTTTTTTGGAATGAAGATACATCCCATCGGCGAAAAGAAACAGTTGCGATTATGCCGAAGTGAGAATTGCATATTGCTCGATCTGAAATTTTTCCCAATATGGAATTTCAACGAATCGGCGGGTGCCTTGCGACTTGCGACCTTGCGACTTTTGGTGCGTGGGTGGTCATTGTGGCATCGGGCATTGGGAAACACAGATTTCGCGATGAGAATAGGCGGCATGCAGTGCTGAAACGTGCGAACGGGATTTCAGCGAATTGAGTGTATGATGGGTCTTGAAGCAACAAAATATACGAGGAAATTGACACGAACCAAGAAGAAAAGTACGATACATATCAATAATAGAATAACTTAAATTTCCTTTTAGAGCTTTTCTTGGGTATCATGTGCGCCTTTAAACGAGGGAGTCCATTTTCTACTTTGTGCGAAACGCTTTTAAGTTCAAATCAACCAATTGATCCGTCTTGATCATTGAGTTGATTTAGTTCAATCAGTATTTAAGAAATCTTCAAAAATTTTCCATTTTCGTCAAAACTTAAAACTAATCTAACAATATTGAATCTCTAACTCAAAATGAATACGCAAGACTTGATAATCGAAATAGAGATCAATCAGCAGTTTCAAATCGGTTCAGACATGTCTGTCCAAGTTCGGAGCAGAGTGTGGAAATGAGCAATTAAACCAAATCGTTGTCCTTCGGGAAATCGCGTTTGAAGGCGCATGCTCTCATACATATCCTTCATGTGCCGATTATAAAATTGACCGAATTTCCGTTTGAAGAATGAGGCGGGGTTGATTTTATTCTTGTTATCAAATATTTGGTTCGTAAAGCAGATTCGTGTTTCGTGACAACGTTGAAAAGTGACGTTGTAGACAATAAAAGTGCGATTGGTGCGAGTTTTCCCCGCCGTTACTTTTGCCACCATTCTGCCACGGTTTCGCCCGCTCGGCTTGCTGAGTGTGTGGTTTTCCGTTTGAAGAATGGGGCGGGGTTGATTTTATTCTTGGCGATTGGTTCGAGTTTTCCCCGTGCAATCATAGTAGGACAAATAGTTTTAAGCAACTCACAATGCTTCCGCCGGTTGGACCGTAATCAGAAGAACCATCAAACACACGATGAGTATGGTGGCGGTTGTTGAGAATCGCGTGGCGGCGACGAAAAATTGCATTCCTACAAAAATGTGGCTAAATATGGATTAAAGCAAAAAATAAAGCAGAACGAGTTGGAGTTGAACTCAACAAAAGTATTCTGTTTCATGGTGGTACGTGGGCGGCTGGTGTTCTACTGTAATATCGAATATCATCGAAAGTGGTCCCCTCAAATGGATGAACGAAACAATTTGCAGTTCAATTTGGGTTTTAAAGTAGGTTTTTATACGGAATACAAAGTGTGTGATTTTAAGATTAATGATGCACAATTGTTAGGAATGGATTAAAATTCTACGTAGTGCCATCTTTCTCATCCAACATTCTCTGACTCATTATTTCGAATTGGTGAAGCCCCGATGCGAAATTTTTATTGTTTGAAATTTGAATACGTTTTAAGAAAACATTGGGAAAAAAGTGAGAAAATAACCTATTCAAAAAGGTCAAATTTCCAATTTGGTGCCAATTTTTTGCGTCACATCGAGCAATTTGTTTCAACTTTGAACGAAACGATGGAAGAGAAAGCAGTCAGGTCTCGAGGCGGACAGGGGGCGGAGAGCATATTGTAGGAAAATGGATGAATGTCCAATTAAATAGATCGGTCCGAACTGATGTCTGATCATCGTGATGGAAAAAAAACGACATTTTTTGTTTGGAGATTCCGAATGATGTCGACTGACGGCTCGTCTGAATTGTGGGCGTGGCTTGAAATGCAGAAATGGAATAGAATGGAATAGAAGAGAATGGCCTATCTCGACGACTTGACGAGAGAGGAATGAGAAATAATCTAAGAGGATTTCAAACAAATGGATCCATTTTTAGACGGAAATCAATCCAAAATACTCTTGACGTCATTATGATCATGGCATTATTTTTTCTCAAAGAAATAGAGAATTAGAAGCTTGCGATGTTGATGATACTAATTCGGCATTCCTATATTCGGCTCTATGAAATACCATTTGGAAAAATTTGGTTTAGAATGAAAAAAATATGAAGCTAGATGAAGAATAACTCAAAAAAAAATCGGCCGCCTCAAAACAAGTAGTCTGATCATGGAAATTAAAAAATTAAGCCACACTTTTTGCTTCGAAAATACGTTTTAATGTACTTAACTGTCTTGGGACGTTCAGTTCAGATCGGAATTCATTTTCGCATTTTCAACACGTAAATTTATCTTTTGGAAATCTACAATGATTGGGAGGAAAAACTCTGATACGATAAAAAAATGAGAAAAAGTATATAAAATTTATGGCTTAAGAATTTTCGATGTAGCCCAATTTTTGCATGATGTTAACTATTTTAGAAAGCAATGAATATAAGGAAAAAAATTTGTTTTCTGGGCCGCCCAATTAAGATAATGGTATCGTTTTCACGAATATGAATTCTGATTTTTGTATTTGTCAAACCCACAACAAGTTATTTTCACGATGCAATAAATTGTAGGGTTTATCATTAAAAAATATTTGTCGATGTGGGAAAAGACGAACACGAGTCAATATGTTGGAATTTCGACAAATTTTGATACAATTTTCTCGGACTAATCGAAACCGAAATGAGAATTTCATTACTTGAAGAATCTCTAAATCAAGTTGCCATTGTTTTTTTTTTTGCATTTTGCAAATTTAGGGCCTTAATAAGCGAAATCGTCCGCCTAAATTAATGATTTGCTCGAAGCCACCCACGGATCGCGTTCATCGCCCATCCGGCTAACCCAATCGAGGGGGGTCGCCTTCATCTGAAAATCTCATTTAATGACGTGTCAGGGGGGCCGGCGTCGTCGTCGTCGTTTTTTTTTTCAGATTTTTTTTGGACCCACCGAGATTTCTGCGCCGATTTCAAACCCCCTCACAGTGGTTTTAATTCTATTTTTGGTGATGACGGAGTCCGAAATTTGAAATAAAAACCGGCGCGTGGGAATTTTTATGATTTTTGAAAATCTTGCACAGATTCGAAAACAATAATAAACAATAATAAAAATAGCCCGAATTTGGGTCCGATTTTGCAGGAAAAAATAGCACAGAAATAAAATGCAGATTATGTGGGGGGAATTGTTTCTATTTATAAAAGTTTGTTTTTGAATTTTTTGGGATTTTAGACAAAACTGGTTGAAAATAAAACCAAAAAAGGAATTTGTGTTGTTTTCAAAATACCCAAATTTCCATTGTTTTCCTTTTTCGTACTCATGAGATTTTCTTAATTAATAAAACAAAAAGAAAGCTAAAAAAAATCAAGGTTCAAAGATAACTGCGAATAATTTAAAAGTTAGCAATAAAAAAACGAACAAAACATTACGCAACATCTTTTTATTCGAACAAACAAAATCTTTGGCGTTTTGTGGTCCGAGAATTGAATATTGGATTTTTGAAATGAGGAATGTGTTGACTTGTGTAGAACAAATAAACGAACCTCCCCAAAAAAGGAAGTTGAGGGTATAAATTGCAGTTATTATTATAATAATACCTACATGAATCGAATGCATGAAAGACGACAAATTTCTCTTTTATATTCGTAACAATATTAGTAAGTCGATAATAAATAAAGAGAATAGTTCTATTGAAATTAGAAATTATTCATAAAATTACGCATGATGCCTTTTGAAAACAATTTATTTGATGTCTGAAAGTTCATTGGGCGATCTTGATGGAATACACTGCGCATTTGCAGCAACACATTTTCCAGTTCAACTTTTCGACTTTAATTGTTTTATACAAATTCGATTGGCGTAGATCAATATCAAATGACAAAATGTTTGCGAGTAGGCTGGTTTTTGACAAAATATCAGGGTTGGTAAATTGAAGCCGGGGCCGAAAGCCGGCCGGCCGGCCCGGCTTTCGGCCGGCTTTCGGCTTTTTTTTTTTTGAATTCCCGCTTCGGCCGTGCGGCCGTAAACCACGGAATCGGGGGCCGAATCGCGGGCCGACAATTTGACAGCGAAAAAAGCCGGCCGAAAGCCGGCCTGAGGCCGGCTTTCGGCCGGCCGGGCCCAAAATTTAACAACCCTGCAAAATATTATAATTTATTCGTTCGAATCCTTTAATAACTTAGATTCGAGTGGCCGACTTGTCGACCTGTCTGCCAATACCAGGCCAGGGTCGGACCCCCCGTAGTAGGAACTGTGAGTGGCAACAATTACATGGTGTATTTGGTGTCTTTCTTCTATAAGATTTGATTTAAAAAAAAGACTGAAACGATGACATGTCGAAAACGCGATCCAATTCACGCGTAAACGACATTGCATGAAATGAGAAGCGTCAAAAATCAACATTTCTTGGCAACTCATGTGAGCTCGCTCTAATCTATGTGATAAGAATACAATTTTAACCTAAAATTGGATGGGAAAATAGTCTAGGCTACCCCTTCTTATGAGTCGATTCTCCAATTTAATAAAAATTCCAATTGCAATAATATTTTATTAAGGATTGTACATAATGCGAATATTTTTCCTGCGTTTTGTTGTGCTCTGCTGCAACATTTTGAACGAAAAGTTCTTTTCCTTGTTCGTGTCTGGCAAAATCACATAATCAAAAGCCAATCGATCCTTTTCAAAATCAGTGTCATTCCAGTTGAATTTCTGAACATTTTTTTTGAATTTTTATGCAAAAATGAAACATGCAGGAAAGAGTTGCTACCTGAACAGTGACAGCAATCAATCGACTCTCTTTAACCTCAAGAACTCCGAACGGCGGATTCGCCATGACACGTGGCACCGCGTTTCCCTTCACCGCATACGCAATTCGATGATAGCTGTTGTTAATGATTTTCATGTGATACGTGAGATTGTCAAAATCGAACGGAGCATTGAAGACAAGTTTTTCGGTTGGGAAGAACCACATATCATTGAGATTGTTGGCCGGTCCGACTACTGAAAATCGATTGTTGGCTCTTCTAAATAGAGCATCTCAAAGGTACTGTGTGACGAGTTGAATCCATCAAGCTCAGATCGAAGATTAAACGCCGATGACGATTCCATTGGATTTTGTCCTCATTGCACTCATTTGTTCGCTTACTTTTTTATTTTGTTTTACTACCACATTCTTCAAAATGGTCACTAGGGGGTTTCGAATTCGAAATGTGGTTTAATATATCATAAAAAATGACATTTTAATCTTTGAGGGAGGTTTATATTAGACCCCGAGCGTACGCTAAATAATATTTGCCAGGGTTCTTAAGATACATGTGGCTTTTCGAGTTGACGCATGTTTAAGAAACATTTTCTGAGATGCCAAGCCGCTGATTATTTTTGGAATTTTGAAATTTTTTGATTTCGAACCCATAAGGACTCATTTTGAAGAAAGTGGTAGTAAAAGAATAATTGAAACGGTCGAAAACTGTTTCAAGTACAAAAAATAATTGGCGGCGATTTCTATAGAATTTTAATAGAAACCGATTATTTAGATATTTTATCTGCTCGTCATTCTTGATATTCTTTTCACACCATTCCTGGTTCAAATCTCTTTTATAATATGCAATCGAGAGAGCCTCAAACTTGCATTATCGAAGAATTCTTGGAAAATTAATGCGTGGATTCAGTGTTATTGTGGAAAAGTGACACCAATTGTTCCGCCAAATGTAACTAATTATACGTGATCGATTAGGAAATGAATTTCCGGAAAAAATCAAGCTTTTCAATGTGTTAATTTTACTGTACTATTTATGAATTAGTAACAACTGAACATAGACTATTCAAAAAAAAAATGAACCAGTTAAGATTTTCGTTAAATTTAAAACCCAACAATATTTCGAACCCGCTTTCATTTAACACTCTTTCCACATTGGCAAAGCGAAAATTAAATGGAGTAAATTCAACTTCATTCGACGCCAAAAAGAGCTGGAAAAAATGATGTCGATCCATGAGGATTATTACACAATCCTTGGTGGTAATGTTCGTACTATAGCTTCTCAATCTTGATTTAAATTCTTAATTTATCGTTTTCTTTCACTGCAAGTCGATAACAGTAGTTGCTGGATGGTCCGCCATTCACGTACGAGCAGAACGTCTCACAAGCAACTACGCTGACCGTCGAGACAGTGTAGACGAGAGACAAGAACACGAAGATACGAAGAAACTGAACATCGCATTTCGAATTTTGAATCTATCCTGAAAATGCTTACCATGACTGATGAAGTCAGACGAAACTGATGTCGATTTATCCCATTCCCACAGTATTTATGTATGATGAGAGGAATTGATTTTCGGAATTTAGCCAACTTTGCGAAGTCTTCGAAAATAGATTCGCTTCATTTTTTTTTGTTTTTTTGTGTTTGTAAAAAAAATGATCTCGAATCATATTTGTATACAATAGAAACTTTTAATAAAAAAAAAATTGCGTCCATAGTTCAAACGAATAAAAAATGCAAGAATATGCATATTCAAATTTCTGTGATTTTTTGTGAAGGTACGTTTCATTTTAGTTATTATTAATGAAGATATCTAATTTAAATCAAAATATCAATTGAGCTATAGATTCAGATAATCAATTCAATATTGATTTCTATTTTAAGCATTTGAATTATGTTACCCCCCGCAGAGCTTCTATAGTTCAATACGCCCACATGAATTTGAATTTCGGAAAATGAAAAAATCAAGCGGATATAAATACAGTGAGAATTGGATGAATCGGCATCAGTTTCGACTGACTTCATCAATCATGGTAAGCATTTTCAGGATAGATTCAAAATTCTAAATGCGATGTTCAGTTTCTTCGTATCTTCGTGTTTTTGTCTCTCGTCTACACTGTCTCCACGGTCAGCGTAGTTGCTTGTGAGACGTTCTGCTCGTATGTGAATGGCGGACCATCCAGCAACTACTGTTCCCCATTCCGAAGCTTCGCTGCTGCCCAGAACCGAACCTGCTTCTTGTTGTGCGTCAGAAGATGTCTCAAAACTGGAGGAACATGAAGCGTCAACCCGGATTTCAAATGCTGCTTGAAGACGAACCCAAGAAAGAAAGGAAACAATCAATTCCAGAAGAGTGGATGTAACCGAATGTACGACTGGCTGTATGATTAATCAATCCTTTTCAAATAAAGGCGTTTTTGAAGTCATTTGCTTTATTTTAGCATTGTTATTTTGTAGTATTACCAAAAACACAAAAACGACCATAGGAACAATTCAGGGCATTCTGTATCGATCTGGGTCATCGTTTGGAAAAAAGAACTGTTTCCTAATAGTTTATTGAATCCAGTAACAAATAATACACACTTATGTGATGAATAGGAATGGAAACAAGAAGATGATGCGCGCCTGCCCCAGAATTTTTAGCACGGTAATTAATCGATAGCGTGAAAATGACAAATGGGAAAAGACGATCTGAATAACAGACAACGGAAAAATCAAACTGTGGGTTTAGACATAAAAATCTCTGAAAAATTGCGTTTACATGAGCGGATCGGCTCGAAAACATAGTCCCACTCAAATATCTATGAACTTTTTGTTTCTCGTACATTACTTTCCTCAAAGTGGTTCAAAATGAAAATAGAATTCGTTTAAAAACTTGAAACCGCATAATTAATGTGAAAATGCCGCCAAATCTGTTCAAACGACTTCACCAAGTATGATGACCTTATAAGGTGTTCGCGGACCTTTAGAATCTCAACTAATATTTTAGAAAAATTTAATAAAAACTCAAAAATATGCGAGTTACGTATGTCAAAATATTAAAAATTCAAGGTTTCGTTTAACAGAAGTGGAAAACTAAAAACTTGAAAAAATCTGTAATTCAGAAAACAATTCTGGTTTCAGAATCGGTTTCAAGTTTTAAAAGAATTTTATTTTCATTTTTTTTTCTTATGTCAAAATTGCAAGATGATGAAAACAATTGAAGAAAATTATGTACGAAAAACGAAAATTTGATAGAATTTTGAGCGGTACTGAGCAAATTTCAAACGATTTATAGAAAAATTTAAGACATTCATCGATCCACTAACGAACCATTTATTTAATGCTGTCGTTTATATTCAATCATTCTGTATATTAATTCTCATAATGTCAATTTTCAAACAATATGCTCACGAAAAATCAGCAAAACTGGAAACGATTGCTGAAATTATCGACTTTATTCATTTTATTTTCACATTTTTTGGATGCATGACATCATCATTTGCCCTAAATATCTGCGTGTTTCTATTAGCTCTACAACGACTTCTTCTATTCTTTTTTCCTACATATACCAAATATATCAACATTGAACCGTAGGTGTCGCTAATATTCCAGCCGAATTTCTCTAGAATTTCAGAATATTATTAAACCGTGTATTGTTCGTTTCCTACGCGATTGTATTTGGATTTGATTATTTCGTCGCAGGTACCTCATTGCTAGAATTTTGTCAAAAATTTACTGTTGTTTTACAAATATTAAAAAATTAAATCAATGTCGTGGAAATGCCGCTGCAGTGCCTGATTACTTTTTGAAATACTAACATGAAATTTGGTACATATGGGTTATTTTTCATGCTGAACACGATTTTCACACTGGTTTTCTTCAAAAGAGTGAAATCATTGCGCGTCCTGTTTTTTTAACCTTAACAAGAGAAATTTCATTCTAAACATCTGCGAACATTTTTCAGGTTTTTATTATTGCATTATTATTTTATTTTTCGAATACAAACATATTGATTTATTGTTTGAAATTTTCATGTTCTTCTATTACCATTACTTTCCATACCGCGTTATTTTTTAGTTTTTTTCTAAATTAATTTCATTAAAAAGTTTATTCTTGTATTAATAATTTTTTCACTACGACGTTAGATTCCATTATCAGTTTCTTCACTACTTCTTTATTAAATGTTCTATGATTTGTAGAATTTCTTGATTTCGGCGTCAACGGTGTATTCATATGAAAATTATTTTATTTAATTGACATTTAATCGCTAATTACATGAGAAAAATTGCAAAGCATCAATAGAATGAGAGAAAAAACGACTAGAAACGACGCTCCGCGTTTATGTTGCTTATTGTTTAGTGTAATTCGGCGGCAATTCAAACTGGACCCGTAGGGCCCCCGGCCCTGTTTTTTTGACAACCCTGTTTCATCTACCGTAATCGTTGGACATTTTACGAATCCGCGATTTTTTCGGAATGAAGATACATCCCATCGGCGAGAAGAAACAGTTGCGATTATTACGAAGTGAGCCTTGCATATTTCTCGATCTGAAATGTTTCCCAATATGGAAGATCAACCGAATCGGCGGGTGCACAGCCTTGCGACTTTTGGTGCGTGCTCAGCAAACCGAGCGGGCGAAACCGTGGCAAAAACTAGCTGAAGGCGAAACTAGGGTAAAATTGTGGAACAACGGTGTTGCGGTTGCTTGCTGTTCCGGTTGGTTTACTTGTTTTTGCATATGAAATAATGTAAGCGCGAATTACGCTAAACTGAGGGCTATAACGACCATACGCGCTTACATCTACTTGCTAGCAGAATGGGGCAAAACGCGGGCGTCCGTTACTTTTGCCACCATTCTGCCACGGTTTCGCCCGCTCGGCTTGCTGAGTGTGTGGTCATTGTGGCATCGGGCATGCTCTCATAAATATCCTTCATGTGCCGATTATAAAATTGACCGAATTTCCGTTTGAAGAATGGGGCGGGGTTGAGTTTATTCTTGCTATCAAATATTTGGTCCGTAAAGCAGATTCGTGTTTCGTGACAACGTTGAAAAGTGACGTTGTAGACCATAAAAGTGCGATTGGTTCGAGTTTTCCCCGTGCAATCATAGTAGGACAAATAGTTTTGAGCAACTCACAATGCCTCCGCTGGTTGGACTGTAATCAGAAGGACGACAAAACACACGATGAGAATGGTGACGGTTGTTGAGAATCGCGTGGCGGCGACGAAAAATTGCATTCCTACAAAAATGTGGCCAAATATGGATTAAAGCAAAAAATAAAGCAGAACGAGTTGGAGTTGAACTCAACAAAAGTATTCTGTTTCATGGTGGTACGTGGGCGGCTGGGTTTGGGTTTTATATTGGTTTAATTTGGGTTTTATAGTAGGTTTTTATACGGAATACAAAGTGTGTGATTTTAAGATTAATGATGCACAATTGTTAGGAATGGATTAAAATTCTACGTAGTGCCATCTTTCTCATCCAACATTCTCTGACTCATTATTTAGAATCGGTGAAGCCCCGATGCGAAATTTTTATTGTTTGAAATTTGAATACGTTTTAAGAAAACATTGGGAAAAAAAGTGCGAAAAAAACCTATTCAAAAAGGTCAAATTTCCAATTTGGTGCCAATTTTTTTGCGTCACATCGAGCAATTTGTTTCGACTTTGAACGAAACGATGGAAGAGAAAGCAGTCAGGTCTCGAGGCGGACAGGGGGCGGAGAGAATACTGTAGGAAAATGGATGAATGTCCAATTAAATAGATCGGTCCGACCTGATGTTTGATCATCGTGATGAAAAAAAAACAGCATTTTTTGTTTGAAGGTTCCGAATGATGTCGACTGACTGCTCGTCTGAATTGTGGGCGTGGCTTGAAATGCAGAAATGGAATGGAATAGAATGGAAGAGAATGGCCTATCTCGACGACTTGACGAGAGGGGAATGAGAAACAATCTAAGAGGATTCCAAACAAATGGATCCATTTTTAGACGGAAATCAATCCAAAATACTCTTGACGTCATTACGATCTTGGCATTATTTTTTCTCAAAGAAATAGAGAATTAGAAGCTTGCGATGTTGATGACACTAATTCGGCATTCCTATATATGGCTCAGTTAAATACCATTTGGAAAAAAATATGAAGCTCGATGAAGAATAATTCAAAAAAAGGTCGGCCGCCTCAAAAAAAGTAGTCTGATGTTGGAAATTCAACGGCCAGTTTATTTAACGCTTCAGAAAAATTAAACTACATTTTTGGGTCGAAAATACGTTTTAATGTACTTAATTGTCTTGAGACGGAATTCATTTTCGCATTTTCAACGCGTAAATCTACTCTTTCGAAAATCTACAATGATTGGGAGGAAAGACCCCATCGTCGTATTCTCGTATAACTTTGATACGAGAAAAAAATGAGAAAAAAAAGTATATAAAAACGATGGTTTAAGAATTTTCGATGTAGCCCAATTTTTTCATGATATTAACTATTTTAATATAAACGAGTATTTTGTTTCGAATTCGTTCGCTGGTGCAAAAATGAGAACAAGCTGCAAAGTTTAATAGCATAATATTTGGTTTTTAGTTTAAATCCAAGGATCAACGTTACACTTTTATATCGCCACAGCAAAATCTTTTCTGGGCAAAATTAGAAAATATTATTTTATTTTGAATTATTTATTCAGATATTGACGAGTGTCAAAATTCCGACGCATGTAAAAAAGAAAACGAAGTGTGCGTGAATTCAGTTGGATCATTCCGCTGCGACTGTGCTGCAGATCACAAACGCGACGATAAAAACAATTGTGTGCTCGATATTGAAGGTGAGAATTTTTGAGAAAAAGAAAACTTCTGAAATGCCAAAATCGAATGATCAGTCACATTCCCATATTATTAACCGTTTCATTGTTCACTTGCATCATTTTCAGCACCTCCATATCGAACAATAGTGCCTCCCGATCAGCTTCTACGCTTCATTTCAATGTCATCTCTCGTTTTCATCATCACTTTCGTCGTCTGGTACCGATCTCCGTTGCTCTACGTTCTTACGGCCATCGCTGTCGTCGCACTAATCTTAGTTGATCTTTATATTACTCCACAATCGGTTCCCGATGAAGCGAAACGGTTCCTCGGATACTAACTCTATTATATGTTTTTTTTTTCCCCAGCTCCTAGGTTTTTTAATTGTGGTACTCTGCAGATATTGGGAACAACTGATTAATTCTATTATCGACGTCGCGCGACTGCGGAAAATTGGCTAAATGCCAAAAAAACAATGACAGTGGTTTGACGCAAAACTAGAATTGTAGATTAACGTTCATAAGAATAGGTTAAAGGCGCACACCGCGCACTGAGAATTCTTCTTAACGTTTTGCCATTAGCCAATTTTTTCGTGCAGTCGCGCGACGTCGGCAATAGTTTTCTACATAGTACCATTATGTTTTTCTGTTCTGCTCATCTCTTCAACTGGATTACCTGCTATGTATATATTCTTTACGAGTACCGCCTAATCCTGAGTTTTTGATCTGCATGAAACATTATTCAATTAACTTAATGAGAACACATAAAGTTTGTTATATGTATAATAAAAGTGCATTTCCAAAAATAGTTGATATTAGATTGAACGAAAAATTCGCTAGGTATAAATTGTATTCCCCCGTCTGAAGATGAATTCAAATGATTTTAAGCAAATAATTTGCAATAATTTCCGATGTTAGACGTTCGGGAAATTGCATTACCGGCTCAGTCATTATCTTTCTGTATAAAAAAAAGTTGAATTGTATCTAATGGTGTTAATTTCCAGGAATCGCCGCTCGGAAGAAGGCATTGGATGAAAAACAAGAAGATTTTGAAGATGATGACGATAGCAAAGAAGAAGACGAAGGCGGCGATGATTCAAAAAACGAATTATGAGTTTAGGCCAGAATAATTATTTATATGGGTTTCCACAAATTGCAATTCATTTTTTACTTGTCATTCATTCATTTAATAACGCCTCATTGTGATCATCAATAAAACAATAAAAACATTGATTATTTATTATCAGTTCGGCGTTCAGTTTCTTCACTACTTCTTTAAAAAATGTCCTATGGTTTGTAGAATTTCTTAATTTCGGCGTCAACGGTGTATTCATATGAAAATTATTTTATTTAATTGACATTTAATCGCTAATTACATGAGAAAAATTGCAAAGCATCAATAGAAAGAGAGAAAAAACGACTAGAAACGACGCTCCGCGTTTATGTTGCTTATTAATTAGTGTAATTCGGCGGCAATTCAAACTGGACCCGTAGGGCCCCCGGCCCTGTTTTTTTGACAACCCTGTTTCATCCATCGTAATCGTTGGACATTTTACGAATCCGCGACATTTTCGGCATGAATATACATCCCATCGGCGAGAAGAAACAGTTGCGACTCTGCCGAAGTGAGCCTTGCATATTGCTCGATCTGAAATGTTTCCCAATATGGAAGATCAACCGAATCGGCGGGTGCACAACCTTGCGACTTTTGGTGCGTGCTCAGCAAACCGAGCGGGCGAAACCGTGGCAAAAACTAGCTGCGAATTACGCTAAACTGAGGGTTACAACGACCATACGCGCTTACATCTACTTGCTAGCAGAATGGGGCAAAACGCGGGCGTCCGTTACTTTTGCCACCATTCTGCCACGGTTTCTCCCGCTCGGCTTGCTGAGTGGGTGGTCATTGTGAAAAAGCAGATTCGTGTTTCGTGACAACGTTAAAAAGTCATCAATAGAATGAGAGAAAAAACGACCGGCCCTGTTTTTTTGACAACCCTGTTTTATCCATCGTAATCGTTGGACATTTTACGAATCCGTGACTTTTTCGGGATGAAGATACATCCCATCGGCGAAAAGAAACAGTTGCGATTATTACGAAGTGAGCCTTGCATATTGCTCGATCTGAAATGTTTCCCAATATGGAAGATAAACCAAATCGGCGCTCACATAAATGAAAATCAATCGGATTGGAAGAAAAATAAAATACAAAATTAACCTGTTTCGATTGAAAAACAATTCAAATTCGAGTGAGAAAACGCTTAAATTCGATTTGAAATCTTGGTTTCGATTCAAAAATCTTCGAAATCGATTGATTTATTTTTCAATTTCAATTTTGAAATCGAATTCGATTGAAATTTTGGAATAATTCAAAGCAGATTAATTTACATTCGATTTAGATTGAAAAAGAAATTATTTTCGAAAACGATTGATTTTCATTTACCTGAGCGGGTGCTTTGCTCATACTTTTTTTTGGTTGTTGGACATTTTACGAATCCGCGACATTTTCGGCATGAATATACATCCCATCGGCGAGAAGAAACAGTTGCGACTCTGCCGAAGTGAGCCTTGCATATTGCTCGATCTGAAATGTTTCCCAATATGGAAGATCAACCGAATCGGCGGGTGCACAACCTTGCGACTTTTGGTGCGTGCTCAGCAAACCGAGCGGGCGAAACCGTGGCAAAAACTAGCTGCGAATTACGCTAAACTGAGGGTTACAACGACCATACGCGCTTACATCTACTTGCTAGCAGAATGGGGCAAAACGCGGGCGTCCGTTACTTTTGCCACCATTCTGCCACGGTTTCTCCCGCTCGGCTTGCTGAGTGGGTGGTCATTGTGAAAAAGCAGATTCGTGTTTCGTGACAACGTTAAAAAGTCATCAATAGAATGAGAGAAAAAACGACCGGCCCTGTTTTTTTGACAACCCTGTTTTATCCATCGTAATCGTTGGACATTTTACGAATCCGTGACTTTTTCGGGATGAAGATACATCCCATCGGCGAAAAGAAACAGTTGCGATTATTACGAAGTGAGCCTTGCATATTGCTCGATCTGAAATGTTTCCCAATATGGAAGATAAACCAAATCGGCGCTCACATAAATGAAAATCAATCGGATTGGAAGAAAAATAAAATACAAAATTAACCTGTTTCGATTGAAAAACAATTCAAATTCGAGTGAGAAAACGCTTAAATTCGATTTGAAATCTTGGTTTCGATTCAAAAATCTTCGAAATCAATTGATTTATTTTTCAATTTCAATTTTGAAATCGAATTCGATTGAAATTTTGGAATAATTCAAAGCAGATTAATTTACATTCGATTTAGATTGAAAAAGAAATTATTTTCGAAAACGATTGATTTTCATTTACCTGAGCGGGTGCTTTGCTCATACTTTTTTTTGGTTGTTGGACATTTTACGAATCCGCGACATTTTCGGCATGAATATACATCCCATCGGCGAGAAGAAACAGTTGCGACTCTGCCGAAGTGAGCCTTGCATATTGCTCGATCTGAAATGTTTCCCAATATGGAAGATCAACCGAATCGGCGGGTGCACAACCTTGCGACTTTTGGTGCGTGCTCAGCAAACCGAGCGGGCGAAACCGTGGCAAAAACTAGCTGAAGGCGAAACTAGGGTAAAAATTAATTATTATTACGCTAAACTGAGGGCTTTAACGACCATACGCGCTTACATCTACTTGCTAGCAGAATGGGGCAAAACGCGGGCAGAATGGTGGCAGAAAGCGGGCGTCCGTTACTTTTGCCACCATTCTGCCACGGTTTCGCCCGCTCGGCTTGCTGAGTGGGTGGTCATTGTGGCATCGGGCATGCTCTCATAAATATCCTTCATGTGCCGATTATAAAATTGACCGAATTTCCGTTTGAAGAATGGGGCGGGGTTGATTTTATTCTTGCTATCAAATATTTGGTCCGTAAAGCAGATTCGTGTTTCGTGACAACGTTGAAAAGTGACGTTGTAGACAATAAAATGGCGATTGGTTCGAGTTTTCCCCGATGGTATTCATGCAATCATAGTAGGACAAATAGTTTTAAGCAACTCACAATGCCTCCGCCGGTTGGACCGTAATCAGAAGAACGATCAAACACACGATGAGAATGGTGACGGTTGTTGAGAATCGCGTGGCGGCGACGAAAAATTGCATTCCTACAAAAATGTGGCTAAATATGGATTAAAGCAAAAAATAAAGCAGAACGAGTTGGAGTTGAACTCAACAAAAGTATTCTGTTTCATGGTGGTACGTGGGCGGCTGGTGTTCTACTGTAATATCGGATATCATCGAAAGTGGTCCCCTCAAATGGATGAACGAAACAATTTGCAGTTCAATTTGGGGTTTAAAGTAGGTTTTTATACGGAATACAAAGTGTGTGATTTTAAGATTAATGATGTGATGGAAAAAAACGACATTTTTTGTTTGGAGATTCCGAATGATGTCGACTGACGGCTCGTCTGAATTGTGGGCGTGGCTTGAAATGCAGAAATGGAATAGAATGGAATAGAAGAGAATGGCCTATCTCGACGACTTGACGAGAGATGAATGAGAAACAATCTAAGAGGATTCCAAACAAATGGATCCATTTTTAGACGGAAATCAATCCAAAATACTCTTGACGTCATTACGATATTGGCATGATTCTTTCTTAAAGAAATAGAGAATAAAATTTCGAAAATCTACAATGATTATCGAAAATCTACAATGATTACGAAAATCTACAATGATTACGAGGAAAGACCCCATCGTCGTATTCTCGTATAACTTCGATACGACAAAAAATGAGAAAGTACAAGTTGCCATTGTTCGGCGTTTTCTGCCGAAAAAAAATGCAGCATTCAACATCACATTCTCAGACAGACACACGCACACACAAAAAATCAGGGCGGCCGGCGTCGTCGTCGTCGTTTTTTTTCCAGTTTTTTTCTTTCTTCCGTCACCGACGATGCTCTTAAGCCGTCGACATCGCTCCGATTAGGCTGAGTGCAACAATTTTCGGGACCCACCGAGATTTCGCGCTGATTTCCAACCGCTCTGCGATTTTAATTCTATTTTTGGTGATGACGGAGTCCGAAATGTGAAAATAAAACCGGCGCGTGGGAGTTTTTATGATTTTTGAAAATCTTGCACAAATTCGAAAACAACAACAACAATAATAAAAATAGCCCGAATTTGGGTCCGCTTTTGCAGGAAAAAAATAGAGAAATAAAATGCAGATTACGTGGGGGAATAGTTTCTATTTATAGAAGGTTTTTTTTTGAAATTTTTTTGAAACTCTTCTTGGCCGTTATTTATTCGCTAATAAAGACATTACACTCGAGTTGTCCCGCAGCACAACAACTGGCGATCAGGATTAAAAAAAAGACAACAGCAGCAATATATCTGCTATCAGCTATGGACAAGGAAACTATCAAACAATTCCTGAAGCAACAAGCCGAGCATCAGAGGCTTTTCCAACAACAACAACAAGAGTTTCTCAATGCGATCATTGCTGCGTTCACTACGCAGAAGCAGCAGCCGGACGTTACCAACATCATCAACTCACTGTCAAACCTAATTTCGACGTTTCACTACTGTCCGGATGACGGGGAAACCTTCGATGCCTGGTTTGATCGAAACCACGATATCATCGAAATCGACGGCAAGGACCTCGACGACGCTACCCGCATACGCATAGTCGTATCTAAGCTAGAGAACAAAAAAGCCGAACAGTTTAGAAGCTTCATTCTGCCGAAGACACCTGCCGACGTCAACTTCAACGTTGCTACGTTGAAGAAACTTTTCAACCAGACAAAGTCGCTGGCGAGACTCCGTTATGAACTTTTATCGGTAAAATTCGACGGGGTCTACTGCAACGATTACACAGCCCTTGTCAAACGCCGGTTTGCCGCCGCTCAATGGAATCAGCTTTCGCCAGACCAAGCTGAATGCATGCTATGGATTATCGGACTCCATGCATCAGAACACCTGGATTAGCGAATTCCGGCACTTCGCGAACTCGAACGGAGTCCGGAATTGAAACTAACGAAGCTCACGGACCGATTGGATCAAGTTATCTCACTTCGCGCCGACGCAGACTTTATCGGAAGTGGATCTCACGACATCCACGCCATTCGCCGACAAGCCAACAAACCCAAGCCTAAATTCCAAGGAGGATCACGACCAAAGAACGCGAGAACTCCGACTTCTCCGCGCACTTCTGCAACATCACCACCGTCGCCGTGCTCGAGATGTGGGGATCACACTGGAGACGGGATTGCAAGCTGCCATACGAAACAATCTGCCACAGCGGTCACAAGACGGGACATCTCTCGAAAGTATGTCGCCAGGGACAACAACGCCGTCTTCATCGCGCAATCGTCCACGAAAACCCAGAACCGGATCTACACCACAGTTTCGATTAATGGAACACCGATCAAGATGCAGCTTGATACGGAAGCAGAAGTTACCCTGCTGAATCATGACGATTGGATTAAACTCAACCGACCGAAGCTGCGGTCAACAACCCACGAGAAAATCCACGTTCAAGGACAACTCAAATGAAACTTCACAATGAACGATCAACACGGAACAGGAATCTGCTATGTCACGAACACGTCAACATTACTCGGAATGGAATGGATTTCCCAGGACAAGAAACTCTACAACCAACTAGTCGGGACAACCAACGCGATCTCGACATCGTCAACAACGATTGCCGCCCAACGAAGGACTCTCGAAAATGAACTACAATCATCATTCAGAACCGTTTTTCGACCAGGACTTGGTCGCTGCACCAAGACAAAAGCCTCACTTCATCTCAAGCCGTGATCCTCGCCAACATTCCGGAAGGCACGCCCAGTACCATACGCTACTCTATCAAAAGTCAGACAAGAATTGGATCGACTCGTCGCTCAAGGAATTTTATCACCGACGGACTACTCCGATTTCGCTACACCCATCGTCGTCGTCGAGAAGAAAGACGGAGCAATCAGGATGTGCGCCGATTACTCGACCGGACTGAACGATGCCCTAGAGAAACATCAACATCCTCTCCCGACCGCAGAGGATGTATTCTCAACCCTCAACGGAGGGAAATTTTTTACACAGTTGGACCTTGCCGAAGCTTATCTGCAAGTCGAAGTCGAGGAAGAATCCAAGAAGATGCTTACGATCAACACGCACAAAAGACTTTCTACTACAATCGACTACCATTCGGAGTGAAAACCGCGCCAGCAATATTTCAACAAATCATGGACACCATGATCTCTGGCCTCGTTGCCGCGTACATGGACGACATCATCATTTCGGGATCGACTATCGAAGAACACAATGACAGACTACACAAATTGCTCAGGAGGATTGAAGTATTCGGATTTCGTGTCAAGGCCGATAAATGCTCGTTCCTTCAGCAGCAAATCAAGTTTCTGGGATTCATCGTCGACGAACACGGGAGACGCCCAGACCCGACCAAAACCAACGCAATCAACGAAATGCCGGCACCTTCAGACGTTGGAAAACTGCTATCATTCTAGGGAATGGTTCAATTTTATGGATCTTTTGTGAGGGATCTGCACAACTACAGAGCCCCCCTGGACGCTCTCACCAAGAAGGACACCGAATTCACATGGACAGACCATTGTCAAAAATCGTTCGAGAAGATCAAATCAATTCTACAATCGGACCTCTTGCTAACACACTACAACCCGAAGCTGCCTATCATCGTCGCAGCTGATGCCTCAGCCTATGGAATCGGTGCCGTCATCACCCATCGGTACCCGGACGGATCAGAAAAGGCTATTGCGCACGCCAGCCGATCACTAACAAAGGCTCAGCAAGGATACAACCAAATTGAAAAGGAAGCCTCAGGATTGGTCTTCGCTATTGAGAAATTTCATCGATACATTTACGGACGACAATTCACACTTCGCACGGACCACAAACCACTTCTTGCCATTTTTCGATCGAAGAAAGGAATTCCCGTCTACAGCTCAAGCCGCCTACAACGCTGGCGAATCCTTCTGCTCAACTACGACTTCAACATCGAGTACGTCAACACCACCGCGTTTGGGCAAACAGACGCCTTATCCCGGCTTATCGCAACGAACGCGAAGAATGTCGAGTAGGAAGACCGGATAATCGCTGTGGTGGAAGCTGAAGTCAATGCAGAACACGCCGGAAGAATTCGACATCTTCCTGTCATTGCTAGAACAATCCGCAACTCAGTGCTCACAGATCCAACCACGTCAATCGTTTTGGATTATGTCAAATCGGGAAACTGCCCGAAAACCGACAGAGCGTCACCAGTTTGGAACTACTACAACCGCCGCAACGACCTCTCAATCGTCGATGGAAATCTTATGTTTCCCAATATGAAAGATCAATCGATCTACACCATTTTCAAGTGCACCGAACGAACTATCGCCTGTCGAGAACTTCATCGGTAGAAAAATGAACACCGTGATTAGCCTCATGATGCCGATTACGCTGCCGGACAAAGACGAACGAAATAAATCGATGAAAACACAGGTTGACCGCCATCACGCCTACGAAGTCGGAGACGCTGTCTTCGTCAAGGACTATCGCTCAAAGCAGACTTGGAGCCCCGGAGTCATCATTCGACGTTTAGGAGCGGTAAACTACTTAGTGAACTGTCAAGGGAATCAATGGCATCGACACGCAAATCAGTTAAGACGACGGGATCACCAGAATCAGCGTCTGCTGCTGCATATGGACTTTGATCTGCCGATGCCTATACGCCGCCCATCGACCCCGACCACCGTTCCAACTCAACCAACGGTCGCTTTAACAGGAAACCAAGAACGTGCACCATCAACTCCTACTACAATACCAGTACACACCAGGACAACTCAAGGACCACCACTTCGCCGATCATCGCGAAACACTCGGGAACCAAGACGCCTCATATTGGATCCCCGTCAAAAGTCCTACATTTGGCATCAACACTTCGCGGGGGAGATGTTAGAGCCACGACCAAAGATATTGCAACGTGACCGACGGCCTTATCAAGAAATAGGAGCGCTACATACGGATCGGCCTCACGCACTTTTGGGGTTCTCTTCTTTGCCGTTATTTATTCGCTAATAAAGACATTACACTCGAGTTGTTCCGCAACACAACAGAAACAATAAGATGATGCGCGCCTGCCCCAGAATTTTTAGCACGGTAATTAATCGAGGGCGTGAAAATGACAAATGGGAAAAGACGATCTGAATAACAGTCAACGGAAAAATAAAACTGTTGGTTTCAAAAACATCGAACCAATGAACGATTCTTAACATAGAATCCGGAGGAAATGCCGAGTAGGCTGCCTAAATCCCACAGCTACGAACACGTCCCCACATTTTCAGAATAGGCTTCCCCCATATATGTATATTGGAAGTATGGACCTATGAAGAATGTGGAGACATTTCTTTGTTTTCTGTTCTTGTCGTCATATTGAAATAAATTTTCTACGGATAATCATGCCGACACACCAATTAATCTAATCTTAAGTAATTGAACATTCATCAAGTCTCCAATTTTTACGTGGGGAGCTAAAATGAAATGTCCCCCTGAGGACCTATTCTCACCTTTTGGACACTTCCTACGTTTTAATCACAGAATCCTGTTGTTTTCGTTATTTCGATGAAGACGCCTGGAAACAACTACATTACTAAAAAGGTATTTTCGAGATTCAATCTAATTAATCAAAAAGAGAGTTAAAATTTTAAAAGAACGAAAGAAACTTGTTAAAACGATGTTATTTTAAAAAATTTAAGGAATTCCGCAATCTGTCGTCATTTTAGTTGCTTGCGAAAATAGATTACAGTAATCAAAACGCCACGTTTTTATTGTCGTCGTGTCTGGATTTCATTTTCAATTTCGTGGTGATCGATGCATTTTAAAAAATTTCTTTAATTTTTTGCTTTTTATTTTATAGAAAACTACAAAGCGTTATTTTCAGACCAATTTTGCTCATACTTTTTTTTGGTTGAGCTCTTCATTCGGCGATATGTGGCTAATAAACGGTCGTGTAAGTTCTTTCTTCTTCTTTTATGTTTTTTTAAAACAGTTTTTAACGAAGTTTGTTGGAATTAAAAAATATTTTGAATGTTGCGATTTGCTTTTGTCCCGACATCGAAGGTTCCGAACCGCTGTGAGCGTGTCTCGAGAACATTCGTTGAGTCGGATTTGAGAGAGCCCGCACGGACGCCGCGTTCTCGTGCCACGAGACGTGGGCCAACGTCCCGCTTCGGTGACCCTTAGGGTCCGACCCAGGAGGGTAATGCCTGGGGAAGTCTAGGCGCACACGGTGGAGTGGCGTCGGGACTATTCGATGAAGGGATCGCCAAATTCGCAACAAATTTTTAAAGGTCTACTTTTTCCCTGAAAACGCAACGCCATAAATTATACGATTAAAATGTTGATCATAATCAAAAGAAAGAGGATTATTATTACAAAAGACAGGGCGTTAGTTTGTTCGCCTGGTTGTGCATAGACAATCTCACATGTAAGAATCAAAGACTGATTTTTTATAATATTGAAAAAAATATTTCAGTGTGTTGCCCTGAAGGTGATTTCGGGCCGCAGTGTGATAAATGTCCAGGTTTGGCTGAAAATGGCACCGCGTGCGCTGGACGAGGAAAATGCCATGTAATTTTAACAAATTTCTTTTTCAATTTCTAAAAATCGAATTCTAGGGAAACGGAAGCCGAAAAGGAAGCGGCAAGTGTAAATGCGATGACGGATACAGTGGAAATCTGTGCAGACACTGCGATGCTGGGTACTTCCAAGTTGAAAACGAGCAAGGAAAAATTATTACTTGCAAAAGTGAGTTTTGTTTCTCTAATTTTTCGAAAAATCTATTTTTTCTAGAATGCTATGAAGGGTGCTTCGGAGTCTGTAATTCAGAAGGACCAAAAGGATGTACAAAGTGCAAAAATGGATGGAAATTAGATGAAATCGAGGGATGCATAGGTGAGATTTCGTTTGAAATGCAATTTATGCAATGAATATATTGCCTGTACGACAAAATTTCACTTTTTTGCATAAATGTTCCAGTATTGAATTTCGGTTCAACATATAAACGAGTATTTTGTTTCGAATTCGTTCGCTGGTGACATAATATTTGGTTTTTAGTTTAAATCCAAGGATCAACGTTACACTTTTATATCGCCACAGCAAAATCTTTTCTGGGCAAAATTAGAAAATATTATTTTATTTTGAATTATTTATTCAGATATTGACGAGTGTCAAAATTCCGATGCTTGTACAAAAGAAAACGAAGTGTGCGTGTATTCAGTTGGATCATTCCGTTGCGACTGTGCTGCAGATCACAAACGCGACGATAAAAACAATTGTGTGCTCGATATTGAAGGTGAGAATTTTTGAGAAAAAGAAAACTTCTGAAATGCCAAAATCGAATGATCAGTCACATTCCCATATTATTAACCGTTTCATTGTTCACTTGCATCATCTTCAGCACCTCCATATCGATCAATAGTGCCTCCCGATCAGCTTCTACGCTTCATTTCAATGTCATCTCTCGTTTTCATCATCACTTTCGTCGTCTGGTACCGATATCCATTGCTCTACGTTCTTACGGCAATCGCTGTCGTCGCACTAATCTTAGTTGATCTTTATATTACTCCACAATCGGTTCCCGATGAAGCGAAACGGTTCCTCGGATACTAACTTTATTATATGTTTTTTCCCCCAGGGGCTAGGTTTTTTAATTGTGGTACTCTGCAGATATTGGGAACAACTAATTAATTCTATTATCGACGTCGCGCGACTGCGGAAAATTGGCTAAATGCAAAAAAAAAAAACAAGGAAAGTGGTTTGACGCAAAGCTAGAATTGTAAATTAACGTTCATAAGAATATGTTAAAGGCGCACACCGCGCACTGAGAACTCTTCTTATTGTGTTGCTATTTAGCCAATTTTTTCGTGCAGTCGCGCGACGTCGGCAATAGTTTTCTACATAGTACCATTATGTTTTTCTGTTCTGCTCATCTCTTCAACTGGATTACCTGCTATGTATATATTCTTTACGAGTACCGCCAAATCCTGAGTTTTCGATCTGCATGAAACGTTATTCAATTAACTTAATGAAAACACATAAATTTTGTTTTATGTATAATAAAAGTGCATTTCCAAAAATAGTTGATATTAGATTGCACGAAAAATTCGCTAGGTATAAATTGTATTCCCCCGTCTGAAGATGACTTAAAATGATTTTAAGCCAATAATTAACACCATTTTCCGTGTTTTCGAACACTGCAATAATTTCCGATGTGATACATTCGGGAAATTGAATTACCGGCTCAGTCTTTATCTTTCTGTATAAAAAAAAGTTGAATTGTAATGGTGTTAATTTCCAGGAATCGCCGCTCGGAAGAAGGCATTGGATGAAAAACAAGAAGATTTTGAAGATGATGACGATAGCAAAGAAGAAATCGACGAAAGCGGCGATGATTCAAAAAACGAATTATGAGTTTAGGCCAGAATAATTATTTATATGGGTTTCCACAAATTGCAATTCATTTTTTACTTGTCATTCATTCATTTAATAACGCCTCATTCTGTGATCATCAATAAAACAATAAAAACATTGATTATTTATTGTCAGTTCGGCGTTCAGTTTCTTCACTACTTCTTTATTAAATGTTCTATGATTTGTAGAATTTCTTGATTTCGGCGTCAACGGTGTATTCATATGAAAATTATTTTATTTAATTGACATTTAATCGCTAATTACATGAGAAAACTTGCAAAGCATCAATAGAAAGAGAGAAAAAACGACTAGAAACGGCGGCAATTCAAACTGGACCCGTAGGGCCCCCGGCCCTGTTTTTTTGACAATCCTGTTTCATCCATCGTAATCGTTGGACATTTTACGAATCCGCGACTTTTTTGGAATGAAGATACATCCCATCGGCGAAAAGAAACAGTTGCGATTATGCCGAAGTGAGAATTGCATATTGCTCGATCTGAAATTTTTCCCAATATGGAATTTCAACGAATCGGCGGGTGCCTTGCGACTTGCGACCTTGCGACTTTTGGTGCGTGGGTGGTCATTGTGGCATCGGGCATTGGGAAACACAGATTTCGCGATGAGAATAGGCGGCATGCAGTGCTGAAACGTGCGAACGGGATTTCAGCGAATTGAGTGTATGATGGGTCTTGAAGCAACAAAATATACGAGGAAATTGACACGAACCAAGAAGAAAAGTACGATACATATCAATAATAGAATAACTTAAATTTCCTTTTAGAGCTTTTCTTGGGTATCATGTGCGCCTTTAAACGAGGGAGTCCATTTTCTACTTTGTGCGAAACGCTTTTAAGTTCAAATCAACCAATTGATCCGTCTTGATCATTGAGTTGATTTAGTTCAATCAGTATTTAAGAAATCTTCAAAAATTTTCCATTTTCGTCAAAACTTAAAACTAATCTAACAATATTGAATCTCTAACTCAAAATGAATACGCAAGACTTGATAATCGAAATAGAGATCAATCAGCAGTTTCAAATCGGTTCAGACATGTCTGTCCAAGTTCGGAGCAGAGTGTGGAAATGAGCAATTAAACCAAATCGTTGTCCTTCGGGAAATCGCGTTTGAAGGCGCATGCTCTCATACATATCCTTCATGTGCCGATTATAAAATTGACCGAATTTCCGTTTGAAGAATGAGGCGGGGTTGATTTTATTCTTGTTATCAAATATTTGGTTCGTAAAGCAGATTCGTGTTTCGTGACAACGTTGAAAAGTGACGTTGTAGACAATAAAAGTGCGATTGGTGCGAGTTTTCCCCGCCGTTACTTTTGCCACCATTCTGCCACGGTTTCGCCCGCTCGGCTTGCTGAGTGTGTGGTTTTCCGTTTGAAGAATGGGGCGGGGTTGATTTTATTCTTGGCGATTGGTTCGAGTTTTCCCCGTGCAATCATAGTAGGACAAATAGTTTTAAGCAACTCACAATGCTTCCGCCGGTTGGACCGTAATCAGAAGAACGATTAAACACACGATGAGTATGGTGACGGTTGTTGAGAATCGCGTGGCGGCGACGAAAAATTGCATTCCTACAAAAATGTGGCCAAATATGGATTAAAGCAAAAAATAAAGCAGAACGAGTTGGAGTTGAACTCAACAAAAGTATTCTGTTTCATGGTGGTACGTGGGCGGCTGGTGTTCTACTGTAATATCGAATATCATCGAAAGTGGTCCCCTCAAATAGATGAACGAAACAATTTGCAGTTCAATTTGGGTTTTAAAGTAGGTTTTTATACGGAATACAAAGTGTGTGATTTTAAGATTAATGATGCACAATTGTTAGGAATGGATTAAAATTCTACGTAGTGCCATCTTTCTCATCCAACATTCTCTGACTCATTATTTCGAATTGGTGAAGCCCCGATGCGAAATTTTTATTGTTTGAAATTTGAATACGTTTTAAGAAAACATTGGGAAAAAAGTGAGAAAATAACCTATTCAAAAAGGTCAAATTTCCAATTTGGTGCCAATTTTTTGCGTCACATCGAGCAATTTGTTTCAACTTTGAACGAAACGATGGAAGAGAAAGCAGTCAGATCTCGAGGCGAACAGGGGGCGGAGAGCATATTGTAGGAAAATGGATGAATGTCCAATTAAATAGATCGGTCCGAACTGATGTCTGATCATCGTGATGGAAAAAAAAACGACATTTTTTGTTTGGAGATTCCGAATGATGTCGACTGACGGCTCGTCTGAATTGTGGGCGTGGCTTGAAATGCAGAAATGGAATAGAATGGAATAGAAGAGAATGGCCTATCTCGACGACTTGACGAGAGAGGAATGAGAAACAATCTAAGAGGATTTCAAACAAATGGATCCATTTTTAGACGGAAATCAATCCAAAATACTCTTGACGTCATTATGATCATGGCATTATTTTTTCTCAAAGAAATAGAGAATTAGAAGCTTGCGATGTTGATGATACTAATTCGGCATTCCTATATTCGGCTCTATGAAATACCATTTGGAAAAATTTGGTTTAGAATGAAAAAAATATGAAGCTAGATGAAGAATAACTCAAAAAAAAATCGGCCGCCTCAAAACAAGTAGTCTGATCATGGAAATTAAAAAATTAAGCCACACTTTTTGCTTCGAAAATACGTTTTAATGTACTTAACTGTCTTGGGACGTTCAGTTCAGATCGGAATTCATTTTCGCATTTTCAACACGTAAATTTATCTTTTGGAAATCTACAATGATTGGGAGGAAAAACTCTGATACGACAAAAAAATGAGAAAAAGTATATAAAATTTATGGCTTAAGAATTTTCGATGTAGCCCAATTTTTGCATGATGTTAACTATTTTAGAAAGCAATGAATATAAGGAAAAAAATTTGTTTTCTGGGCCGCCCAATTAAGATAATGGTATCGTTTTCACGAATATGAATTCTGATTTTTGTAATTGTCAAACCCACAACAAGTTATTTTCACGATGCAATAAATTGTAGGGTTTATCATTAAAAAATATTTGTCGATGTGGGAAAAGAGGAACACGAGTCAATATGTTGGAATTTCGACAAATTTTGATACAATTTTCTCGGACTAATCGAAACCGAAATGAGAATTTCATTACTTGAAGAATCTCTAAATAAAGTTGCCATTGTTTTGCATTTTGCAAATTTAGGGCCTCAATAAGCGAAATCGTCCGCCTAAATTAATGATTTGCTCGAAGCCACCCACGGATCGCGTTCATCGCCCATCCGGCTAACCCAATCGAGGGTTGTCGTCTTCATCTGAAAATCTCATTTAATGACGTGTCAAGTTCGGTCGTCTCCAATGCAAACAAGAACAAGCGGAAGAATTTCGCAGCGTAGACGAGAAAAAAACGCGGTGACATCCTCGCCGACGTCGCTCGGCGTTTTCTGCTGAAAAAAATGCAGCATTCAACATCACATTCTCAGACAGACACACGTACACACAAAAAATCAGGGCGGCCGGTGTCGTCGTATTTTTTTCAGATTTTTGTCTTTTTTCCGTCACCGACGATGCTCTTAGGCCGTCGACATTGCTCCGATTAGGCTGAGTGCAACAATTTTCGGGACCGACCGATTTCAAACCCCCTCACAGTGGTTTTAATTCTATTTTTGGTGATGACGGAGTCCGAAATGTGAAATAAAAACCGGCGCGTGGGAATTTTTATGATTTTTGAAAATCTTGCACAGATTCGAAAACAACAACAACAATAATAAAAATAGCCCGAATTTGGGTCCGATTTTGCAGGAAAAAATAGCACAGAAATAAAGTGCAGATTATGTGGGGGGAATTGTTTCTATTTATAAAAGTTTGTTTTTGAATTTTTTGGGATTTTAGACAAAACTGGTTGAAAATAAAACCAAAAAAGGCATTTGTGTTGTTTTCAAAATACCCAACTTTCCATTGTTTTCCTTTTTCGTATTCATGAGATTTTCTTAATTAATAAAACACAAAGAAAGCTAAAAAAAAATCAAGGTTCAAAGATAACTGCGAATAATTAAAAAGTTAACAATGAAAAAAAAACGAACGAAACATTACGCAACATTTTTTTTATTCGAACAAACAAAATCTTTGGCGTTTTGTGGTCCGAAAATTGAAAATTGGATTTTTGAAATGAGGAATGTGTTGACTTGTGTAGAACAAATAAACGAACCTCCCCAAAAAAGGATGTTGAGGGTATAAATTGCAGTTATAATGAATTTAGAATTATACAACAACTGGCGATCAGGATCAACGCACCATGGACGTCAACACTGTCAAACTGCTCTTGGCAGAGCAAGCGAAGCAGCACCAGGACTTCGTTCGAGAAATCACCAAACTGCTGATGGAGGGACGACCAGGCACTTCACCGACCGCTCCCGCACAACCAATCACCCAAACCGGGCTTATCGACTCGCTGACGACTCGACAACCGACATTCTCCTTCGACCCGGATGAAGGAACCACATTCGAAATCTGGTATTCACGGTACGAGGACATTCTGCGAATAGATAGATCGACATTGGACGACGGCACCCAAACCAGGATCATCCTATCAAAGCTCGATGTCCCCACTTTTGCCAAGTACGCCGACAACATCCTGCCAAGGAAACCATCGGAACTGACCTTCGAAGAGACCATCACCCGGCTCAAGATACTCTTTAGACACTCGAAGTCTGTATTCCGACGCCGATTCGAATTCCTGCAATCGCAATTCACTGGTTCGGATCTTGTTCAACACACTGGCCAAATCAAGAGGAAGTTCGCGCAAGCAGAATGGGCAACGACAGCGCCGGAGCAAACCCAGAATCTCGTCTGGATCATGGGTCTCAATGGACCGGAATTCATGGACGTACGCACCCGCGCTCTGCAGCAACTGGAGTCAAGGCCGAGCATCACTTTGGACGAATTGCAAGCGGACGTACTGCGCATTCTTGGAATCAAGGATGACGCGAAACTCTTCAATTCGCCAACAATCAAAGGACCTCACCACAACCACCAGCACATCTTTGCTATGTCGAGAGAGGACCACCACCAACAACGATCAACGACGTCAGGAAGAACCTCGACCCCGACGGCGAGGACACTCGAACCACGCCCAGAACAACCAACAACGCAGCAGAAGCCACCATCATCATGCAGACATTGTGGAGCACCTCACTGGAATGCTGACTGCAACCGCAACCGAACGAACAGCAGACGAAAACCGAAATCCCGCCGAGAACGCCAAGGATCCAGCAGAGGACGTCAAGGAGGACATCTGGGACTCATATCAGTCAACCACGCATGGATCAATAAAAGCAACCGGATCTTCAAGAACGTGAACATCAATGGAACCGACGTCGAGATGCAATTGGACACTGGCGCCGATATCTCGCCAGTCTCAACAAAGGATTGGATTCGACTTGGGAAACCATCGCTCGAGCCTGCCAACGTCAATCTGAAAGCCGCCAACAACAACAGGATTCATCTCAAAGGACGGTTCAACTGCAAGTTCATCATAAATGAACAACACGGATCTGGATATTGTCATGTAGCCGATACCGCCACACTCCTCGGACTGGATTGGGTTCAGCACATTCCCCGCTCTCTCTTGCTCACGGACGACCGCCGCTGCCGACTCACTCTCTCGTCTCATATCGGAACATGCCCGCACTATGGAGAACGAAGATCGAGTCATTGCCGCCGTCGAAGCTGAAGTCATCGCCGATTAGACCGAACGCTGCTCGAACCTGCCCATCACCGCCTACCAGGTTCATCATCACACCCGCATGGAACCGCTTCTCCGCCGGAATATTGATTACGTCACCACCGGAAAATGGCCGAAGCTCACAAGGAATCAACCAGAATGGAACTACTTCAACCGACGAGAAGACCTCAGTATAGTCAATGGATGCCTCATGTTCAACCACCGGATCGTCGTACCTGCTACACTCCGAAGAAGAACTCTCACCGCACTGCACAAGGCTCACCCTGGAGGAACCAAGATGAAAATGCTCGCTAGAAGTTACGTCTACTGGCCATCGCTGGACCAGGATATCGAGGATCTTGTCAAGAGTTGTGGAAACTGTCAAGCTGCCGCCAAGAACCCCAACAAAGCGGAACTTCAATCATGGCCTGCCGCCTCTGGACCATGGACACGCGTTCACGCCGACTTCGCTGGACTCGTAGATGGATCGTACTACCTGATTGTAGTGGATGCCTACTCGAAATGGCCGGAAATTCACGAGACGTCAACCATCTTGACGACAGCAACAATGACCATCCCGAAGAAGATGTTCGCACAATTCGGAAATCCGGAAACCCTCGTAACGGACAATGGAACACAGTTCACGGCAAGCTCATTCCGACAATTTTGCGCAGAACGTGGAATCAATCACATTCGGACACCGCTCTACCACCCACAATCAAATGGACAAGCGGAGCAATTTGTCGACACCTTCAAGAGAGGTATCAGGAAGCTTCAAGGAGAAGAACCATCGCGAGAAGCCCTTCAAACGTTTCTCCAAGCTTATCGATCAACACCATGCCCAGCTGGACCGATGCCAAATCCCCTGCTGAGAACTTTCTGGGAAGACCAATGCGGACGCCCTCGGATTTGCTGTTGCCGACAACCAGTACACCTGGACCGAAGATGGAATCACAATTCAACCGTCTTCACGGAGCAAGGGTACGAAGAGGTAACCTCTATTTTTGCGAAGGATTTGCGATTCTCCAAGCCCACATGGACCACTGGTACCATCGTCGAACGTACAGGAAAGGTCACATACCGCGTCAGGTGTCAAAGACAACTATGGACTCGCCATGCTAACCAACTCCGACCTAGGAACGACTGGAACGCGACTGAGACGCTACTGGACCTACATATATGAAATCCCAATGCCAGTCGACATGGATTCGGACTCGGATATCACAACTGCCATTCAAAGGACCCCATCTCCTGTTCTACGTCGCTCAACAAGGATGCCAAAGCCGGTCAGACGACTACAGATCAATCCATCCCGAAGCAACTATGTTACGAACGAGCGAGGGACGCTCAATAATGAGTTATTCCTATTGTGTCTAATAAATATATTATTTACGTTGGCTCGTTCACAAGGACACAACACCAGGGATGTGCGACAACGCCAATCGGCAATTCCATTTCTTCACAGTCCTGGTGGAACAGAGAAGCATGGAATTAGGTCTTCAGTGACATTTTCCTGTTTCGTGTTCCGTCAAAAATTTTTTGTTCCGCCTTTCGTTTCTAGAAAATTTAAGTTCCGTGCAGCTCAGTGGTGGAAACTATGTAGTATAAGTCGCAGTGCGTTTCACATTTATAAAGCTACCCCTGTTTTTGGGTGTAACTTTGTCAATTGTGAAAATTTTTAAATTCTGTTTTCAAAATTGAATTCAGGACTAAAAAATACGTATATCTACCAATTTTCATTGCATGTGACCAATTTTCAGCGTTTTCAAGTCCACTCGGCCAATTTTTCAGGTATCATTATGAAAATTGGTGAACACATGTATTTTTTAACCCTGAATTCAAATTTGAAAACAGAATTAAAAAATGGTCACAATTGACAAAGTTACGCCCAAAGATAGGGGTGGCTTTATAAATGTGAAACGCACTGTATACCTTACAAGGGAGGTGTTTTTGATTAAGTGTTTGGAATTTTTTCTAATTTTTGCATACCAACAGATCGAAAAAGAATTCCAAAATATTAATATTATAATATCGAAATATGTAAAAATCATGTTCAAGCAGAGAATTGCAAGTGATTTTTCCCATTTTCAGTTCGTCTCGGCTTTCATCAATCATTCATCAATGCTGATCTGGGAACACTCGACCTTATTCACCATTTGATATTCAGTTTTTCGTTTTTCGCGGTTTGCCTAACTCCAATATTTTATCTGGCCATATTTCGGAGCTTGAAAATTCTGACGAGACAAATTTCAAAACGCGATAAAAAACCGGAAAATTTTATAATTGCCCAATCTGTCGCAATTATTGTGTGCAAACTTGTGAGTTCCTGCAAGGCCCTCCCTGAGAGAGTTTCCAAAATTGTCATCTTCCAGCTATTTCTACCATTTTTCATTATTTCTGTTCAAGATTTTTTTGGATCGGACTCTGCAATGTTTCGTTCGGTAGGAATCAAATCGAAAAAATAAATTATGAATATGCTTCAGAAGCAACGAATAATTGTATGCATCGATGTAATTATAACATTATGTTTGATTCAAATAAGTTTCATATTTTGTAATATGGCAACAGTTCGCAAACTCATTGATCCATTAGTATCTTGCAGTAACCATGTCTCTCCTCTGTCCACTGTTCAATCTTAAAAATTTTACATTTGTGAAATAATTCTGTAATCTCGTGATATACCATCGTATTATAACACTTATCATTACACAATATGTTTTTTTTTTGTATTTTGGTTAAGAATTTTTCACCCAATTGCTCAATCAGTTCTGTTTATTGAACCAACATTCCTTTTAATGAAAAGTCGGTTAAACGATTCTAGGGAAGCTGAACCTTCAAAAGGAATTCCTCGGCCAATTTACTATGAGATCACCGTTCCAAGGGGGTAATTTTGGGGTCGTTAATATGAGTAATTTTTGTAACGCTGGGTAACAACTAAAGGGTATGAACCGAGGGGTCACAATTTTTATGTTCAAAGTGGTGGTTTGAAAGAGTTTGATTCACAGGTTATCCAGAGTACGGTACCACCGAATTGAAAGTGTTTGAATTGGAAATTGAATTACGGTCTCGGAAAATTGCGACTAACAAGAAATTGCGCGAATCAGATGATTCTATTGAATTCGAAGAATTTGAAAACTCTTTAATTTCGAGAAAATATTAAAAATGCTCGAATATTTTTCAAATTCAAAAAAGCGATTTTTTGCTCTGATTACTTTTCATACCGCGTTATTTTTTGTTTTTTTTTTTTTTTTAAATTAATTTCATTAAAAAGTTTATTCCAGTATTAATAATTTTTCCAATACGACGTTAGATTCCATTATCAGTTTCTTCACTACTTCTTTATTAAATGTTCTATGATTTGTAGAATTTCTTGATTTCGGCGTCAACGGTGTATTCATATGAAAATTATTTTATTTAATTGACATTTAATCGCTAATTACATGAGAAAAATTGCAAAGCATCAATAGAATGAGAGAAAAAACGACTAGAAACGACGCTCCGCGTTTATGTTGCTTATTGTTTAGTGTAATTCGGCGGCAATTCAAACTGGACCCGTAGGGCCCCCGGCCCTGTTTTTTTGACAACCCTGTTTCATCTATCGTAATCGTTGGACATTTTACGAATCCGCGATTTTTTCGGAATGAAGATACATCCCATCGGCGAGAAGAAACAGTTGCGATTATTACGAAGTGAGCCTTGCATATTTCTCGATCTGAAATGTTTCCCAATATGGAAGATCAACCGAATCGGCGGGTGCACAGCCTTGCGACTTTTGGTGCGTGCTCAGCAAACCGAGCGGGCGAAACCGTGGCAAAAACTAGCTGAAGGCGAAACTAGGGTAAAATTGTGGAACAACGGTGTTGCGGTTGCTTGCTGTTCCGGTTGGTTTACTTGTTTTTGCATATGAAATAATGTAAGCGCGAATTACGCTAAACTGAGGGCTATAACGACCATACGCGCTTACATCTACTTGCTAGCAGAATGGGGCAAAACGCGGGCGTCCGTTACTTTTGCCACCATTCTGCCACGGTTTCGCCCGCTCGGCTTGCTGAGTGTGTGGTCATTGTGGCATCGGGCATGCTCTCATAAATATCCTTCATGTGCCGATTATAAAATTGACCGAATTTCCGTTTGAAGAATGGGGCGGGGTTGAGTTTATTCTTGCTATCAAATATTTGGTCCGTAAAGCAGATTCGTGTTTCGTGACAACGTTGAAACGTGACGTTGTAGACAATAAAAGTGCGATTGGTTCGAGTTTTCCCCGTGCAATCATAGTAGGACAAATAGTTTTGAGCAACTCACAATGCCTCCGCTGGTTGGACTGTAATCAGAAGGACGACAAAACACACGATGAGAATGGTGACGGTTGTTGAGAATCGCGTGGCGGCGACGAAAAATTGCATTCCTACAAAAATGTGGCTAAATATGGATTAAAGCGAAAAATAGAGCAGAACGAGTTGGAGTTGAACTCAACAAAATTATTCTGTTTCATGGTGGTACGTGGGCGGCTGGTGTTCTACTGTAATATCGAATATCATCGAAAGTGGTCCCCTCAAATGAATGAACGAAACAATTTGCAGTTCAATTTGGGTTTTAAAGTAGGTTTTTATACGGAATACAATGTGTGTGATTTTAAGATTAATGATGCACAATTGTTAGGAATGGATTAAAATTCTACGTAGTGCCATCTTTCTCATCCAACATTCTCTGACTCATTATTTAGAATCGGTGAAGCCCCGATGCGAAATTTTTATTGTTTGAAATTTGAATACGTTTTAAGAAAACATTGGGAAAAAAAGTGCGAAAAAAACCTATTCAAAAAGGTCAAATTTCCAATTTGGTGCCAATTTTTTTGCGTCACATCGAGCAATTTGTTTCGACTTTGAACGAAACGATGGAAGAGAAAGCAGTCAGGTCTCGAGGCGGACAGGGGGCGGAGAGAATACTGTAGGAAAATGGATGAATGTCCAATTAAATAGATCGTGATGAAAAAAAACAGCATTTTTTGTTTGGAGATTCCGAATGATGCCGACTGACGGCTCGTCTGAATTGTGGGCGTGGCTTGAAATGCAGAAATGGAATAGAATGGCCTATCTCGACGACTTGACGAGAGAGGAATGAGAAACAATCTAAGAGGATTCCAAACAAATGGATCCATTTTTAGACGGAAATCAATCCAAAATACTCTTGACGTCATTACGATCTTGGCATTATTTTTTCTCAAAGAAATAGAGAATTAGAAGCTTGCGATGTTGATGATACTAATTCGACATTCCTATATTCGGCTCAGTTAAATACCATTTCGAACAATTTGGTTTAGAATGAAAAAATAAGAAGCTAGATGAAGAATAATTCAAAAAAAATAGTCTGATGTTGGAAATTCAATGGCCAGTTTATTTCACGCTTCAGAAAAATTAAACTACACTTTTTGGGTCGAAAATACGTTTTAATGTACGTAATTGTCTTGGGACGGAATTCATTTTCGCATTTTCAACGCGTAAATCTACTCTTTCGAAAATCTACAATGATTGGGAGGAAAGACCCCATTGTCGTATTCTCGTATAACTTTGATACGAGAAAAAAATGAGAAAAAAAAGTATATAAAAACGATGGTTTAAGAATTTTCGATGTAGCCCAATTTTTTCATGATATTAACTATTTTAGAAAGCAATGGATATAAGGGAAAAAATTGTTTTCTGGGCCGCCCAATTAATATATATAGTATCGTTTTTACGAATATGAATTCTGATTTTTGTAATTGTCAAACTCACAACAAGTTATTTTCACGATGAAATTTAAGGCCTCAATAAGCGAAATCGTCTGCCTAAATTAATGATTTGCTTGAAACCACCGACGGATTCTCATTTAATGGCGTGTCAAGTTTGGTCGTCTCCAATGCAAACAAGAACAAGCAGAAGAATTTCGCGGCGTAGACGAGAAAAAAAAACGCGGTGACATCCTCGCCGACGTCGCCGCGTTCGGCGTTTTTTTCCAGATTTTTTTTTCTTCCGTCACCGACGATGCTCTTAAGCCGTCGACATCGCTCCGATTAGGCTGAGTGCAACAATTTTCGGGACCCACCGAGATTTCGCGCCGATTTCCAACCGCCCCTCGAGTTTAATTCTATTTTTGGTGATGTGGGTCCGAAATTTGAAATCAAAACCGGCGCGTGGGAGTTTTTATGATTTTTGAAAATCTTGCAGAAATTCGAAAACAACAACAACAATAATAAAAATAGCCCGAATTTGGGTCCGATTTTGCAGGAAAAAAATAGCACAGAAATAAAGTGCAGATAATAAGGGGGGGGGGAATTGTTTCTATTTATAAAAGTTTGTTTTTGAATTTTTTGGAATTTTAGACAAAACTGGTTGAAAATAAAACCAAAAAAGGAATTTGTGTTGTTTTCAAAATACCCAACTTTCCATTGTTTTCCTTTTTCGTACCCATGAGATTTTCTTAATTAATAAAACACAAAGAAAGCTAAAAAAAAAATCAAGGTTCAAAGATAACTGCGAATAATTAAAAAGATAATAACGAAAAAAAAACGAACGAAACATTACGCAACATTTTTTTTATTCGAACAAACAAAATCTTTGGCGTTTTGTGATCCGAAAATTGGAAATTGGATTTTTGAAATGAGGAATGTGTTGACTTGTGTAGAACAAATAAACGAACCTCCCCAAAAAAGGAAGTTGAGGGTATAATATGCAGTTATTAATATAATAATACCTACATGAATCGAATGCATGAAAGAGGACAAATTTCTCTTTTATATTCGTAACAATATTAGTTTTTTCGGCGTCAAACGACTTGACGAAATTTGAGTGTCCGGATCGTGGTAGTGAAAAATCGAGGGCGGAGAAGTGGGTGTCAAAAATCATTGGCCAAAATTCGTACAATTCTTGATTTTTGGCAAAAAATCCGATTCTATGAGAAAATTTTTTCTCAATTTTAGGCAGGTAATTCCCTAAAAACAAATTATCAAGTGAATACTAAAAATATCAAAACCAACGTGGCTTCATTTCCATTCATTTCTATTTAATTTTCCCATTTTTGCCAGTTTTTTGTGTCGTTCGTTATTTCGATGAAGACGCCTGGAAACAACTACATTACTAAAAAGGTATTTTCGAGATTCAATCTAATTAATTAAAAAGAGAGTTAAAATTTTAAAAGAACAAAAGAAACTTGTTAAAACGATGTCATTTAAAAAAATTTAAGGAATTCCGCAATCTGTCGTCATTTTAGTTGCTTACGAAAAAAGATTACAGTAAACAAAACGCCACGTTTTTATTGCCGTCGTGTCTGGATTTCATTTTCAATTTCGTGGTGATCGATGCATTTTAAAAAATTTCTTTAATTTTTCTGCTTTTTATTTTATAGAAAACTACAAAGCGTTATTTTCAGACCAATTTTGCTCATACTTTTTTTTGGTTGAGCTCTTCATTCGGCGATATGTGGCTAATAAACGGTCGTGTAAGTTCTTTCTTCTTCTTTTATGTTTTTTAAAACAGTTTTTAACGAAGTTTGTTGAAATTAAAAAATATTTTGAATGTTGCGATTTGCTTTTGTCCCGACATCGAAGGTTCCGAACCGCTGTGAGCGTGTCTCGAGAACATTCGTTGAGTCGGATTTGAGAGAGCCCGCACGGACGCCGCGTTCTCGTGCCACGAGACGTGGGCCAACGTCCCGCTTCGGTGACCCTTAGGGTCCGACCCAGGAGGGTAATGCCTGGGGAAGTCTAGGCGCACACGGTGGAGTGGCGTCGGGACTATTCGATGAAGGGATCGCCAAATTCGCAACAAATTTTTAAAGGTCTACTTTTTTCCCTGAAAACGCAACATAATAAATTATAAGCTTAAAATAATGAGAATAGTCAAAAGAAAATTACTTTTAGTTATAATTCAATACTTAAAACTTTTCATGAACACTGTGCAATGACATGACCAACACAAGGAGGATGGCGAACATTAATGGCAGGACTACAAACAGTGACATTTTTTACTTACACGCGCGTATTTCAGCTTCAGATGATACTCGTACGGTTTGAATAATTAAAAAACCTATTCAGCATCAATATATTTTCAGGAATAAACGAAGAAGGATATATAAATAGGGAATGAAGTGTATATATTTGACTGAGGTAATTTTTTAAAGTTGGAAATTCTGTTTTTACAATGACTGACGAAAATTGACGAGTTTGAGCATAGTATCTGTTTACGTACAAGAATTTTCATACATTTAAATGTTTTACGTATTTTATAAAGCCAATGGCGAGTATTCATGCCGTCGCGCAGAAAGAAACATAAGCTTAAAATCTAGTGTTAAAAAACTCCAAAATACATTTGTTATAACTTATCAGCATACTTTCAACGGGGAGGATCACAGTGAATCTGATTTCTCCGTCATAAATATTTATAGTTTTTTTTTTACTTGATTGATTGAAATCAAATTAAAACGCATACTTTGTATTCTGAAACAGGCCGTAAAATCGAAAAGATGAAGTAATTAAAATAGTGTAATGACAGAGGAATTTTCGCGGCTTCGCCACTCAGATCCCGCTGGTGAAATTTACTATTCGGAACGATTTTTGGCGCATTTCGGCCGTATGAATTTTATTTTTAGCGAAAAAAACTCAGTGGAAAATGAAAGACAACATTTTGTTTCTCTGTTTCTACCGTAGTTCGAATCAATCTATAATTCTCACTCTTCTATGTTGTAGAACCCGTAGCATTCTTCGAAACTGCCACCCTACATGATCCTCCCATCTCTCCAAAAGGCGCTAATAGACTACAAAAATAGCAAATTTCCAAGTGTGGAGTACTGTAACTACATTTATCCAACTGCAGATCTTTCTACCGTACATATTATTTTATCATTGAAGCCATTACACCCACCAATTTTAGACCTGATCGGCTTAATCCGATAAAGTTGGAATTTTTGATTGTAGATACCGTAATCCTACAGTAATTCTCCCCGACAACTCTAAAAATGAAAAGCGCTCGGAAGATGATGTGCTACGATACAAATCTGGTCGATTGCTCACAACAATGTTAGTTTAGTAATTGCGTGGAACAAACAGACACTGAATCCAAACACATAGTAAAAAGAAGATTCATCGAAGTCTTCGCATACCATATGCATCCTATACATTTTATGAACAGCATGATGCTGATCTTTCATAATTTTTTCTCGTTTCACGAACAATCATCCAAAACTTGTTTTGTTCATATTTCTATAGTAAAAATACTTGAAACGGCGAACTTCTGATGCAATTTCAAATATTTGCAGGAAGAAATTTTCAAATGATCTGCATTGCTGCGAAAATTGATCAAATCGGACGATAATTTTGATTTGCTTAATTGTTTTTCCTTGATTTTGTCTATTTTTAAATTTTTCTTTAAATTTTTTTCTAGATAAGTCAGGTAAGTCTTTTTTTAATGAGAGGTTAAACCCTTTCGAAAATTGTGAATTCGGTTAGTTTCCATTTTCGGTGTTTCGAAATATTACGTAGTTTGAATGTGTCTTTCATATGAATAAGCTCAAGGTGAGCTAATTTTTGGTTCTCCGTCCTCTTTAAATCCGAATAATGGAAATACTAGAAATGTATTCTGGAAGGTTCTACGGGTGCATGAGGCCCGCGTACACTTGATAGAATCTGTATTTTGATAGATTTCTGTGTCTTATAAATTTAATATAATTTTTGCACATGCGGTCTGTCACATAACTTTTTTTGCGAAACATGCGCTTTCTTTTATTTTTCAGACTGGATGAGTTAAAGTTATTTTAGGAGTTTGTATCATGCTTGCTGAATTGGACGAATCGGATCCATAAAATTTTCAGTCCGACCCGCCCGTCGCAAGTATGGTTTTTTTGATTTTCTAGAAATTGACTTGTTTTCAATTTAAATGTTATCTTTCCAATACTCTGTCGATATTGTTCCTACTCCAAATTCTTGTGGGTACAGTAATACTGGATTATTTGTAATTAGAGGTATTATTATCGCGAAAAAGTACGAATATTCGAATCATTGCAACCTACTATTGTCGACGTCGCGCGACTGCGGAAAATTAGCTAAATACCACAAAAATTTTTCGAAAAAATGAAAAAAGACGAATTGTTCTAGTAAAAAATAGAAAAATGTTTGCGGAACGGATTGCAAAAAAAATTAATTACAGTACGGATTGCCAAATAGGGGCAATATAAAGAGTGTGAAACGACAAATATTCGTTCTTCCGAGCCGCTTCGGTGACCCTTAGGGTCCGACCCAGGAGGGTAATGCCTGGGGAAGTCTAGGCGCACACGGTGGAGTGGCGTCGGGATTATTCGATGAAGGAGTTCTGCTTTATTTTCCTGAAAACGTAACATAATAAATTATAAGCTTAAAATTGGAACAATACAGAGAAGATTAGCATGGCCCCTACGCAAGGATGACACGCAAATTCGTGAAGCGTTTCAAATTTTTAAAAGTAATTTCCGGTTTTGATTGCGAAGAAGAAAAACTGTGGAACTTGGGAATCAATGCAAAGATTTTCTAAACAATCTCTCTTATATTTTCTAAACAATCTCTCTTATATTTATCCGGCGATTCTTCGTATTCGGTAGACTTTATTTTGGATTTATCGCGAGAATTTCTTCGTAATCCTCTGCTTTACAATTCTTAAGTTGATTTCTCTTTTTTCACTCTTATTTCGCTATTTGCTTGTGAAAGGCGATTGCTTGCGGATAGTTTTCATTTGGTACTGGGAACCTGCTCTCAAACACCTTTGCTTGTCCTTTCAAGGTATTTATCAAATTAAAAAAAATTCAACACATCCATCAGCCCATTTTTCCTAACCCTTCTTCCTTCTTTTTACAATATGTTTTCCTCCCTTATTTTCCAACCATTTCCTTACAATTGGTCATTGGATCATTTTAATCTTTTTTCGAGTTTTTTCGGTATATCGTTTTTCAAGATCAAGGATTCGTGTTGGATTTTGATTTTTCAGAAACTAGAGGTGGTCAATCATTATTCGCAATGTGGCTTTGAGCAATTGCTTTTTCTAATTTTATTTTTATTTTTATTAATGTCGTAGTCAAACGACTTGCCCAAGTTTAAAAATAATTATTGGCTGTGTGCCAAAGCGTCTCGTGGCATCGAGAAGTACGCAAGATTGCGTACATTGCATTATAGTGTACGCGCATTTAATATTCAGTCAACGATTAATTTAAATCAATACTGATTTCGCGAATTTGAAGTCCCTCACTCCCTTCAGTCGTTTGACGCTGACAATAGCCTACTTGTGTTTCTTGCTTCGTGTATCAAATAAAGGTTTAATTACCCAAGTTTGCGATGTCAATTTACGATTTCCAGTTTTCGATTTATTGATGTAAATTATTTTCATTGCAAAAAAACGAGCTCCTTGTACCATTGAAATTTTTCGAGGCCATAATTGAAATTACAAATTAAACACTAACAATTCGGAGGGTACCGTACTCTGGATAACCTGCGAATAGTAGAATCCAATGCAATGATTCCGAATAAACTTTGTCAGTCATTCTTGAGTTTTTTTTAACTTTTAACACATTTTTTCCATTGGCAAATATTGTCCAATTCGATCGGTTTTCATTTACCAGAATTTAGATAACAACAATTTTAAATAGTAAAAACGGAAGAAAATAGGGATACTTTTGTTAAACAAAATTAATTAGTTTCCTTACAAGGCCATAAAATGACCATATAATATAATAAATTTGTTTTTTTTAATCACGGCGTGAAACAATTCGACGTGTGATTTCGGAACCGAATTTGCTCATTCATACTCTCGGAATCCCCCATCGACTAGCTCTTTTCTAGCTTCTCAAACGCGTGTATTTTTCATTTTAAACATCGTCGCCGCCGAAAATTTTGAAACATGAGTGATCCGGAGACCGTTGAATGGTTCAAAGAGCGCATCCATAATCAGGTACACATTGATTAATGAAATGAAATGAAATGAGTCAGTTTTCAGAAGCACTTCACTGCTCGCCACATTGCACACATCTCTCAAATATCTGGCATGGAGCCGGAGCTCATCGCAAAAATCGGAGCCGGTGTGATTTTTGTGATTCTTGCGCTCAGCGAGCAGGGTTTCATATTGTGCAATTTCTTGCTCACCATTGTCCCATTTCTGCTCATTTTTGTGTATCCCGATGAGAAGCCGACCGATGAATCGCTTTACACGTATTACTCACTGTTTGGTCTGCTCACCGTTTTCGATCGCGCCTTCGAAAAAATCACGTTCTATTATGTCGCGAAACTTGCACTGTTTCTTTTGCTCTTTGTGCCACCGTATAAGCTTATCGATAAGGTGGATGAGGTGATCAAAAATCTGGTGAGAATATGATGCTGGATTCAATAGAAATCGACAAAAATTGCAGATAAATGAAGCCAATAAGAAGTCGGATGAGAAAAGCACGAGGAGCAGAAAGAGCAGCAAGACATCATTGAAAACTGCTGAGCCGGCGAAAACCGAAAATGCTTCAAAAGAAGGCGAAGGATCGAAGGTAATTCGGATGCTCAATATATCATTAATAGAAGCTTTCACTTCATGAGGGGGGTGGTCCGAAACGCGCAATTAGGTTCACATTGCAGAAAAAATCGCTAAGTTCCCATTCGAGTACGGTCAAAGTCACCATAACCGAAGAATATTATCGCGAAGAGGAGCTTCTCTCGCCAAACGGAACCGTCATCAGTCGCATCGTGAAGGGACCATACAAAAAGGAGCGCGTCGAGTCGGAAAACGCGCCGGACTCGACGCGATCCAATCCGACGCCGGCTACTGGTGACGGTAAACCGAAATCGGGCCAGAGAACCGAGCAAAAGTCGAAAGCCTAGTGTTGTTTCCCTCGTTAGCTCATCCCAGAGAGATTTATTGTTACCAAATATCATTATCGAGAATTTTTGAAATGCTCAATGTACACATTTTTGTAGTTGAATTAATAAAACGTTGTATTGAAGAATCGCGTGTTAGGATCTTAACTTGGCCTAAATTTGAATTTGAATTCCTACAACCAGATTTCGAAATTGTATTTTTGCAGGAAGAAATAAAACCGAGGGGTGCAATTAGTGGAACTGATTTGGCTGGTTTAAAGACATTCAGTTTCTCAATTTCATCAGATGAATTTCAGAAGGCTCTCGACGTCTCAAAATTGGACAAAATCCAATGGAATCGTCATCGGCGTTTAATCTTCGATCTGAGCTTGATGGATTCAACTCGTCACACAGTACCTTTGAGATGCTCTATTTAGAAGAGCCAACAATCGATTTTCAGTAGTCGGACCGGCCAACAATCTCAATGATATGTGGTTCTTCCCAACCGAAAAACTTGTCTTCAATGCTCCGTTCGATTTTGACAATCTCACGTATCACATGAAAATCATTAACAACAGCTATCATCGAATTGCGTATGCGGTGAAGGGAAACGCGGTGCCACGTGTCATGGCGAATCCGCCGTTCGGAGTTCTTGAGGTTAAAGAGAGTCGATTGATTGCTGTCACTGTTCAGGTAGCAACTCTTTCCTGCATGTTTCATTTTTGCATAAAAATTCAAAAAAAATGTTCAGAAATTCAACTGGAATGACACTGATTTTGAAAAGGATCGATTGGCTTTTGATTATGTGATTTTGCCAGACACGAACAAGGAAAAGAACTTTTCGTTCAAAATGTTGCAGCAGAGCACAACAAAACGCAGGAAAAATATTCGCATTATGTACAATCCTTAATAAAATATTATGGCAATTGGAATTTTTATCAAATTGGAGAATCGACTCATAAGAAGGGGTAGCCTAGACTATTTTCCCATCCAATTATAGGTTGAAATTGTATTCTTATCACATAGATTAGAGCGAGCTCACATGAGTTGCCAAGAAATGTTGATTTTTGACGCTTCTCATTTCATGCAATGTCGTTTACGCGTGAATTGGATCGCGTTTTCGACATGTCATCGTTTCAGTCTTTTTTTTAAATCAAATCTTATAGAAGAAAGACACCAAATACACCATGTAATTGTTGCCACTCACAGTTCCTACTACGGGGGGTCCGACCCTGGCCTGGTATTGGCATGGGCCAGCCCAGGACAGGTCGACAAGTCGGCTTCCACCATGTACACATTATCCCACTCGAATCTAAGTTATTAAAGGATTCGAACGAATAAAATTGACCTTCAATTATAATATTTTGTCAAACCAGCCTACTCGCAAACATTTTGTCATTTGATATTGATCTACGCCAATCGAATATGTATAAAACAATTAAAGTCGAAAAGTTGAACTGGAAAATGTGTTGCTGCAAATGCGCAGTGCATTCCATCAAGATCGCCCAATGAACTTTCAGACATCAAATATATTGTTTTCCAAATGGCATCATGCGCAATTTTATGAATAATTTCTAATTTCAATAGAACTCTTCTCTTTGTTTATTATTTATTACTTACTAATATTGTTACGAATATAAAAGAGAAATTTGTCCTCTTTCATGCATTCGATTCATGTAGGTATTATTATAATAATAACTGCATATTATACCCTCAATTTCCTTTTTTGGGGAGGTTCGTTTATTTGTTCTACACAAGTCAACACATTCCTCATTTCAAAAATCCAATTTTCAATTTTCGGACCACAAAACGCCAAAGATTTTGTTTGTTCGAATAAAAAAAATGTTGCGTAATGTTTCGTTCGTTTTTTTTTCATTGTTAACTTTTTAATTATTCGCAGTTATCTTTGAACCTTGATTTTTTTTTTTAGCTTTCTTTGTGTTTTATTAATTAAGAAAATCTCATGAATACGAAAAAGGAAAACAATGGAAAGTTGGGTATTTTGAAAACAACACAAATGCCTTTTTTTGGTTTTAAACCAGTTTTGTCTAAAATCCCAAAAAATTCAAAAACAAACTTTTATAAATAGAAACAATTCCCCCCACATAATCTGCACTTTATTTCTGTGCTATTTTTTTCCTGCAAAATCGGACCCAAATTTGAGCTATTTTTATTATTGTTGTTGTTGTTTTCGAATTTGTGCAAGATTTTCAAAAATCATAAAAATTCCCACGCGCCGGTTTTGATTTCATATTTCGGACTCCGTCTTCACCAAAAATAGAATTAAAACCACTGTGAGGGGGTTTGAAATCGGTCGGTCCCGAAAATTGTTGCACTCAGCCTAATCGGAGCAATGTCGACGGCCTAAGAGCATCGTCGGTGACGGAAAAAAGACAAAAATCTGAAAAAAATACGACGACACCGGCCGCCCTGATTTTTTGTGTGTGCGTGTGTCTGTCTGAGAATGTGATGTTGAATGCTGCATTTTTTTCAGCAGACAACGCCGAACGCGGCGACGTCGGCGAGGATGTCACCGCGTTTTTTTTCTCGTCTACGCCGCGAAATTCTTCCGCTTGTTCTTGTTTGCATTGAAGACGACCGAACTTGACACGTCATTAAATGAGATTTTCAGATGAAGGCGACCCCCCCCCTCGATTGGGTTAGCCGGATGGGCGATGAACGCGAATCCGTGAGTGGCTTCGAGCAAATCATTAATTTAAACGGACGATTTCGCTTATTGAGGCCCTAAATTTGCAAAATGCAAAAAAATGGCAACTTTATTTAAAGATTCTTCAAGTAATGAAATTCTCATTTCGGTTTCGATTAGTCCGAGAAAATTGTCTCAAAATTTGTCGAAATTCCAACATATTGACTCGTGTTCGTCTTTTCCCGCATCGACAAATATTTTTTAATGATAAACCCTACAATTTTTTGCATCGTGAAAATAACTTGTTGTGGGTTTGACAATTACAAAAATCAGAATTCATATTCGTGAAAACGATACCATTATCTTAATTGGGCGGCCCAGAAAACAAATTTTTTCCTTATATCCATTGCATTCTAAAATAGTTAATATCATGCAAAAATTGGGCTACATCGAAAATTCTTAAACCATCGTTTTTATATACTTTTTTTTCTAATTTTTTTGTCGTATCAAAGTTATACGAGAATACGACGATGGGGTCTTTCCTCCCAATCATTAAAACGTATTTTCGACCCAAAAAGTGTAGTTTAATTTTTCTGGAGCGTTAAATAAACTGGCCATTGAATTTCCAACATCAGACTACTTTTTTGAGGTGGTCGACTTCTTTTGAATTATTCTTCATCTAGCTTCAATGATATTTTTTTCATTCTAAACCAAATTTTTCGAAATGGTATTTAACTGAGCCGTATATAGGAATGCCGAATTAGTATCATCAACATCGCAAGCTTCTAATTCTCTATTTCTTTGAGAAAAAATAATGCCAAGATCGTAATGACGTCAAGAGTATTTTGGATTGATTTCCGTCTAAAAATGGATCCATTTGTTTGGAATCCTCTTAGATTGTTTCTCATTCCTCTCTCGTCAAGTCGTCGAGATAGGCCATTCTATTCCATTTCTGCATTTCAAGCCACGCCCACAATTTAGACGAGCCGTCGGTCGGCATCATTCGGAATCTCCAAACAAAAAATGCTGTTTTTTTCCATCACATCATTAATCTTAAAATCACACACTTTGTATTCCGTATAAAAACCTACTTTAAAACCCAAATTGAACTGCAAATTGTTTCGTTCATCCATTTGAGGGGACCACTTTCGATGATATTCGATATTACAGTAGAACACCAGCCGCCCACGTACCACCATGAAACAGAATACTTTTGTTGAGTTCAACTCCAACTCGTTCTGCTTTATTTTTCGCTTTAATCCATATTTAGCCACATTTTTGTAGGAATGCAATTTTTCGCCGCCGCCACGCGATTCTCAACAACCGCCACCATTCTCATCGTGTGCTTGGTCGTTCTTGTGATTACGGTCCAACCGGCAGAAGCATTGTGAGTTGCTCAAAACTATTTGTCTTACTATGATTGCATGAATACCATCGGGGAAAACTCGAACCAATCGCACTTTTATTGTCTACAACGTCACTTTTCAACGTTGTCACGAAGAATAAAATCAACCCCGCCCCATTCTTCAAACGGAAATTCCGTCAATTTTATAATCGGCACATGAAGGATATTTATGAGAGCATGCCCGATGCAACAATGACCACCCACTCAGCAAGCCGAGCGGGCGAAACCGTGGCAGAATGGTGGCAAAAGTAACGGTCGCCCGCGTTTTGCCCCATTCTGCTAGCAAGTAGATGTAAGCGCGTATGGTCGTTATAGCCCTCAGTTTAGCGTAATTCGCGCTTACATTATTTCATATACAAAAACAAGCAAACCAACCGGAATAGCAAGCAATCGGAACACCGTTGTTCCACAATTTTACATTAGTTTCGCCTTCAGCTAGTTTTTGCCACGGTTTCGCCCGCTCGGTTTGCTGAGCACGCACCAAAAGTCGCAAGGTTGTGCACCCGCCGATTTGGTTGATCTTCCATATTGAGAAACATTTCAGATCGAACAATATGCAATTCTCACTTCGGCAGAGTCGCAACTGTTTTTTTTCGCCGATGGGATGTATATTCATTCCAAAAAAGTCGCGGATTCGTAAAATGTCCAACGATTACGATGGATGAAACAGGGTTGTCAAAAAAACAGGGCCGGGGGCCCTACGGGTCCAGTTTGAATTGCCGCCGAATTACACTAAACAATAAGCAACATAAACGCGGAGCGTCGTTTCTAGTCGTTTTTTCTCTCTTTCTATTGATGCTTTGCAATTTTTCTCATGTAATTAGCGATTAAATGTCAATAAAATAAAATAATTTTCATATGAATACACCGTTGACGCCGAAATCAAGAAATTCTACAAACCATGTCCAACGATTACGATGCGCCGATCATCGACGTCGTCTAGCTTCAATGGAAAATAGCGAAAATTTCTCTCAAATTTTGCCCCCCGAATCGTAACAATAAATAATCAATGTTTTTTTTATTGATGATCACAATGAGGCGTTATTAAATGAATGAATGAAAAGTAAAAAATGTTGCAATTTGTGGAAACCCATATAAATAATTATTCTGGCCTAAACTCATAATTCGTCTTTTGAATCATCGCCGCTTTCATGGACTTCTTCTTTGCTATCGTCATCATCTTCAAAATCTTCTTGTTTTTCATCCAATGCCTTCTTCCGAGCGGCGATTTCTGGAAATTAACAATATTAGATACAATTCAACTTTTTTTTATACAGAAAGATAATGACTGAGCCGGTAATTCAGTTTCCCGGACGTCTCACATCGAAAATTATTGCAGTGTTCGAAAACACGGAAAATGGTGTTAATTATTGACTTAAAATCATTTGAATTCATCTTCAGACGGGGGAATACAATTTATACCTAGCGAATTTTTCGTTCAATCTAATATCAACTATTTTTGGAAATGCACTTTTATTATACATATAACAAACTTTATGTGTTCTCATTAAGTTAATTGAATAATGTTTCATGCAGATCAAAAACTCAGGATTTGGCGGTACTCGTAAAGAATATATACATAGCAGGTAATCCAGTTGAAGAGATGAGCAGAACAGAAAAACATAATGGTACTATGTAGATTTTGACAAAGAAAACTCAAAAAGTTGTAGATTGCGTTTAAAAAACTATTGCCGACGTCGCGCGATTGTACGAAAAAATTGGCTAAATCTAGAATGTGGTCAAATTTTTTTAAAAAATGCGGGCATATTTCAGAATTTCTACTTCATCTTTTCCATCCGCATCACTACTCATTTCGCGAAGTCTCAACCAATCAAGTTAATATCCAATTGTAGCCTGAATATAAATAAATTAATTTAATGAAATCGGTTTTAGAGAAGTTTTGCTCAATGGCCAAAGTCGATTAATTTTGTTTTAATAAATTGAAATCTTACGCCGTCATTCTCGAGCATTTGCTTCCACTTTCTTTTGGCTCTGTTACTTTTCCAGTTCTGAACAACTGTGGACAATTTCTTCTTTTTTCCGTTCGGAGGAGTTTGAGCTCGTTGTTTTTCCTAAAACAAACCAACACAGTGTTTTTCAAACCCACGTCTTTTTTTCTGCATTACCTTCTTAACAGCTCCACTGTCTACATATTCTTTATACTTTTTCTTTGCTTCCGATAGATCGATTCCACTTTTCGCTGCCTTTTCGACCATCGACGTTACTAGTCCAGCCTTGTCGAGTATTTCCAATGGAACTTTTTTCCTTTGTCGTTCGGCTGATGAGGCAGATCGCCGGATATGATTATTCGCACCACCTGTGCTCATAAATTTGATTTTGGCGGTCTCAACCGCTGACGTTTTCGAATGTATTGTGGTTTTATTGTTTTCTGTGGATGTTGATTCAACCACTGTCTCCGCCTTCTCAACTTTCCAAGTTTTGACAGGATCTGCCGGACTCGAATGACGAACTGGATCACCCGTCTGCGGAATTTCTGCATTTGTAAAATATTCGGAATATGTACTTTGGTGGCATAATGATTACCTCGTCTTAAAACTCTCACAGCTACTTGTCCAGTTTCTTTATCGGTATTAACAGTTTCTTTAACCAATCCATTCTCTTCAGCTGTTTGAACTTTGTCTCGTTCAGCAACTGAACACCAGTTATGGTATTTAGATATGTATATCTAACTCAATAAGTTTACCTTCATCGACTTCATCAATTGTCGGTTCTCTTGGAACTATTTTTTCATTTTCTTCGAGTCCCAATGGCGACAATGTCAATGGTGCGCTTATTAAAGATCGAAGTCCACTAGCCATATTGGTATTAACTGCATGACGGGCGGAAAACTGAACGGATCCCATATCAGTAAGAAGATGACGATTATCGTCCCAACGTCCGAAACACAAATCGACACCGCCTACGAATGAAATCAGCTGATCAATTATTAAAAGCTTTTCATGGTGAGCCCAAAATACAGTTCCAGTTCCTGGATAATGATCAGGATGGCGCATCACCTAAATTTCAAAAAAAAATCAAGATTCCAATTATTTAGATTACCTTGATGTTTTTATGAAGTGCTTGAAGTGTTCGTTTAGTATAAACGCTATTTACTCCTAATGCGATTTTTTCTTCCTGTATAGCAAAACCAAAATCTAAAAAATAAAGCCGTTAAAAACGTAAAATTTATAAACATATAATAAAGTTAGAATCCGAGGAACCGTTTCGCTTCATCGGGAACCGATTGTGGAGTGGAACTAAAAACCAAATATTATGCTATTAAACTTTGCAGCTTGTTCTCATTTTTGCACCAGTGAACGAATTCGAAACAAAATACTCGTTCATATGTTGAACCGAAATTCAATACTGGAACATTTGTGCAAAAAAGTGAAATTTTGTCGTACAGACAATATATTCATTGCATAAATTGCATTTCAAACGAAATCTCACCTATGCATCCCTCGATTTCATCTAATTTCCATCCATTTTTGCACTTTGTACATCCTTTTGGTCCTGAATTACAGACTCCGAAGCACCCTTCATAGCATTCTAGAAAAAATAGATTTTTCGAATAATTTGAGAAACACGACACACTTTTGCAAGTAATATCTTTTCCTTGCTCGTTTTCAACTTGGAAGTACTCAGCATCGCTTTCAACTTGGAAGTACTCAGCGGCCCGAAATGACCTTCAGGGCAACACACTGAAATATTTGTTTCAATATTATAAAAAATCAGTCTTTGATTCTTACATTTGAGATTGTCTATGCACAACCAGGCGAACAAACTAACGCCCTGTCTTTTGTAATAATAATCATCTTTCTTTTGATTATGATCAACATTTTAATCGTATAATTTATGACGTGGCGATCTGCAGTTGGATAACAGTAGTTACAGTACTCCAAACTTGGAAATTTGCTATTTTTGTAGTCCATTAGCGCCTTTTGGAGAGATGGGAGGATCATGTAGGGTAGCATACAAAGTATGCGGTTTCGAAGAATGCTACGGGCTCTACAACATAGAAGAGTGAGAATTATAGATTGATTCGAACTACGGTAGAAACAGAGAAACAAAATGTTGTCTTTCATTTTCCACTGAGTTTTTTTCGCTAAAAATTAAATTCATACGGCCGAAATGTGCCAAAAATCGTTCCGAATAGTAAATTTCACCAGCGGGATTTGAGTGGCGAAGCCGCGAAAAAAAAGAACTCGTCAATTTTCGTCAGTCATAGTAAAAACAGAATTTCCAACTTTTAAAAATTACCTCAGTCAAATATATGCACTTCATTCCCTATTTATATATCCTTCTTCTTTTATTCCTGAAAATATATTGATGCTGAATAGGTTTTTTAATTATTCAAACCGTACGAGTATCATCTGAAGCTGAAATACGCGTGTGTAAGTAAAAAATGTCACTGTTTGCAGTCCTGCCATTAATGTTCGCCATCCTCCTTGTGTTGGTCATGTCATTGCACAGTGTTCATGAAAAGTTTTAAGTATTGAATTATAACTAAAAGTAATTTTCTTTTGACTATTCTCATTATTTTAAGCTTATAATTTATTATGTTGCGTTTTCAGGGAAAAAAGTAGACCTTTAAAAATTTGTTGCGAATTTGGCGATCCCTTCATCGAATAGTCCAGTTTCCCGATTTGACATAATCCAAAACGATTGACGACAACGCTGGGGAATCCTTCTGCTCAACTACGACTTCAACATCGAGTACGTCAACACCACCGCGTTTGGCCAAGCAGACGCCTTATCCCGGCTTATCGCAACGAACGCGGAGAATGTCGAGGAGGAAGACCGGATAATCGTTGTGGTGGAAGCTGAAGTCAATGCAGAACACGCCGGAAGAATTCGACATCTTCCTGTCACTGCTAGAACAATCCGCAACTCAGTGCTCACAGACCCAACCACGTCAATCGTTTTGGATTATGTCAAATCGGGAAACTGGCCGAAAACCGACAGAGCATCACCAATTTGGAACTACTACAACCGCCGCGACCTCTCAATCGTCGACGGAACTCTTATGTTTGGGCACCGGATCGTCATTCCAACTTGCCTACGCCAGCGAGTCCTGGACACAGTGCATAAAGGCCATCCTGGAACGGAGCGGATGAAGAAACTCGCTCGCAGTTTCGTATACTGGCCGCTAATCGACGAGGATATCGAGAGGCTGGTTAGGAATTGTGCCAACTGTCAGTCCGCGGCCAAAAATCCAGTCAAGACAACACTGGAACCCTGGCCTGCCGCAACCACACCATTCGAACGGGTCCACATAGATTACGCAGGACCGATTAACAACATCTACTACCTCGTCATCGTAGATGCCTACTCCAAATGGTCTGAAATTTTGCCATTCGACGGGATCACCAGAATCACCGTCTGCCGCTGCATATTGACTTTGATCTGCCGATGCCTATACGGCTTGAGCTGTAGACGGGAATTCCTTTCTTCGATCGAAAAATGGCAAGAAGCGGTTTGTGGTCCGTGCGAAGTGTGAATTGTCGTCCGTAAATGTATCGATGAAATTTCTCAATAGCGAAGACCAATCCTAAGGCTTCCTTTTCAATTTGGCTGTATCCTTGCTGAGCCTTTGTTTGTTATCGGCTGGCGTGCGCAATAGCCTTTTCTGATCCGTCCGGGTACCGATGGGTGATGACGGCACCGATTCCATAGGCTGAGGCAACAGCTGCGACGATGATGGGCAGCTTCGGGTTGTAGTGTGTTAGCAAGAGGTCCGTTTGTAGAATTGATTTGATCTTCTCGAACGATTTTTGACAATGGTCTGTCCATACAGGGTGTCATTTAAGTTCCCGCACAAAAGTTTGACGCCATGAAGAGCTTGGCTGTCGCACTTTTCGTGCACCAATACAATTTATTTTTATTGAACAAGGTACATTTTACTTACTTTCCATGTTTCGCCTCATTCGGATGTGTTTCCGAGAAATGGCGAAGGCTAATATCCATCGTGCTTCCATTATCGAATTTCATAAGCAAAATGTGAGCCCGAGAGACATCATTCAACGGGTCGGTGTGCCTCGTAGAACGGTTTATGACACTATCAAACGATTCAAGGAGCTAAATACGACCAGTGACCGTCCCAGACAAGGAAGACTCGTCTCAGTAATCACTCCTCAGAAGATCAACGACGTTAAATCGAGGATCAGGCGAAAACCCCACAGGAGCATGAGAACGATGGCGTCAGACATGGGAATGAGCATCTTCGCTATGGAAAAAATCGTCAAAACGAAGCTTCGACTGACCCCATATCGTGTCCAAAAGGCGGCAATTCTATCGGCCGTCAGAAAGCAGAGACGCTTCGAAAAAGCAAAACGACTTCTTGCTCGCACGCGGTCTGGACAACACCTCGTCACTGTCTTCTCCGATGAGAAGCTGTTCACTGTGGAGGCGGCATTCAACTCACAAAACCATTGAGTATTTGCCCAGACATCCCAGCAAGCTTCTGAGAAAGGAAGAACAATTCATCCAGCCTCACATCCTGCCAGTGTGATGGTTTTCGGTGCCATCTGCTTAACCGGGAAGTGCCCCCTGGTTTTCGTGAATCAGGGGGTGAAAATGAACAGAGAAGTCTACGTTCGGGACATTTTGGAGAATCATGTGATGCCCTGTACCCAAACGCATTTCGGTGGGCAGAAATGGGTCTTTCAACAGGACGGAGCACCCGCCCACACTGCCAAAACTACTCAGGAGTGGTGCCAGACCCATTTTCCCGACTTCATCAAGTCATCCGAATGGCCTGATCGCTCCCCAGACCCGAAACCGCTTGACTTTTCCGTGATGGGGTCTTGCAGGAGAAGGTCAACGCAAAACCCCACTCAAGTATAGAGGCTCTGAAGAAGACATTACTGGCGGAATGGGACAATCTTTCCATCGAACACCTGCGTACCACAGTCACATCCTACCCGAAGCGTCTCCGTGAAGTCATAGCTGCGAAAGAAGACCGAATCGAAAAGAGTTAAAAGATAATTATTTGTTATACTATAGAAAAAAAATATTTCGAGTCTCGTTTGATTTGGACTTTTAGTTTCAGAAATATACGTCTTCAAAGTTGTGCGGGAACTTAAATGACACCCTGTATGAATTCGGTGTCCTTGGTGAGAGCATCCAGTGGGGCTCTGTAGTTGTGCAGATCCCTCACAAAAGATCCATAAAATTGAACCATTCCCTAGAATGATAGCAGTTTTCCAACGTCTGAAGGTGCCGGAATTTCGTTGATTGCGTTGGTTATGGTCGGGTCTGGGCGTCAATCCTCCTGAGCAATTTGTGTAGTCTGTCATTGTGTTCTTCGATAGTCGATCCCGAAATGATGATGTCGTCCATGTACGCGGCAACACCAGCGAGGCCAGAGATCATGGTTTCCATTATTTGTTGAAATATTGCTGGCGCTGTTTTTTTTTTTGGTAGTCGATTGTAGTAGAATAGTTCTTTGTGCGTGTTGATCGTGAGCATCTTCTTGGATTCTTCCTCGACTTCGACTTGCAGATAAGCTTCGGCAAGGTCCATCTGTTTAAAAAAATTTCCCTCCGTTGAGGGTTGAGAATACATCCTGTAAGAAATCGGTTTCTTATTAATAAATTTATTCCAAAAAAAAAACAATCAACACGGAAAAGAGTCTTTTATAGCGTATGCTTATCTCGTCTTCCATCTTTTCTCCTCCACGTCATCCGTGACACTCCCGACTGCAAGAGGTGCTCCCTGTATCGGATCCACAGCCGCTGGCAGTTCCTGGTCTCCCGGCCCTGGAGGCGACGTTTTCGTTTCCGGTGAATTCGGAGCATTGCTTGTTTTGGGGCGTGAGTCCGTAGTGCTCTCGTTCTCGGGGTCACGTGTCGGGTCGGCTTCCAGGAAAAACAATCGTTTATGGGGGTATTCCTGTTTCCGCCGGGTTCGTCCGTTGATCACCTGGGCTGAGCGACTTTTGACTTCCGTGATCCGAGCCATCGGCCACTTGTGGATGGGCACGCCCTCCTGTTCGATGAGGACGACATCGTTAACTTTCGGTTTGAATTCCGTCGTCTTCGTTTGTCGATGTCCGGTGTCTCCGCGATCTCGAAGAAGTTGTGCGTACCGTATTGTCCAATCCTTAAGTAGGAACTGAACGATCGAACACGAACTGCTCCAGCGTTCGAGTAATTCCGTTTGGTGTGTGGAAGATGATCGCAGTCCTCCTGAGCGTCCAACGTGAACCCAAATGCCTTCACGGAGAACGGTAGCACGATGTCGATTGGTCGCAGAGGTTGCATTTCATTGGCGTCGCTGGGGACATATGTCAGTGGTCGGCGGTTGATGATGGCTGTAGTTTCCGCTAATACCGTTCGTAATTCATCTTCTTCCAGGAGAAGTCTGCCGGTTCCTGACTTCAACAGCATTGTTTTTATGATTCCCACCATCCGCTCGTATACTCCTCCACTCCATGGCGAATGGGCCCGGATGAGCTTGAATTCAGGCAGTGTAGTTGAGTTCATGGTCGAGTTCCGCTTCCCGTGTAGATTGACGTATTCGAGGCCTCCTTGAGCATCACGAATTGCTTCGCGTTGTCACAGATAATGGTGCTTGGCGTTCCAAAAGTCGCCGTAAGACGTCGCAGGGCGTTTAATACCGTCGTTGTCTTCATGTTTGTTACCAACTCGGTTGCCACATATCGGGATCCCAGACAGGTGAAGAGGAGTATCCACGCATCTTCTGGCCCGGTTGACCCTTTGATCTTGACTGGTCACTGCGTTGTCACCATCAAACGTCTTCGGTTGCCAACTTCTTCCTTCTTTCGATCATCCTTCTCTTCATTGGTGTCTGATCCGACGAGGTGCGTTTCATCAAACTGCTCATTCTCCGGTGGTCTTCCTCGCGTATCGCTGTGCTTCCCGGTTGTCTGACCTTCAGCTTCGGCAATGTAGGTGACGGCGTGTTCCTGATGATCTTCCCCCGCAGGTGAATCCTCCGATCCGATCATATTTGTCTGGTATGAACGTTCTCCCGCGTTGAGGTTCTTTCTATCTTGTGTCGGTGAAGGACGGAACTCATTGCTCTGCGGTTGACCTCCGCGCCGCCATGGCGGGGCTCCGTGAGTCGGTATCGGAATCATGTTCGGGTTATTCGAATATCGGTTACGCCCATCGTTCCTTCGAAATCCTATGGCTCCTTCGTCCCGCATACGATGGCACATCGACTGATGGTGCCTTCCTCGACAGCGCTTGCAGCGATCCGGGCAAGTCGTTGCCCGATGGCCTCCTCTCAGACATTGATAGCACAAATCCAATTCTCTGCATCGGTCCTTTCTGCGATCCTTGGTGTAGTGTTGCCATTGTTGTCACTGGTTCCTCCGCTCGTTCATTCACGATCGCCGCCACTAAGCTTTCCGTTTGCGATATGTCGCGTATCATCTCCAGAAGTCGTTCCGCATCCGCTGGTTGACTACGCGGGTTCGCGTACAACTTTTGGATTATCTTTTTTGGGAGCTTTGCCTCAATAAGAGATGCGGTTGTCATGTTGTTCATATCGCAACCAAATGAGGCAAGCTGTCGAATCGTGGTCACTGTCCGAATGTAAAAATGGTGTAAATCGCTCGGTTGGTAGCTGTTTCCGAGCACTGGCAGCTCTCTAATTCTCCTGAAGAGGGTTTGCTGTAGACGCGTTTGACCGCCGTATTGATCGTCTAGGATGCTCCATGCGATCAGGTAGTTGCTCACCGTTGATCGTAATGTCTTCACCAGCTCGGCTGCTTCTCCACACAATGAAGACTTCAAGTAGTACATCTTAGTCGTATTGCACTGGATCTGACTCCCAATAAGATTCTCGAATCCCTCTTTGAATTCGAAATAATCTTCATCTCTTCCGTCTAACGTAGGCAGGCGTATTGTTGGTAACGGTATGCCATTCAAAGGTGGCATGCCATTCCCAATTCCACCCGTATATTGTGGTTGTTGTCCTCCTGGCTCGTTCCAACTCCTCCGCCCTGATCTGTTGTGGCCTCTATGGTCCGCACCCATGTATCCCGCTAGTTGTGGGCTTGCGTCTCGCATCCTTTCCGTTGTTAAGGGTTGGAAAACTCTAAACGTGTTATTGCACACCGTGGTGGTCAAAATTGCCTGACCGCGCGCGCGCGACGACACAATCCCTCCCAGTAAACCCCGCCAAAAGGCAGTGTGATTTCTAGACCAAAGTGCACTCGCAACCTCGCCAGTCCTTAATTCATTTCGTACCGATTGTCTTACCTGATAGGTGAACCTTTTATTTTTATGTACTTTTGTAACTTATGCTTGCGTCGTGTATCATAAAGGTTTAATTACCCAAGTTTGAGGTTTGAACTAATTGCATTCGTCTCACCGAGAGAGTCCGTAATTGTTCCCGTCATCCGTCCTCCGGAAACTCCCCATGTCGATTCTTGTTGTTCAGCTTCTTGGCTTCCCATCTCGTCCGTATCCTGCTTGTTTGATGTTGTACCGTTTTCTTCTTTTACGTCGCGTTCCGTTTTCTCTCGTTGCGCTTGCTGTTCTTCCATTTCGTCACGAAGATGATCGTAGTCGGCGAATGGTGTATAGTCCGAGTTCCTCGGCTCCAATGTTTTCGCGCGTTCAATTCCGATGTGATATAACTGCTCCGATAAAACCACCTCCGCTGTACACTTATCGATAGTGTCCCTGTAGTTCCCGTATCGTGCGATGTATCGCTCGAATTCCTCCTTTTCTGCACTGTCCTGACGTTACAATCGTTTCCAATCCGTGTCGAATTTCTTCAACCGCGAAACATCCATTGTGGTCTTGTCCGAAGTGAGGCTTTTGTGTTGGTGCAGCGACCAAGTCCTGGTCGAAAAACGGTTCCGTATGATGATTGTAGTTCATTTTCGAGGGTCCTTCGTTGGGCGGCAATCGTTGTTGACGATGTCGAGATCGCGTTGGTTGTCACGACTAGTTGGTTGTAAAGTTTCTTGTCCTGGGAAATCCATTCCATTCCGAGTAATGTTGACGTGTTCGTGACATAGCAGATTCCTGTTCCGTGTTGATCGTTTATTGTGAAGTTTCATTTGAGTTGTCCTTGAACGTGGATTTCCTCGTGGGTTGTTGACCGCAGCTTCGGTCGGTTGAGTTTAATCCAATCGTCATGATTCAGCAGGGTAACTTCTGCTTCCGTATCAAGCTGCATCTTGATCGGTGTTCCATTAATCGAAACTGTGGTGTAGATCCGGTTCTGGGTTTTCGTGGACGATTGCGCGATGAAGACGGCGTTGTTGTCCATGGCATACTTTCGAGAGATGTCCCGTCTTGTGACCGCTGTGGCAGATTGTTTCGTGTGGCAGCTTGCAATCCCGTCTCCAGTGTGATCCCCACATCTCGAGCACGGCGACGGTGGTGATGTTGCAGAAGTGCGCGGAGAAGTCGGAGTTCTCGCGTTCTTTGGTCGTGATCCTCCTTGGAATTTAGGCTTGGGTTTGTTGGCTTGTCGGCGAATGGCGTGGATGTCGTGAGATCCACTTCCGATAAAGTCTGCGTCGGCGCGAAGTGAGATAACTTGATCCAATCGGTCCGTGAGCTCTGTTAGTTTCAATTCCGGATTCAGTTCGAGTTCGCGAAGTGCCCGAATTTGCAAATCCAGGTGTTTTGATGCATGGAGTCCGATGATCCATAGCAGGCATTCAGCTTGGTCCGGCGAAAGCTGATTCCATTGAGCGGCGGCAAACCGGCGTTATTTTAAATCAGTTTTGTCTAAAACCCCAAAAAATTCAAAAAACATACTTTTATAAATAGAAACAATTCCCCCCACATAATCTGCACTTTATTTCTGTGCTATTTTTTTCCTACAAAATCGGACCTAAGTTCGGGCTATTTTTATTATTATTGTTGTTGTTTTCGAATTTGTGCAAGATTTTCAAAAAAAAAATTCCCACGCGCCGGTTTTATTTTCACATTTCGGACTCCGTCATCACCAAAAATAGAATTAAAACCACCGGGAGGTGGTTTGAAATCGGTCGGTCTCGAAAATTGTTGCACTCAGCCTAATAGGAGCGATGTCGACGGCTTAAGAGCATCGTCGGTGACGGAAAAAAGACAAAAATCTGGAAAAAAAACGACGACGCCGGCCCCCTGATTTTTTGTGTGTGCGTGTGTATGTCTGAGAATGTGATGTTGAATGCTGCATTTTTTTTCAGCAGACAACGCCGAACGCGGCGACGTCGGCGAGGATGTCACCGCGTTTTTTTTCTCGTCTACGCCGCGAAATTCTTCCGCTTGTTCTTGTTTGCATTGGAGACGACCGAACTTGACACGTCATTAAATGAGAACGCGAATCCGTCGGTGGCTTCGAGCACATCATTAATTTAGGACGATTTCGCTTATTGAGGCCCTAAATTTGCAAAATGCAAAACAATGGCAACTTGATTTAGAGATTCTTCAAGTAATGAAATTCTCATTTCGGTTTCGATTAGTCCGAGAAAATTGTCTCAAAATTTGTCGAAATTCCAACATATTGACTCGTGTTCCTCTTTTCCCGCATCGACAAATATTTTTTAATGATAAACCCTACAATTTTTTACATCGTGAAAATAACTTGTTGTGGGTTTGACAAATACAAAAATCAGAATTCAAATTCGTGAAAACGATACCATTATCTTAATTGGGCGGCCCAGAAAACAAAGTTTTTTCCTTATATCCATTGCTTTCTAAAATAGTTAACATCATGCAAAAATTGGGCTACATCGAAAATTCTTAAAACCTATTTTCGACCCAAAAAGTGTAGTTTAATTTTTCTGAAGCGTTAAATAAACTGGCCATTGAATTTCCATCATCAGACTACTTTTTTTGAGGCGGCCGACTTTTTTTTTTTGATTTGTTCTTCATCTAGCTTCATATTTTTTCATTCTAAACCAAATTTTTTGAAATGGTATTTAACTGAGCCATATATAGGAATGCCGAATTAGTATCATCAACATCGCAAGCTTCTAATTCTCTATTTCTTTGAAAAAAATAATGCCAAGATCGTAATGACGTCAAGAGTATTTTGGATTGATTTCCGTCTAAAAATGGATCCATTTGTTTGGAATCCTCTTAGATTGTTTCTCATTCCTCTCTCGTCAAGTCGTCGAGATAGGCCATTCTCTTCCATTCTATTCCATTCCATTTCTGCATTTCAAGCCACGCCCACAATTCAGACGAGCAGTCAGTCGACATCATTCGGAACCTTCAAACAAAAAATGCTGTTTTTTTTCCATCACGATGATCAGACATCAGTTCGGACCGATCTATTTAATTGGACATTCATCCATTTTCCTACAGTATTCTCTCCGCCCCCTGTCCGCCTCGAGACCTGACTGCTTTCTCTTCCATCGTTTCGTTCAAAGTTGAAACAAATTGCTCGATGTAACGCAAAAAATTTGGCACCAAATTGGAAATTTGACCTTTTTGAATAGGTTTTTTTCGCACTTTTTTTCCCAATGTTTTCTTAAAACGTATTCAAATTTCAAACAATAAAAATTTCGCATCGGGGCTTCACCGATTCGAAATAATGAGTCAGAGAATGTTGGATAAGAAAGATGGCACTACGTAGAATTTTAATCCATTCCTAACAATTGTGCATCATTAATCTTAAAATCACACACTTTGTATTCCGTATAAAAACCTACTTTAAAACCCAAATTGAACTGCAAATTGTTTCGTTCATCCATTTGAGTGGACCACTTGTGATGGTATTCGATATTACAGTAGAACACCAGCCGCCCACGTACCACCATGAAACAGAATACTTTTGTTGAGTTCAACTCCAACTCGTTCTGCTTTATTTTTTGCTTTAATCCATATTTAGCCACATTTTTGTAGGAATGCAATTTTTCGCCGCCGCCACGCGATTCTCAACAACCGTCACCATACTCATCGTGTGCTTGGTCGTTCTTGTGATTACGGTCCAACCGGCAGAGGCATTGTGAGTTGCTTAAAACTATTTGTCCTACTATGATTGCATGAATACCATCGGGGAAAACTCGAACCAAGCGCCATTTTATTGTCTACAACGTCACTTTTCAACGTTGTCACGAAACACGAATCTGCTTTACGGACCAAATATTTGATAGCAAGAATAAAATCAACCCCGCCCCATTCTTCAAACGGAAATTCGGTCAATTTTATAATCGGCACATGAAGGATATTTATGAGAGCATGCCCGATGCCACAATGACCACACACTCAGCAAGCCGAGCGGGCGAAACCGTGGCAGAATGATGGCAAAAGTAACGGACGCCCGCTTTCTGCCACCATTCTGCCCGCGTTTTGTCCTATTCTGCTAGCAAGTAGATCCACAATTTTATCCTAGTTTCGCCTTCAGCTAGTTTTTGCCACAGTTTCGCCCGCTCTGTTTGCTGAGCACGCACCAAAAGTCGCAAGGCTGTGCACCCGCCGATTCGGTTGATCTTCCATATTGGGAAACATTTCAGATCGAACAATATGCAAGGCTCACTTCGGCAGAGTCGCAACTGTTTCTTCTCGCCGATGGGATGTATCTTCATTCCGAAAAAGTCGCGGATTCGTAAAATGTCCAACGATTACGATTGATGAAACAGGGTTGTCATTCTCATCGTGTGTTTGGTCGTTCTTCTGATTACGGTCCAACCGGCGGAAGCATTGTGAGTTGCTTAAAACTATTTGTCCTACTATGATTGCATGAATACCATCGGGGAAAACTCGAAACAATCGCACTTTTATAATAAAATAAAAACAACCCCGCCCCACTCTTCAAACGGAAATTCGGTGAAAATCAATCGTTTTCGAAAATAATTTCTTTTTCAATCTAAATCGAATGTAAATTAATCTGTTTTGAATTATTCCAAAATTTCAATCGAATCCGATTGATTTTCATTTACGTGAGCGCCGATTCGGTTGATCTTCCATATTGAGAAACATTTCAGATCGAGCAATATGCAAGGCTCACTTCGGCAGAGTCGCAACTGTTTCTTCTCGCTGATGGGATGTGTGTTCATGCCGAAAATGTCGCGGATTCGTAAAATGTCCAACGATTACGATGGATGAAACAGGGTTGTCAAAAAAACAGGGCCGGTCGTTTTTTCTCTCATTCTATTGATGCTTTGCAATTTTTCTCATGTAATTAGCGATTAAATGTCAATTAAATAAAATAATTTTCATATGAATACACCGTTGACGCCGAAATCAAGAAATTCTACAAACCATAGGACATTTTATAAAGAAGTAGTGAAGAAACTGATAATGGAATCTAACGTCGTAGTGGAAAAATTATTAATACTAGAATAAACTTTTTAATAAAATTAATTTAGGAAAAAAAAACTAAAAAATAACGCGGTATGGAAAGTAATGGTAATAGAAGGCATGAAAATTTCAAACAATAAATCAATATGTTTGTATTCGAAAAATAAAATAATAATGCAATAATAAAAACCTGAAAAATGTTCGCAGATGTTTAGAATGAAATTTCTCTTGTTAAGGTTAAAAAAACAGGACGCGCAATGATTTCACTCTTTTGAAGAAAACCAGTGTGAAAATCGTGTTCAGCATGAAAAATAACCCATATGTACCAAATTTCATGTTAGTATTTCAAAAAGTAATCAGGCACTGCAGCGGCATTTCCACGACATTGATTTAATTTTTTAATATTTGTAAAACAACAGTAAATTTTTGACAAAATTCTAGCAATGAGGTACCTGCGACAAAATAATCAAATCCAAATACAATCGCGTAGGAAACAAACAATACACGGTTTAATAATATTCTGAAATTCTAGAGAAATTCGGTTGGAATATTAGCGACACCTACGATTTAATGTTGATATATTTGGTATATGTAGGAAAAAATAATGGTATTTTAGAAACCACCCCCAATTTTTAGGTTTCACCCCCACTTCTTCACCGCACTTCAAAATTTGCAGTTTCTAACAATAATGTTTAGCAGTAAAATTATTAAATTTTTTTTTAAATTTGCAATAATTTTTTTTGTTTATCACAAGAGGAGATTTGCAGGACTGATGTCTGAATTAGATTTTTCAGAAACTATGTAGTGTTCTTATGAAAGGCTGAAAATTTTAACAATTAATGAACTATTCTCTAAAAACCCAGTTCTGAAAGATTTCGTATTTCGTAATATTTTCGTATTTTCCAACAATTGTCAATATTTCGAGTGTCCAATTGTACATTTTGATATCCAGCTTCTTTGCAAGCCTACATAGTTTCTGAAAAATCTAATTTAGACATCAATTTTGCCAATTTCCTCTAACTTGAATTTTTGCAAATTAAAATGTTTTTCTGTTAAAAATTACTGTCGTCTGTGGAATAGCTGGGGTTGGGGGTTAAAAAGTAGGGGTGGTTTATAATAGACCAAAAATTATAGAAGAAGTCGTTGTAGAGCTAATAGAAACACGCAGATATTTAGGGCAAATGATGATGTCATGCATCCAAAAAATGTGAAAATAAAATGAATAAAGTCGATAATTTCAGCAATCGTTTCCAGTTTTGCTGATTTTTCGTGAGCATATTGTTTGAAAATTGACATTATGAGAATTAATATACAGAATGATTGAATATAAACGAAAGCATTAAATAAATGGTTCGTTAGTGGATCGATGAATGTCTTAAATTTTTCTATGAATCGTTTAAAATTTGCTCAGTACCGTTCAAAATTCTATAAAATTTTCGTTTTTCGTACATAATTTTCTTCAATTGTTTTCATCATCTTGTAATTTTGACACAAGCTAAAAAATGAAAATAAAATTCCTTTTAAAACTTGAAACCGATTCTGAAATCTTTTAGATTTTTAGGATTACAGATTTTTTGATGTTTTCAGTTTTTCCACTTCTGTTAAACGAAACCTTGAATTTTTAATATTTTGACATACGTAACTCGCATATTTTTGAGTTTTTATTAAATTTTTCTAAAATATTAGTCGAGATTCTAAAAGTCACACCTGAACACCATATAAGGCCATCATACATGGTGAAGTCTTTTAAACAGATTTGGCAATTTCCCGAACGTCTCACATCGGAAATTATCGCAGTGTTCGAAAACACGGAAAATGGTGTTAATTATTGGCTTAAAATCATTTTTATTATACATACATATAACAAACTTTATGTGTTCTAAATAGCAACACAATAAGAAGAATTCTCAGTGCGCGGTGTGCGCCTTTAACCTATTCTTATGAACGTTAATCTACAATTCTAGTTTTGCGTCAAACCACTTTCCTTGTTTTTTTTTGGCATTTAGCCAATTTTCTGCAATCGGGCGACGTCGATAATAGAATTAATTAGTTGTTCCCAATATCTGCAGAGTACCACAATTAAAAAACCTAGGAGCTGGGGGAAAAACATATAATAAAGTTAGTATCCGAGGAACCGTTTCGCTTCATCGGGAACCGATTGTGGATTAATATAAAGATCGACTAAAATTAGTGCGACGACAGCGATTGCCGTAAGAACGTAGAGCAATGGAGATCGGTACCAGACGACGAAAGTGATGATGAAAACGAGAGATGACATTGAAATGAAGCGTAGAAGCTGATCGGGAGGCACTATTGATCGATATGGAGGTGCTGAAGATGATGCAAGTGAACAATGAAACGGTTAATAATATGGGAATGTGACTGATCATTCGATTTTGGCATTTCAGAAGTTTTCTTTTTCTCAAAAATTCTCACCTTCAATATCGAGCACACAATTGTTTTTATCGTCGCGTTTGTGATCTGCAGCACAGTCGCAACGGAATGATCCAACTGAATTCACGCACACTTCGTTTTCTTTTGTACAAGCATCGGAATTTGGCCAATTAGTAGCGTGGTTGTCCTTGGCGACATACTTTTGAGAGATGTCCCGTCTTGTGACCGCTGTGGCAGATTGTTTCGTGTGGCAGCTTGCAATCCCATCCAATCGGTCCGTGAGCTCCGTTAGTTTCAATTCCGGATTCAGTTCGAGTTCGCGAAGTGCCCAAATTCGCAAATCCAGGTGTTCTGATGCATGGAGTCCGATGATCCATAGCAGGCATTCAGCTTGGTCCGGCAAAAGCTGATTCCATTGAGCGGAGGCAAACCGGCGTTTGACAAGGGCTGTGTAATCGTTGCGGTCGACCCCGTCGAATTTTACCGAGAAAAGTTCATAACGGAGTCTCGCCAGCGACTTTGTCTGGTTGAAAAGTTTCTTCAACGTAGCAATGGTGTCGTTGAAGGTGACGTCGGCAGGTGTCTTCGGCAGAATGAAACTTCTGAACTGTTCGGCTTCTTTGTTCTCTAGCTTAGATACGACTATGCTTATGCGGGTAGCGTCGTCGAGGACCTTGCCGTCGATTTCGATGATATCGTGGTATCGACCAAACCAGGCATCGAAGGTTTCCCCGTCATCCGGACAGTAGTGAAACGTCGAAATTCGGTTTGACAGTGAGTTGATGTTTGCACACAATAATTGCGACAGATTGGGCAATTATAAAATTTTCCGGTTTTTTATCGCGTTTTGAAATTTGTCTGGTCAGAATTTTCAAGCTCCGAAAGCTCCGGCTTTTATCAATCATTCATCAATGCTGATCCTTATTCACCATTTGATATTCAGTTTGCGCAGTTTTTTTTTTTTTTTGCCTCACACCAATATTTTATTTGGCCATATTTCCACAAATTCCTTTTTTGGTTATATTTTAAATCAGTTTTGTCTAAAACTCCAAAAATTTCAAAAAAAAAAAAAACCTTCCATAAATAGAACCAATTCCCCCCACATAATCTGCACTTTATTTCTGTGCTATTTTTTTCCTGCAAAATCGGACCCAAATTCGGGCTATTTTTATTATTGTTGTTGTTGTTTTCGAATTTGTGTAAGATTTTCAAAAATCATAAAAATTCCCACGCGCCGGTTTTGATTTCACATTTCGGACTCCGTCATCACCAAAAATAGAATTAAAACCACCGGGAGGGGGTTTGAAATCGGTGGGTCCCGAAAATTGTTGCACTCAGCCTAATCGGAGCGATGTCGACGACTTAAGAGCATCGTCGGTGACGGAAGAAAGAAAAAAATCTGGAAAAAAAACGCCGAACGCGGCGACGTCGGCGAGGATGTCACCGCGTTTTTTTTTTTCTCGTCTACGCCGCGAAATTCTTCCGCTTGTTCTTGTTTGCATTGGAGACGGCCGAACTTGACACGTCATTAAATGAGATTTTCAGATGAAGGCGACCCCCCCCCCTCGATTGGGTTAGCCGGATGGGCGATGAACGCGAATCCGTGGGTGGCTTCGAGCAAATCATTAATTTAGGCGGACGATTTCGCTTATTGAGGCCCTAAATTTGCAAAAAAAAACCTCTTTTCCCTCATCTACAAATATTTTTTAATGATAAACCCTACAATTTTTTTGCATCGTGAAAATAACTTGTTGTGGGTTTGACAAATACAGAAATCGGAATTCATATTCGTGAAAACGATACCATTATCTTAATTGGGCGGCCCAGAAAACAACTTTTTTTCTTATATCCATTGCTTTCTAAAATAGTTAACATCATGCAAAAATTGGGCTACATCGAAAATTCTTAAATCATCGTTTTTATATACTTTTTTTTCTCATTTTTTTTGTCGTATCAAAGTTATACGAGAATACGACAATGGGGTCTTTCCTCCCAATCATTGTAGATTTTCGAAAGAGTAGATTTACGCGTTGAAAATGCGAAAATGAATTCCGTCCCAAGACAATTACGTACATTAAAACGTATTTTCGACCCAAAAAGTGTAGTTTAATTTTTCTGAAGCGTGAAATAAACTGGCCATTGAATTTCCAACATCAGACTATTTTTTTTGAATTATTCTTCATCTAGCTTCTTATTTTTTTCATTCTAAACCAAATTTTTTGAAATGGTATTTAACTGAGCCATATATAGGAATGCCGAATTAGTATCATCAACATCGCAAGCTTCTAATTCTCTACTTCTTTGAGAAAAAATAATGCCAAGATCGTAATGACGTCAAGAGTATTTTGGATTGATTTCCGTCTAAAAATGGATCCATTTGTTTGGAATCCTCTTAGATTGTTTCTCATTCCTCTCTCGTCAAGTCGTCGAGATAGGCCATTCTCTTCCATTCTATTCCATTTCTGCATTTCAAGCCACGCCCACAATTTAGACGAGCCGTCGGTCGGCATCATTCGGAATCTCCAAACAAAAAATGCTGTTTTTTTTCCATCACATCATTAATCTTAAAATCACACACTTTGTATTCCGTATAAAAACCTACTTTAAAACCCAAATTGAACTGCAAATTGTTTCGTTCATCCATTTGAGGGGACCACTTTCGATGATATTCGATATTACAGTAGAACACCAGCCGCCCACGTACCACCATGAAACAGAATACTTTTGTTGAGTTCAACTCCAACTCGTTCTGCTCTATTTTTTGCTTTAATCCATATTTAGCCACATTTTTGTAGGAATGCAATTTTTCGCCGCCGCCACGCGATTCACAACAACCGCCACCATTCTCATCGTGTGTTTTTTCGTTCTTGTGATTACGGTCCAACCGGCAGAAGCATTGTGAGTTGCTTAAAACTGTTTGTCCTACTATGATTGCATGAATACCATCGGGGACCATATGGTCGTTGTAGCCCCCAGTTTAGCGTAATTCGCGCTTACATTATTTCATATGCAAAAACAAGCAAACCAATCGGAATAGCAAGCAATCGGAACACCGTTGTTCCACAATTTTACATTAGTTTCGCCTTCAGCTAGTTTTTGCCACGGTTTCGCCCGCTCGGTTTGCTGAGCACGCACCAAAAGTCGCAAGGCTGTGCACCCGCCGATTCGGTTGATCTTTCATATTGGGAAACATTTCAGATCGAGCAATATGCAAGGCTCACTTCGGCAGAGTCGCAACTGTTTTTTTTCGCCGATGGGATGTATATTCATTCCAAAAAAGTCGCGGATTCGTAAAATTTCCAACAACCAAAAAAAAGTATGAGCAAAATTGGTCTGAAAATAACGCTTTGTAGTTTTCTATAAAATTAAAAGCAGAAAAATTAAAGAAATTTTTTTTAAAATGCATCGATCACCACGAAATTGAAAATGAAATCAAGACACAACGTCAATAAAATCGTGGCGTTTTGATTACTTTTTGATTAATTAGATTGAATCTCGAAAATACCTTTTTAGTAATGTAGTTGTTTCCAGGCGTCTTCATCGAAATAACGAACGACACAAAAAACTGGCAAAAATGGGAAAATTTAATAGAAACGAATGGAAATGAAGCCACGTTGGTTTTGATATTTTTAATATTCACTTGATAATTTGTTTTTAGGGAATAACCTGCCTAAAAATTGAGAAAAAAGTTTCTCAGAAAATCGGATTTTTTGCCAAAAATCAAGAATTGTACGAATTTTGGCCAATGATTTTTGACACCCACTTCTCCGCCCTCGATTTTTCACTACCACGATCCGGACACTCATTTTTATATTTAATTTTATTATGAAATAAACAGTTAATTGAGATGTTGTAATTTCCGTCTGTTCTAAAAAAAAACTGCCATTTAATTGTGAGGCACTGCTTTCTACAATCATCGGGCTAAAAATTTAATTAAAAATCATACACACAAAATTTTTTAGCATAATTAATGTTTCGAATTGAATAATTTTAAAATAAATGTGTTTTTCTGTTCAAATCACATTCTTTTCTAGCCGAATTTCGCAGATAATAGTGGTACTAGGATTGGAAATGTACATATAATGAATTTTAGATCGATTCGTCTCGTTGCCAGAATGACCAAAATTAAATATACATATTATTTTAAACTCTCAATCCGCATATTAACTCACAGCTCTCCGATTGTGGGGGTTTTACCATTCAAAATAATATCGGGATAAAAAGAAAGCAAAAAATCGCTTTTTTGAATTTGAAAAATATTCGAGCATTTTTAATATTTTATCGAAATTAAAGAGTTTTCAAATTCTTCGAATTCAATAGAATCATCTGATTCGCGCAATTTCTTGTTAGTCGCAATTTTCCGAGACCGTAATTCAATTTCCAATTCAAACACTTTCAATTCGGTGGTACCGTACTCTGGATAACCTGTGAATCAAACTCTTTCAAACCACCACTTTGAACATGAAAATTGAGACCCTTCGGTTCATACCCTTTAGTGGTTACTCAGCGTTACAAAAATTACTCATATTAACGACCCCAAAATTACCCCCTTGGAACGGTGATCTCATAGTAAATTGGCCGAGGAATTCCTTTTGAAGGTTCAGCTTCCCTAGAATTGTTTAACCGACTTTTCATTAAAAGGAATGTTGGTTCAATAAATAGATCAGATTGAGCAATAGGGTGAAAAATTCTTAACCAAATTACAAAAAAAAATATATTGTATAATGATAATTGTTATAATACGATGGTATATCACGAGATTACAGAATTATTTCACAAATGTAAAATTTTTAAGATTGAACAGTGGACAGAGGAGAGACATGGTTACTGCAAGATACTAATGGATCAATGAGTTTGCGAACTGTTGCCATATTACAAAATATGAAACTTATTTGAATCAAACATAATGTTATAATTACATCGATGCATACAATTATTCGTTGCTTCTGAAGCATATTCATAATTTATTTTTTCGATTTGATTCCTACCGAACGAAACATTGCAGAGTCCGATCCAAAAAAATCTTGAACAGAAATAATGAAAAATGGTAGAAATAGCTGGAAGATCACAATTTTGGAAACTCTCTCAGGGAGGGCCTTGCAGGAACTCACAAGTTTGCACACAATAATTGCGACAGATTGGGCAATTATAAAATTTTCCGGTTTTTTATCGCGTTTTGAAATTTGTCTCGTCAGAATTTTCAAGCTCCGAAATATGGCCAAATAAAAAATTGGTGTGAGGCAAACCGCGAAAAACGAAAAACTGAATATCAAATGGTGAATAAGGTCGAGTGTTCCCAGATCAGCATTGATGAATGATTGATGAAAGCCGAGACGAACTGAAAATGGGAAAAATTACTTGCAATTCTCTGCTTGAACATGATATTTTGATATTTAAATATTAATGTTTTGGAATTCTGTTCCGATCTGTTGGTGTGCAAAATTAGAAAAAAAATATAAAACGGAACTTAAATTTTCTAAAAAACGGAAGATTAAACAAAAATTTTTGACAGAACACGGAACAGGAAAATGTCACTGAATTCCGTACAGCTCTTTTCCACCAGAACTGTGAAAAAAAAATTGCCGATTCAAATTTGACCGCCCATTGTCCCTCATTGTTGAGAGCTATACAGTGCGTTGCAGAATGATAACGCCACTCCCGAATTTGAGCGCCGCGCAATGATTTCACTCTTTTGAGACCAACCAGTGTGAAAATCGTGTTCAGCATAAAAAATTACCTATATGAACCAATTTTTATGTTAGTATCTCCAAAAAAAAACAGTGGGCCAAAATCGTTTTTTAGGCCGGAGGCGGCATTTTCCCGAGATTTATTTAATTTTTTAATATTTGTAAAACAACAGTAAATTTTTGACAAAATTCTAGCAATTAGGTACCTGCGACGAAATAATCAAATCCAAATACAATCGCGTAGGAAACGAACAATACACGGTTTAATAATATTCTGAAATTCTAGAGAAATTCGGCTGGAATATTAGCGACACCTACGGTTCAATGTTGATATATTTGGTATATGTAGGAAAAAAGAATAGAAGAAGTCGTTGTAGAGCTAATAGAAACACGCAGATATTTAGGGCAAATGATGATGTCATGCATCCAAAAAATGTGAAAATAAATTGAATAAAGTCGATAATTTCAGCAATCGTTTCCAGTTTTGCTGATTTTTCGTGAGCATATTGTTTGAAAATTGACATTATGAGAATTAATATACAGAATGATTAAATATAAACGACAGCATTAAATAAATGGTTCGTTAGTGGATCGATGAATGTCTTAAATTTTTCTATAAATCGTTTGAAATTTGCTCAGTACCGTTCAAAATTCTATCAAATTTTCGTTTTTCGTTCATAATTTTCTTCAATTGTTTTCATCATCTTGCAATTTTGACACAAGAAAAAAAAATGAAAATAAAATTCCTTTTAAAACTTGAAACCGATTCTGAAATCAGAATTGTTTTCGGAATTACAAATTTTTTCAAGTTTTCGATTTTCCAAAACTGTTAAACGAAATCTTGAATTTTTAATATTTTGACATACGTAACTCGCATATTTTTGTGTTTTTATTAAATTTTTCTAAAATATTAGTTGAGATTCTAAAGATCCGCGAACACCTTATAAGGCCATCATACTTGGTGAAATCGTTTGAACAGATTTGGCGGCATTTTCACGTTAATTATGCGGTTTCAAGTTTTTAAACGAATTCTATTTTCATTTTGAAACTTTGAGGAAAGAGAAACAAAAAATTCATAAATATTTGAGTGGTAGTGCAGTGCTGGCTATAATTCTATCCAAAACAGCATTTTCAGTCATAACTTTTTTCAAAGTTGGCCGATTGATCTGAAAATTTTTGACAATGTTTCTGACGCTATGTCCATCTAATTTACCAATCCACTTCTTTAAATTTCAAAAAGAAAGTAAAAAATTGAAATTTTATTGAAAATTCAAAAAATTTAAAAATGAGGCAGCATTCAATTTTAATAATTTTATAGCTCATTCCGGTATTATTAACCCAAAAAATTATTTGAAGCTAATGCGTAGCCTTTTGAGACAATAACAGCTTGACATCTTCTTGTCATTGAATCTAGAAGAGCCTTAAAAACACTGATCGGGATGAACTTCCACGCCACTTCGAATTGTTTTTTTTTTGAAACGGATTTGTGGCACGAACTCCAAAAAGACGTCTTTCTAGCTCTTCTCGAATGTGTTCGACTGGATAAAGGTCTGGAGACTGTCTCAGCCACTCTAAAACATCAATACGACCACCATCGAGCCGATTTATGATAAAGGGAGGAGTGATTTGGATCGTAATCCCGTTGGAAAACGTATCCGCTTCCGGCGTTTTAAAGAGCCCATTGTCTCATAGTGTTCTCAAGCATATTTTCGTTCTGGAATCGGTCCATGATGCCAGTCACGCGCGAACAATGTTATGATCCATGTTTCTCGAGGTAGAAGGTCTATCGGGGGTGGCCACCCATCAAAATTTTTTTTCTTAAAGTGTTAAGATATTAAGAAATGATTTTGAGCCACATTCGTTCGGTTTTTCTTCCTCGGACGATGGCTTCTTGGATGTTTTTTGAAAGAGTCTTGTTACCAGAAGGTCTGACAATGTTTTTGAGCAATTTTGAAAATATTATGAGTGCTCCGCGTATTCAGATCAATCGGCCAATTTTGAAAAACGTTATGGCTGAAAATTTGGTTTTGGATAGAATTATGGCTGTATGTCTTCGAGCCGATCCGCTCGTGTAAATGAAATTTTTCGGAGACTTTAATGTCCAAACAACAAGATTCTGTGATTAGGTAATGTTCAAAATGTGCAGAATTGGTCCCCAGGGGAAAATTTCATTTTACATAAAAATTGGAGACTTGAGTAATGTTTAATTACTTGAGATTAGATTAATTGACTTGTCGGCATAATTATCCTTGGGTATTAATTTTATTTCAATATGACGACAAGAACAGACCGGATATGAACTATCCTAGCGTGAATTGCTCATTGGCGAGAGCAGTTCAGATCCCCGCAAATGAGATTACCTATTTTATCCTTTGTGGGTACCTGAGATGAAATCTTCCTCTGGGGGAAGCACGATAATCTTGTTGGATGCCTCATCTCCAATTTCGCTTGATCAAGTCCCCAACCATGGGAAACTGAGTCAATATACATAAGTCATTCACAAGTTTGCATCCCCCATTCATTTTAGATCCCTCACAACCAAGGAAATGTCCCACATTCTTTATAGGTCCCTACTTCCAATATATATTGGGGGGGGGGGAGGGGCTATTCTGAAAATGTGTGGGACGTGTTCGTAGCTGTGGGGTTTAGGCAGCCTACTCGGCATTTCCGCCGGATTCTACATATATTAGGAATCGTTCGTTGGCTCGATGTTTTTGAGATGATTTTTTGGATTTACCTTAACTTTGCTTTTGATATTTAACACGAACAAATAAATATACAAAGGAAATATAAAAAAGATAGTCGTAAAATAGCATATTAAAATTTTGACGATTGGAAATAACGACGAAAATTGTAAAAACGTTAGTAAAACATCATCATGGTCCGGATGTGACGAATTCATTCCAAATAAAAAGAAATGTTGGTTCCTTTTCAATGGCAGCTGAAAATTACGTGAGTCGAGTGAGAATAAAAACAATATTTTGATTTTTTTTTCAATATTGACGACAGCTGAAAGGAAAGGAGAATTTACGGACATTCATGCAATATTGTTTGAAGAACGTGGTAGAAAAAAAGGAAGGTAACAAAAAGATTAAAAAAGGGAAGCAAAAGAAAATGAGAGGGAAAAGCTTGAAATTTGCTTACCAAAAAACACTCGAATTGAGATGATGAGGGTCATTGAGATTCGAAATCATTGGATTGGCTCAGAATCACGACTTGTGTCGTGGCGACGGTCGTCTCTTACATTTTTAATGGCATACGTCACAGTTTAATTTTTTCCGTTAACTGTTATTTAGATCGTTTCTCCATCCATCATTTTCTCGCTTTCAATTTATTACAGTGCTAAAAATTCTGGGGCAGGCGTGCACCGTCTTCTTGTTTCCATTCCTGTTCATCACATAAATGTGTATCGTTTGTTACTGGATTCAATATTAGGAAACAGTATTTTTTTCCCAAATGCTGACCCAAGCAGGGCTAGGCCAAAAGCCAAATCGATTGGTGAAAATTTAAAAAGAAGCCGCCTCGTTTAGGAATAATATTTCTGGAGTGAGTTTCGATACAGAATGCCCTGGATTGTTCCTATGGTTGTTTTTGTGTTTTTGGTAATACTTCAAAATAACAATGCTAAAAGAAAGCAAATGACTTCAAAAACGCCTTTATTTGAAAAAAAAGGATTGATTAATCATACAGCCAATCGTACATTCGGTTGCATCCACTCTTCTGGAATTGATTGTTTCCTTTCTTTCTTGGGGTCGTCTTCAAGCAGCATTTGTAATCCGGGTTGACGCGGCAGGTTCCTCCAGTTTTGAGACATCTTCTGACGCACAACAAGAAGCAGGTTCGGTTCTGGGCAGCAGCGAAGCTTCGGAATGGGGAACAGTAGTTGCTGGATGGTCCGCCATTCACATACGAGCAGAACGTCTCACAAGCAACTACGCTGACCGTGGAGACAGTGTAGACGAGAGACAAGAACACGAAGATACGAAGAAACTGAACATCGCATTTCGAATTTTGAATCTATCCTGAAAAATGCTTACCATGATTGATGAAGTCAGTCGAAACTGATTCCGATTCATCCAATTCTCATTGTATTTATATCCGCTTGATTTTTTCATTTTCCAAAAGTCAAATTCATGTGGGCGTATTGAACTATAGAAGCTCTGCGGGGGGTAACATAATTAAAATGCTTAAAATAGAAATCAATATTGAACTGATTATCTGAATCTATAGCTCAATTGATATTTTGATTTAAATTAGATATCTTCATTAATGATTACTAAAATGGGACGTACCTTCACAAAATATCTCAAAAATTTGAATATGCATATTCTTGCATTCTTTTTTATCCGTTTGAACTTTGGACGCAATTTTTTTATTAAAAGTTTCTATTGTATACAAATATGATCCGATTTTTTTCCAAAAAAAATGAAGCGAATCTATTTTCGAAGGCCGCAAAGTTGGCTAAATGCCAAAAATCAATTCCTCTCATCATAAATACAGTGAGAATTGGATGAATCGGCATCAGTTTCGACTGACTTCATCAATCATGGTAAGCATTTTCAAGATAGATTCAAAATTTGAAATGCGATGTTCAGTTTCTTCGTATCTTCGTGTTCTTGTCTCTCGTCTACACCAGGGCTGTGCGGCAATCGGAAATTTCGGCAATTCGGCAATTCGGCAAATTGCCGAAAATCAAAATTTCGGCAATCCGGCAATTCGGCAATTTGCCGAAAATTCGAAAAAACCCAAAAAACCAATCGGATACGACAATTTTCCAATCTTATTCGTAGAATTACCAATCGGATAAGGTTGATTCCGGGGCCGAATTTTGTCGGATCAGATTGGTTTTGAGTTACCAGAGTTGCCGAATTGCCGAAGAGAACGTTCGATCGCGAAACAAAAATCAATGTCCATTGAATAATTTGGGATACCGTAAAAATTCGGTATTTATATTTCGAATTATCGTTGAAAACATTTAATAGCCGAAATTTTTATTTTCGGCAAATTGCCGAAAATCAAAATTTCGGCAATCGGCAATTCCATTGCCGCACAGCCCTGGTCTACACTGTCTCCACGGTCAGCGTAGTTGCTTGTGAGACGTTCTGCTCGTATGTAAATATCGGACCATCCAGCAACTACTGTTCTCCATTCGGAAGCTTCGCGGCATAAAGAGGATACTATGCTGTGTTGAATTAAAAACGAACTCTAAAGAATGAATTACTACTAGGGTTGTTGAGAAGAGAATTATTGAATGAAATCGAGATAAATGATTCAACATATATCGACTTGCTGTGAAAAAAAATTAAGAGTTTAAATCAAGATTGAGAAGCTATAGTACGAGCATTACCACCAAGGATTGTGTAATCATTCTCATGGATCGACATCATTTTTCCAGCTCTTTTTGGTGTCGAATGAAGTTGAATTTACTCCATTTAATTTTTGCTTTGCCAATGTGGAAGGAGTGTTAAATGAAAGCGGGTTCGAAATATAGCTGGGTTTAACGAAAAGCTAAACTGGCGCATATTTTGACATGATAAGCTATGTTCAGTTGTTACTAATTCATAAATAGTACAATAAAATTAACACATTGAAAAGCTTGATTTTTTTGGAAATTAATTTCCTAATCGATCACGTATAATTAGTTACATTTGGCGGAACAATTGGTGTCACTTTTCTACAATAACACTGAATCCACGCATTAATTTTCCAAGAATTCTTCGATAATGCAAGTTTGAGGCTCTCTCGATTGCATATTATAAAAGAGATTTGAACCAGAAATGGTGTGAAAAGAATATCAAGAATGACGAGCAGATAAAATATCTAAATAATCGGTTTCTATTAAAATTCTATAGAAATCGCTGCCTATTATCTTTTCTACTCAACAGTTTTCGACCGTTTCAATTATTTTTTTGCTACCAATTTTACTACCACTTTCTTCAAAGTGAGTCCTTGAGGGTTCGAAATCGAAAAATTTCAAAATGTCAAAAAATGATCCGCGGCTTGGTATCTCAGAAAATGCTTCTTAAACATGCCCCACGCCAATCTGTAAGAGCCACATGAATCTAAAGAGTCCCTGCAAACACTACATAGCGTACGCTTGGGGTCTAATAAAAATCTCCATCAAAGATTAATAAATTTCATTTTTTAATGAAATTTCAAACCACATATCTCATTTAGAATCCCCTCGGAACTATTTTGAAAAACGTGATAGTAAAAAATTGATAGCAAAAGAAAATATGAAAGGAAGCGAACAAATGAGTGCACAAAAAATTTGAAACAGTAGAAAAAAAAGGTGCAACAATTTGGGTGCAGAGCAGAAAATTGGATGCAAAAGATAAAAGACCGCGATATTTTTATCCCCCGCCACTGAGTCAATGCGACAATCCTCCTCCAATATACCAGCCCTGCCATACTTTCTTGATTGCCTGACGAATATTAACCGGTAAAATTTTCAGTCCGATCCGACCCCTCCCCACCAGAATGGCAATTTCGAAAGTTTCGTGAAAAAAAGGAAAGCAATATCTAAACAAGTAAAAAATTGAAATTGTAAAGTCTAATAAGCATTTGTTGGTGTGATTCACAAAAACTTACAAATTTGTTTGTTAACGCCTGCTCTAAATTTTGATTCGTGAATAATGATAATAAGTAACATCCAAGTGGAAGCGAAAACTGCAATTTAATTTCATAAATCGATTTTAAATCGTCGCATGAGATGGCTCACAAGTTTTGAAGCGATAATAATGATAGTTTGATATAATATATAATTTTCGGGTTTGTTTTTCCTTTTCTGTACTCCTGATGTAATGAATTTGAAGCTGATAAATATTGCGATGTAAATAAATGGAGTGAGAAGGACCGAGAAATATGCGATTATATACGTCGCCATATAAATTATATCGAAAATGTCATTTCCGATAAAATACTCGAATTTCAGTAGGCATCTGCCTGAAAATTGATTTGGTTGGAAAAAAACGAGACATGTTACCTTTAACGAACACATGCAAAAAAATTAGAATTGCATAAAGCTCTTTGAAGAGATCTTCTATGTTTTTCCTTAATGAACAAAATGTTCAAATTTTGAATCAAGAAAAGCTTCACTTATTTCTTATAACAAAAAATCTTTCGAATCGCGGTAAAAACGATACTAAAAGAAGTTGAAAAGCGAGCATAAAAACGCAAATATTTTCCACTATTACTATTACTATCGACATTGAATGTAATATTACTATAAAGAGAATTGCAAATATTTCAAAGAATGGAATAGAATCATATAAATTGAATATGATAGTAGCAAATAAGGAACATACAAAACTTAATATTGCTGTCTGTAAAATTACGACAGTTTGATATAAATGGCACACTATCGGGTGGGATGTTGTCTATAAAAATTTCGATGTCACATCAAACTGAATATTTTCACCATTCCGGACCTTTTTATTTGTTTTCTTTCCAAATTTAAATAGATAAATATATAATGGGAAAACGACTCCGAGTACAATAACGTAAATTAAGCAATATAATGCAGTTGAGGCCAATATGGCGTATTCTTTAATAACGCTATCGTAGTCGATTTCATGTGAAGCATTCGTCGACGAAAGCGACATGGAACTGCGTGCTCGCTGAGATGAATTGCAGGTGAAACGGTCTCACTAATAATAGAAATTTATCAAATGAAATGTAGCATTTACTACGAACTTCCCCCTCCATCCACTTAGTTTCAATATATAACGAATCCAATGCTTCGAACACAAGATTATCATCAACGAATTTTAGAAGATTGGGCGAGTAAGCAGAATATTAAATAGTGATATACGAGGAAGCAAATGACGAGACAAACTCTTTCTGTGGTAACTCAAAACCATTGGGATCCGACAAAATTCGGCTCCGGAATCAAACTTATCCGATTGAAAATTCTACGGATGAGATTGTAAAATTGCCGGATCCGATTGGTTTTTTCGGGTATTTGTCGGGTCCGATTCGAATTGAAAAATTAAAACAAAACGGATTCGAATAATAACCAATCGGATCCGACAATTTTACAAGATCTTTATTAAATATTGAAACCAGGTTCAAAGAAATGAAAACTGGTACAACCAAGGAAAAGTTCGTTCGAGTGAATTCTATATTTCATTCGGCAATTTTACAATCTTATCTGCAGAAATTCCCATCAGATAAAGTAAATTTCGGAGCCCAAATTTTGTCGGATCCGATTGGTTTTGAGATACTATGAACTTAAAATTGAAATGCTTGATGACAGTCAGGATTCATTTTTGGGACTAACACAGATATCGCGCTCACTGTTCAGGTAGCAACTCTTTTCAGCATGTTTCATTTTTGCATAAAAATTCATAATAACTGCAATTTATACCCTCAACTTCCTTTTTTGGGGAGGTTCGTTTAATTGTTCTACACAAGTCAACACATTCCTCATTTCAAAAATCCAATTTTCAATTTTCGGACCACAAAACGCCAAAGATTTTGTTTGTTCGAATAAAAAAAATGTTGCGTAATGTTTTGTTCGTTTTTTTTCATTGTTAACTTTTTAATTATTCGCAGTTATCTTTGAATCTTGATTTTTTTTTAGCTTTCTTTGTGTTTTTATTAATTATGAAAATCTCATGGGTACGAAAAAGGAAAACAATGGAAAGTTGGGTATTTTGAAAACAACACAAATTCTCAGAAATTTTGAAAACAAGACAAATTCCTTTTTTTTATTTTAAACCCGTTTTGTCTAAAACCCCAAAAAATTCAAAAAAACAAACATTTATAAATAGAAACAATTCCCTCCACATAATCTGCATTTTATTTCTGTGCTATTTTTTTCCTGCAAAATCGGACCCAAATTCGGGCTATTTTTATTATTGTTGTTGTTGTTTTCGAATTTGTGCAAGATTTTCAAAAATCATAAAAATTCCCACGCGCCGGTTTTATTTTCACATTTAGGACTCCGTCATCACCAAAAATAGAATTAAAATCGCGGAGCGGTTGGAAATCAGCGCGAAATCTCGGTGGGTCCCGAAAATTGTTGCACTCAGCCTAATCGAAGCGATGTCGACGGCTTAAGAGCATCGTCGGTGACGGAAGAAGGAAAAAATCTGGAAAAAAACGCCGAACG